AGTGGTGAAGTTTTTAATTGAAAATTTCAAATTAGTTGGTTGTATAGTGTAGTGGTTATCACTGTCGGTTTTGATCCGACCAACCCCGGTTCGAATCCGGGTACGACCTATGTTTTTTTTTTGCAACTAAGCTTTCCTTATTATTATGACCACCTTGTCACATATAACGTTTATATTATCATTTTTGTTTTGTACATCAAAAACTATTCGAGGAGATATATATATGCTCCAATGCTTAAAATATTTTCCTTTGGTTGGAAAGGAATATAATTACCATGCATCCAAACTTTTAAATAAACTTGACGTTCTCTGTTGTGCAGCTGTCTTCTCTCTGATATTTCTCTCCTTAAATAGACAGTGACAGTATAAAACCGCATGTATTAAAACCGGAACGAAAATATCCACCGGAATTAACCAAACTAAGAATTACTTTAGCCATGACATTGAAACATAGTTTATAACACCGACTTCAAATGTTTGTCAATTACTCTTCTGATAATAAAGCAGTTGATAGAACTAAATGATTATTTGAATATAGCTAGCTATTGATTATTAAAAAAAAAAAAAAAGAACATATATATATATACATATAAATAGAATGATATAATTCATTTCAATTTTGATTTCTTCCTTGAGACTCTAATTTTGCAATACGTTTCTTTAGGTCCTCATTCTCTTGTGATAATAAATTTATTTGGATGGACATCTCCTGTGATCTACCATATGATAACATTTGACCCATTTCTTTATTTTCTCTCGCGAGAATCTCTAGTCTATTCATCAATTTATGTGCAACAGTTTGTGGATCATATCTTCCTTCCTTTGTTATATTATTTGTTGGATTTAATGTAATTGCTGTAATTAAAGACTCTACTGTGTCTTTAGTCTCTTGTAATTGAACGTCCTTTTCAGCTAAGGATTGTGATAACAATGTAAACACTTGTTCTACACTACTAGGAATTTGAACTACAGAAGTAGATTCATTAGAATTATTATTTGATAACGCTTGTTTATTATTATTACTATTTGTGTTTTCCAATAATCTTTTCAAAGTTTGAACTTCTTGTTCTAGGGATTCAATTTGAGTCTCTTTAATTTGAAACTCCAATTTCATTTGATCTGAAACATTTGAATTGCTATTTTGAACTTGTGATGGATTTAAAGATAAATTATTAAATGATTGAGTATCAAATGGGTACATGTAATTCATTGTGTAAATTTAAAAGAGAAAAATAAGTTAAATAATTTTTGAAATGTGTGTTTACCCCGGATTAAATAACAATAAAGATAATTTGTCTAGCTACTTGTAAGACTGAGTAAATATGTAAATAAAATCAGTTAAAAATTTCTATTTCACGGTCAATTTATTATCCTCTCTTTATATCAATGATTCCTGCTTTAACTTTTAACAGAAAGGAACTCTCCCCACTTTTTAATTCCTTCGTCGTTCTACCCAGTCAGTAAATCTATTGTTAAGGTCAACGTCAAAGTTAGTGAAGTGTTGTTGCTCTTGCAGTTGTTTCTCTTCCGATTCTAGTTGACCCCACGCCAATTGAATTTCGATAATTTTTTCGTTTCCTTCGCCAGTCACTTTTTTTTAGTGCCGCTCGTTCTGTCTGAACGAATTTTATCGAGGACCACATAGATTCTATTCACGGTGAATAAATATATAAAGAATACACAACGAAGGAGGATCAAGGAGCTATCTATTTAATTAGTTCTTATTTTACCGTATATGTGTGTGTACATACGTATATTGCAACTAGTAACAAATAGATCTCTGCTAAAATTGCAATATTTAAAACAGTAAAAAAAAAAAATAAAGAAAATGGGTGTTGTTGTAAAGGATTACAGTCAAGTAATGCCATTTCGTCATGAAGATGGCGCAAGACTTAGTGAAGGTGTTACATATGATATTAGAAATGATCGATTATTATGGGTAGACATTTATAATTCAGAAATTCATGCAATTGATAATGTTTCGCGTGACGGTCGTGAAGGTCGTCATTCAACAATCAAAATTAAAGGTTCCCAGGGTCGTGATTCCGTTGGTGTTGTCTTTTTAACTGAAGATCCACAGATTATATTATTTGGTGGTAAAGATGGGATTGGTAAATGGGTAATTGGGTCTCACGAATGGGAATATGTTATTAAATATAGTGAATGTTCCGAGTTGGCTAATGATCCCGATCGTTTGCAAAGACTAAGACCAAATGATGGTAACACGACTCGTGATGGTAAATATATTCTTATTGGATTAATGAATGATTTCAATTATGATGTTAAGGCAATTGATGGATGCATCTTAAGAATTAGCATCCCTGATCAAACAGTTGAAATGATTTGGGATGGTATTGCAATTGCAAATGCTGTACATTGGGATCGTGATGAAAATTATGTTTTCATTACAGATTCATTGAAACATACTATATGGCGTTGTCCATGGGATTCTACTACAAATTCATTGAATAAAGATGGTAAGGAATCATGGATTGATTTTAAATCTCACAATAAAGAATTTGAAAGTCCCGAACCTGATGGTAGTGATATGGATAAAATGAATAATTTATTATACGTAACCGTTTGGTCCACTCATCGTGTCCAAGTTTATGACATTACTCAACCAAATAAATTAGTACAAGAAATTATCCTACCGGTAACTACCCCAAGGGGATCCTGTTGTTGTTTAGCTGGTAGTGACTTATACGTCACTACGGCAAATAATGAAATCAGTGATCAGCCTGTCCAGAAGGGACAAGGTGGTTCATTATTCAGATTACTATGTGTAGCAGACAACAAGGCCACATCTTCCAAGGCTTACTTGAATTTACACTGATTCTTACGAGAACTGACCACCCTGTCACAAGTGCTCGAATACTTATTCTCGAACCCAGTCTCCCTCCATATATATATATATATTGTGTTGTATTGTATATAAATTCAATCAAATTTGTCCTTACCCCTATTGTTCCGTACACAATGACACCCCCTGAAGCGGCTGTGGCGGCTGCCCACGAGCACGGCGCCCCGTCCCGTGCTGTCACACGGTGCGTAATATTATATAATTTTCACGTAATGCAGGACACCCACACCTCACAGCCACTTAATAATATTTTAGTAATTTTATTCAACGAGAAGAGATTGTTGTTGGGGGGAAGCAGGGGGGGCGAAGAACGTGCAAAACACAATTTTTTCGATATTCTTTTCTTTTATATAAGGGGAGGTATTTTTAGCAATTTGGAAAAATGGTTTTGGTGTTGCATGTTTCCCTCTTTCTCAAATATATACTGTCAATTGAATACAAAATTCATCAACAAGAATTAAACACAAACAAGAAATATGCCAAAGGTTGCCATTATCATTTACACTTTATACGGACACATTGCTGCTACTGCCGAAGCTGAAAAGAGAGGTATTGAACAAGCAGGTGGTTCTGCTGAAATCTTCCAAGTTCCAGAAACTTTAACTCCTGAAGTTGTCAAGGCTCTAGGTGGTGCTCCAAAGCCAGATTACCCAATTGCCACTAGAGATACTCTAACTGAATATGATGCTTTCTTATTTGGTATCCCAACTAGATTTGGTAATTTCCCAGCTCAATGGAAGGCTTTCTGGGATGCTACAGGTGGTCTATGGGCTAAGGGTGCTCTACATGGTAAGATTGCAGGTTGTTTCGTCTCAACAGGTACTGGTGGTGGTAATGAATCAACTATCATGAACACTCTATCTACTTTAGCTCATCATGGTATTATTTTTGTTCCATTAGGTTACAAGAACGCCTTTGCAGAATTGACTAACCTAGAAGAAGTCCATGGTGGTTCTCCATGGGGTGCAGGTACTATTGCCGGTGCAGATGGTTCAAGACAACCAACTGACTTGGAATTGAAGATTCATGAAATTCAAGCTAAAACTTTCTACGACACTGTTAAGAAGTTTTAAGCGATACATATAGTCTAGATAATACATATATATATGTATATGTATATTTTTTCTTTTGATATACGTAAAATATCTTTATTTACAACGTGTTCTTATTACAATTAAAATGGGTTATCCTATCCCTACCGAGAGGCAAACCCTAGTTCACGTGACTTCAGGGCTCCCGCCCAGGTTTCGGAGTTCGTGCGGCCGGATCCGGGCGGGCGGACGGACGGGATGAAACACGCATGATGGATGTGTGTGTCTCCGTGTCACTCCGCACGGTGCAGAACCCTTTAATAATTCTCCGGCATGCCGCATTTTTAATGCAAAATTATATAATTAATTAATAGCCTCCCCTTCTCACTCCAATCGAAAGGTAAATTAGATAAATATATATAAATAACTAACTAACTTATTTAATTAATTTGATGCATTTTCCTTCTGTAACCACTAAGATACCTAACTACTAACTCTGCGCATACTGACTCACACACACGCACGCACACTCACATACTTATATAAACGAATTTTTATATGATGATACTGTTTCCTAGTACATGTGACAATATTAGACCCAATAAATATAGTGATACCACTAATAATGATGATGATGATTTAGGGCCTCGTGTCTCTATGGCTGTTGAAGCACAAAATGAAGAGCAATTCTTGAGGCTTTCGTATAAATTAAAAAGAACAACTTCATTGCGTATGGGAAGAAAAATGCAGAATGGCAATTCTGAAGAAAGTCATCAAATGAAACAATTTTTAAAAGAATCTAGACAGTGTAGGACGTTTGGTTTACCTAGTGAAGAAAACATTAATGTTAAAGACGACGTCTCTATTGGTCAAGGAACTCCGGATAAATATGTTGACTATTTATCATATCGTTGGAATGATTTCGAAGTAATAAATTCTTGGAAGTTTATTCGGTTAGCAAGAAAATGGTGTAATGAAAGAAAAAATTTACAAATGGGTACATCATCAACAACAACAACAACAACAATTGAAGATAAAAATTTAAAACCAAGTGAACTTTATAATAGAAGATTGGAAAATATGTCGTGGAGAATTTGGTTTAAATTAAAATTATCATTAACTTTGCAATCAAATAATTCAAATAATTCGAATCATGATATGACTTGGCTTTATGGTCCTTTAATTCATAGAGATCAAAGTTGTTCAAAAATTAATATTCATACTCTTAATAATAAAGAAAATAATCAAATTCCTTATATTAAACCAATTTTAAAAAAAAGAAACTTAGGTGAAACTTTAGAAAAAAATTCACTTTGGAGACTAAGAAAAGTTAAAAGAAATATTAAAAGAAGAAGTTCTTTGGATTATCGACATATTAGACAACATACAAGATTAAATATTCCAACATCAAATCCTTATTTTGTTGATGATCCATTAATTGAAAGTAATGATAGTAGTAATTTTTCTTCATCTTCAAATTCTTCAAGTTTTACTACGCTGGCTGCAGTAACAACAACTGAAAATTCGCATAAAATTAATAATACTGATTCAACAACAATAATTAATTCACCAATTTTAAATGATGATAACGATAATGATGTCAGGCACATCAGATTTAATAATAACGTACAACAATGCATTGCCATTCATAAATCAAATTCAAATCTTGATTTAAAACAAAAAAAAATTAAAGATATTATTCAACCATTACCTTCAACCCAATTAAATTATTATTCAGGTTCAGAATCTGATTCTTCTTCTTCTGATTCAAATTCATGTTCAGATGAAGAATGTGATAATTGTAAATCTAATAATAATATTGATAAACATCATAATTATATTAAGAATAAAAATAAATCAAAAGCTGTTTCTCACAACGTCAATACTTCAAGAAGATACCCATATATTTATGATTATAATTCTGTTTACACAGGTGACGTTAGTAAATTTTTACCAAAGGATTATTCTTGTGATATTATTGATTTACCACAAGGTTTAGGTCTAGAATTAAATGTGCCACAAACTTCTACAGGACCTTCTCCCATCTTTGAAACTGATCTTATCACTACAGGTGATGAAACTTTAATTCTTTCACCAACTGCAACAACTCCATCCATTTCACCTTTGCATAGTATTATTGTAGCATCAACTGCATTTTCTACTCCACAGACCCCATTAAGTTCTTCTGCATTTGGCTGTTCATCAACTACTTCGACACTTTCTACAGAAGGTACAGAGACAAGTTCTGTACAAACGATGACAAAGACAAGAGATTTTATTACGGGACAACTAATTTGCAATAATAGTAAAAATAAGATTAATGGTACTGATCAAAATAAAAATTCTAATCAAATACTAAATGCAATAGAGACTCCTCCAACTTTATTTAACCCTAAATTTAAATCATCTCCAACACCTTTAGCAAATTTCATATTCAATTCTTCAGATGAGAGTGATATTTAAATTTTTACCACATCTCATATTTACCTTACATTTTTGAAAATATTAAATAAAAAAAAGGACTTCTATGTTTTTTAGATTTTTCCTTTTTCTTCTTTATTTATTTAATTATATAGTCATATTACTAAATTACGTAACCTTCACATTATTATTATTATTGTTGTTGTTTTTTTAATGAAAATAAAAAATAAAGGAACTGTTTCGATGTTCATTTACATAACTACAAAAGATACAACCTTCCAGTTTAAAGCAAGAAGAATGTACGTAAAGTACTAATGGATCAAGAGGATAATAATAATATTGAACAGATACAACAGCATGAGGAGAACGATCATATAACACATAATGAAACTGTTGAAGAAGCTGTGTATCGATATGTTAGGGGACTTGATTTCCCAGAATCTTCCACGTCTACTTCGGATATAAATTGGGATAATAAAAGATATGTTGAACCACCACAAGATAATATAATTAGAAAGATTCCTAGGCATGAGCATGGTGATGAAGTTGAAGAAGTGGATAAAACTGAAGAACTATTAAATGATGATACGGATTTGTTATTGAGAGATGCTTCACCTACGTTTAGTAAATCAACAAGTATCATTCCAATGAATATTTCACAACGGATCGAATCATTTCATGAAGTGCTACCTAAAGTTAGTTCATTGAGAAACGTTCCGGCATTCAACATTTCATCGACTATGAAATCAAATTTGAGAAATGTTAAAGGGTTTGAACCGGTGATGAAAGAGATAAGAGATAGTTTGGATCAACTTATTCCGACGTTGAAGAATAAAAAAATGTTTACCAAGGAAGAAGATCAAATAATTGATAGATTTATTAACAAATATTGTCAATATGAGAATATCTCAATTAATAATTTTAAAAATCTAATGTGGAGCGATACAAGGAAACGAAATCATTCATTGACAATATTTTGGAAATATGTTTATAAATTATTTTCTCATAGATCAAAAACATCACTTTACAGTCACATACGACGTCGATATCATAATTTTAGTAAAACTGGTAATTGGAGTGAAAATGAAGAACATCGATTATATGATTTTTGTCAACAGTCTGGCCCAGTTATTAAATGGAGTCAAATTGGGTTTGAATTAGATCGAATGCCTGAAGAATGTAAAGACCATTGGAGAAATAATTTAAAAATTAAAAGCAAACAATTGAAGAGTAAATGGACACCTGAAGAAGAAGAAATATTAGTCACTCTTGTGAAGGATAATTTCGAACCTAATCAAAATATTAATTGGGATAAAGTCAGTGAGATGCTTAATGGAACAAGATCTAGATTACAATGCCGATTTAAATGGAAACAATTGGAAAAGAAAAATTCAGAAAAATAAACCATATAAACAAAATGTTGTAGTTGTGGAGAACCACCCTTGAACATCATGGATGGTTATTGGGAACGATTTGCTTCAAGCAAACTATGCCTATACTGGAAGGTAATTACAAACGATTTATAAGGAATGGATAAAATAGATTCGGTCCTTAGGGATAGGAAAATAGCCCCGGTAATGGTCTATATTCCGGATCATTTAATTGATGATGACGATCAGTAAATATATTCTTCCACAATTTATTGTATATATAAATAGTTACGTGTACACATAGTGATGATACTAATTATGATTATTAGTGATATGTTTCGCTTTATTAGATGAATTTACAAAATGAATTTTCTTTTATGTATTATAATTTATGTAAATAACTTAGAATTTAGAGAATTGCTTGTTAGACTTACCTGGAGCAGCAGCAACCTTGATGACGTTGAATCTAACAGTCTTGGAGATTGGTCTACATTGACCAGCAGTAACGATGTCACCGACTTGGACACGGAAAGCTGGGGAGACATGGACAGAGACGTTCTTGTGTCTCTTTTCAAATCTGTTGTACTTTGGAACGTAGTGCAAGTATTCTCTTCTGATGACAATAGTTCTGTGCATCTTGGTGGAAACAACAGTACCAGTTAGAATCTTACCACGGATAGAAACTAAACCAGTGAATGGGCACTTCTTGTCAATGTAAGAACCTTCAATAGCAGTCTTTGGGGTCTTGTAACCTAGACCGACGTTCTTATACCATCTCTTAGTTCTTCTGGAAGTCTTGAACTTTGGGTTGGTGAAGATATGTGGTTGCTATAAAAAAAAAAAAAGAATAAAAATAGTTTTTATTTTAATATTCTGTTAGTAAATTAGTTTATATTTGGCGATTTGATTTTGTTCTCTATGAATTTATGTGAAATATTTATTCCTTAGTCTTGACTGGAAATTTAATCATATCTGCTAGTACTTTGTTCGTAAATTTGTTCATGTAGTGGTTATGGCTGTTGTTCTTTTTTTCTTCATTCACTTTTCTACTTCAAAACTTTAACTTTCACTAGTAAGTCATCAGTATTGGTACTTGTTTATACAAATAATCATTCGTTCTTTTTAAATAATAACAATAATAATTCTTCTTATTTATCCTCATGTAAGTTTCTAATTCCTTAGTGTTACTGTTGGGGTTTTTCATTCATTAGAGAGACATAATTCTATATTTATTTTCTTTTTATCATACCTTTTGGAAAGCCTTTTCAGCTTGGACAGTTAATTCAGTGGACATTTCGTAACCAGTTTGCTTAAATTTCTTTTAAATGAAAGTTACTATACAATATGTTACTATATGTTTTTATATACTATGTTTCTATACAAAAATTGATGTAGATAATGTGTTGATGGCCTTCGCTAGTAACGAACGTATCTTCAACTGCAATAACAATCTTTCCCTTCCCCCCAGTAATGGCTAGTAAGATGGTTGATAGAAATGATCATAATTGAGTAAACTTAGTGTATACTAACCCATCTGTGAAATTTCCAGGCTCTAACTGTTCCGACCTGGCTAGGAAGGATGTTTGCCAACAGGGCGATGAAACCTCTCTCTGGATCTTTGTAGAGGACTAGCCGGCCTGTCCGGGGATACCCTCCCAAATTTTCTCCATTCCTTTGGATCCGGGAAGCTTGGACTGGCCTGTTCATTACTTCCCAGATTATTAGGCAGAGATTCTTGACTCTGGGAACGATTTTTCAATTTCCGTGTATTCTGAAAAAACGAATATTATAAAATTTTTTAAAAAAAAAAATATTTTTTTAATTCAGAAAAGGTGTAAGGATGTAATAAAGTCCAACCTGAATTGGCTTAGGATAATAGCATTCCATTTATAGAAAAAAAATGGTATGATCCATCACAATTGAACAAGAAATATAAGCCAATAAATATATAGTCCATTAACGAGATACATGAATTTTTATAATGGTAATAGCTGATGTATGCTAAATTCACTCTTTCTACAGTCACGATGGATCATAGAATAAAATGCATAAATGTCGTTCCGTATGTTTTTTCTTGGAAATAATTGATCAGACTAATTTCAGTTTAAACGCTGATGTACGTTGTTATAATATTTGGAAAGACAATCAATTTATTTTGCCCAAGATATTGAGATATGTCGAATTCTTCATCCGTTAACTGTCAAATATGTGTAAACTCATCTAGATAAAATAACATTTTTTGTTGTTACTATTGTCAAATTTTGCAAATCAAAAACATATTCTTTTCAACTTGATAAATCCAGCACTGATAGGTTGTATTATTACTTATCCATCTACAATTGATTGTACTTTAATGTAGTATGTATGGTAGTCAAACAAAAATTATATGGTCTCAGAATTTTGTCTATCAATTTTGTTTTGTTTTTGGTATATGCATGTTAGATAGCCGCACGAATGACTGACGTAATACAGTCGTCCAAAAAGGGGATATTTAAAACGACACAACAAAGGATATAAGACAAGAAATATTAAAGATTGCAAAATTTAAAAACAGAGAGAATTATTTTTAACAAAAAACTAATGGAACAAGAAATACAAAAAAATAACATTGAATTCTTAGCTACGATGTCACCTGGTAACTCAAAGAATTGTGTGATCAAGAAAAAATCCAAGAGAGCTATTATAAAGACATGGTTTCATGGTCCCGAAAAACAGTTTATTCATGATAAAAGTTTATTATGTCTTGAAAACAATTTAGACTCTGCCTCCCAAACAGCTTCATGTTCTGTGCGTTCTAAAGGACAATCCCCACCACAAATATATGATTTAAAGGATTCAGCTAAAACTTTTCCAGATATACAAGAAAATGAAGAACCAGTAAAGAAAGATGTTAATCCATCTGATAATGTGAAGGAGAATGTTGAGAAAGAAGACAACTTGGAAGATGATGATTTTGATGAAGAAATTGAGAGGAAGAAATCACGGGGCTTGTCTAGAAAGAGATTAGGGGAACTTAGAGAAACTTTTAAAATTAATTTAGAAAGAATAACACACAGTCACGGAAAATTCTCACTTCGAATGAATATGCCAGATGACGAATCAGATTTTGGAGATAGTACTAATGTTACTATCAAAACTACGGAATCTGAAGCCAAAGGTACATTATCATGCTACCAGAGCTTTAGAACAAATCCAAAAGATTTATCTATCTTGTATGATTATGCAATGAACACTAGTTTAGGGGAGTTACAAAAAACAAGTAATGATTCAAAAAAGTCAACTTTTCAAGGTTCATTATTTAGGAAACTAGTATATCAAGACCTTTCTAATGAAGATTTTTTAGAAAAGTTTAGAAATTCTTCAAATACAGTTCCAATTGAAAAACTCGACCTGTTTAAGAATGATAGCACTTCAAGTCTGTATAGTTCTATCTATGATTTTGGTGATTATTCTGATGAGTCAGATGATGATGATAATTATTCAGAAAGAAATGCTATGATACAAGCAATCTCACCTGCGGCTGTGAATATATCTACCTTATTGGAAAATCCCGAAAATACAAAAAGAAGCACTAAACGTTTGCTAAGTATTGATAGGGCAGAGGGAACTAAGAGACAAAGATTTGACACAAATAAAGAGCTATTTATTGATAGTTTATTCAAGCAAAAAAATGCTAATACAGAATTCTTATCTGCCATCGGGAATACTTCACATCCAATCCCAAGTTTGGAAAATGCTGATGTGGAGTCATCAAATAATACTAATAACTCTACTGAAATAGATCATTTTCTTATCCAACCTAAGAATATAAATCCAGCCAGTGATGAGGAATATTCAAGTGTACCATCTTTAGTACCGGAAGAGAAATCCACATCTACTTCAAGAATAACATCTGACTCAAGCCAATTGTATACAATCCCAACTTTTCGAAACGATACTAAGAGTTTAAATATTGCCAATATTGTTTCAAATTTGAGAAATGGTTCAATTGATACAACCAGGTTGAAGTGTCGTAATGCAGGTGATGGTATGAATACTGTGTCATATAGGGATGAGCACTTCTATGATAGTTTGCCAGATAAATATTTTTGTGATGAATCTATTGATGAATCTATAGATGAAAATGAAAATTTAACAAACGATGAGGTTGAAGATCGTGAAACAACCTTTGCTCTCAGTCATCCTTATGATACGGTTAGATCATTCCATACAGGACTTGAGGACTTAAGTGTAATTAATAATGAAGGAACTAGTGTTAGATTTAATGATCACTCCAAATTATTTGTTTATACACCAAAAAGAAAAAACTTGGTGCATTCAAGAAATGAACATCAACTACTAGACTCTGAAAAAAATCAAAGTTTAAAATCAATATTAAAAACAAAAGATCATATTAGTACCGAAATTGAAAATGCAAGGGCAATTTGTTGTGATTCGGTTAACGTGAAATCATTTATACAGTCACTCAATGACTATGAAGAGAAAAGGTTAACTGATGACAAGAATAATGCAATTTCAAGAGAAAATCAAATAAGTCGATATTACTCTAAAGAAACCTCCTCAAACCGTTCAGTTATTGTTAGCGTTCAAAGCTGTGGTAGTGACAGTTAAGTGAGCTAAACATATTATAATTATATATAGATATAAAATAAAAAAAATAAGATATAAAAGATGGTTGGTTATTTTGCTGCTTAGTTCTTCTTTCCATTAATATAAATATTCTTCTTAATACAATTGTGTCATTTAGATCTGGGGTGTATGGGTGTGATGGTGCCGAAATTGCAAAAAAAGAAACTCCTCATAGGGGGCTCGAACCCCTGACATTTCGGTTATCCTTGCTTAAGTAGTAATTACTTAAAAGCCGAACGCTCTACCAACTGAGCTAACAAGGATGAGTTTCTTGAAGGGTGTATTTTTGAAACCGGTTTTGGAGTAATCGTGTATTTTACAAAAAAATATTTAATTATTTTTCTTTTACCTATATACCTTTTAGGTTTTAAGATACCAAAATAAAAAGGTTATAAATGGAAAGGTCGAGATCTACTGTATACTTTTTAATTTAAGTAAGAACAATCAAGGAAGTCCTAAGTGTATTATTTAAGAAAGCATACTTTTATTATCCCTACATTTATATGGGTATTATGAATAGTAATTGTGAATTGACGGTATCATATTTTACTCCTAACGTTAGCCTAAAACTTTAATATTATTATATTGGCATTTCATCTTATCATTAATAGTAAATGAGGTAAATTTGGTCAGAGCTAAATTTAGAATTTTGTTAATATTTTAAATTAACAGCACAATGAAAAAGTATTCAACCTGATTTTTTATTGAATGGTTATCAATAAATAACATAACACAGTACGGCTAATAGCTTTAATTAAATATTTCTATGTATTCAGCAACTTGACTCCTCAATATAATTATGATGCGAAGTTCCGACAATGCACCGACGGCTATATAGAACTTTACAACGTATGTTACTTGCAGATATGTTATTTCTTTGCCTATAATCCTGTTGGAAATAATGCTGATGCATGGTTTTACGGTTATATTAGAAGATTGTGAAGTAACAATCATTCCCAAGTTTAATACTTCTGACAAGCCCTATTGATATGTTAGCGAAGCAACATTTTTGCTGTCAATAACAAATACAAGGGTAAAACAAGTTTATGATGGAAAAAAAATATTATTTCTGTGTCAAAATAAGCAATACACATTACATAATTGTATATAATTTTGTAAATTTTTGTTGAAAGCAACAGTCTTAGTTATCGTGCTAATTAATTAATAATCTTATATTGGTTGGTTAAGATGTTGGATTTTGGAATTATTAGAGGAATCCATTTCTTTAATATGGTACAAAATTTAATTTATTAGAAATCAACGTATAGTCGTCTGATTTCTTTAGTATACAAATTATAAATAATATACAAAATAATCAGGGAAATCAAATATTCCAATGCATGAAATATTGTTCCCTTTATATACCTTTGGATTGGGTAACATTTCGTGATTATAAATCTCCAATACTAGCATTGTAGAAATTATGCATGGTTTCTAAATGCGTCTTATTATTATCTTTTCTCACTTTGGATTGTTAAATATTGAACATTATCAAATCTGATAATCTTTATTATTCTTTTATTCTTATATTTTATATTCTTGACGTCATTCTTCTATCATGTAAATTCCGACATAAGATGGCTAAATAAATAATAATAAATATTTAGTCTTACGGCCATGTTTTCTTCAAGATATCTACAGTCATTGTAGTATACTCCATGTTAGAAGTATGCTTTGAAATGTCACCACGATATACACCTGTGCTTCAAATTAGTGCTTAACATTCCAATTGAATTGGAACTTCAGCTCAGGCCTTGTAACGAAATTTCATGGGTTTTTTACTCTACGACATTGTCACACTGATGTTTCGTGTCAACAATTTTGCAGGAACCACTTGAAAGTCACAGAGATCGATGTGTCGAATCGATCGAATTCAACAGGATCCAGAATGTCGATAATAATAAAAAGTAGATGTACATGACACCGGTTGATTATCTTCCCACATTTTGCAAAGCCTTTTTACTATTTGGTCCTGGGAATTAGTTCTTCTTCTAGATTGTTTTGCTCAACAATTCATTGATTACTCGATTTCCGTACTCGTCTCGGTTCGGCTCGAAACGAGATTAAGCGAGCCTTAATAAAACTCAAGTGATGGAGAAGTCCCTGAGCCTGCTGGATAATGAATAAAAAAGGGTAAACATCTATAAAAGAGATCGAGTTACAAAAGTAAAACTGGTTTGAGGATATCCTTTTGTTTACTGTGAGCTATCCATTAAAACATAAGTATTCTTCGGTGAAAGGTTAAGTTATAACTGTGCCAAGTCCAACTAATTTAGGCGGAAACATTATGCGAAATAAAGTCGTTTACCTTTTAAGGAAGGTTACAATCCCCATTATCTCACTCACAATTTTTCTGAATGATATCCTGGTGATCTTAGTGATCCAGTATTCATCTCTCCATTTTATTTCTGTTAACAGGGAAACTTTACAAAGAATATTAGATATGACTAAACGCTCCTTTCTAGATATTTTGGTAACAATCTTAGAGATAATTGCCCCATCGCATGTAAGAATTACTACAGAAAATGATAGTGTCCCACGTAATACATTCCGTGTGAATCCAAAGACAAACGTTATTGAATCTAGTCTAGATCCATGTACGATAAGCATATGTAACCACCAAATTTATACAGATTGGATATTCCTGTGGTGGATTGCGTACACTGCTAAACTAGGGGGTAGAGTTCATATAATGTTAAAAAAATCATTAGAGTCAGTTCCATTGTTAGGTTATGGTATGAAGAATTTCAAGTTTATATTTATGAATAGAAAATGGATCCACGATCGTGCCACTTTGAGTAGCCGTTTGGGTGAGCTTGATGCAGACGCTAGACACCAAGGGCCATTGTCTGGTAAAGAACCAGCCTCTATTGATGAGGATGGTTGTAACCAGTGGCCAATTACGACTGAATCTTTAAATAGTACATCTTGGCCTTATAATCTAATTTTATTTCCGGAAGGTACCAATTTCACTGATAACACAAAAGGTAAAAGTAAGGCATACGGTGCAAAGGTTGGTAAAGCCACCTTTGATCATGTATTACTACCACATACCACAGGTTTGAGACATTGCATTAAAAGTTTACAACCTAGCTTAAATGTGGTTTATGATATTACAATTGGTTATTCAGGAGTGCGTTCAGGTGAATATGCAGAAAGTCTGTACGGGTTGAAAAGTATTTTCCTGGAAAGTAAGTATCCCAAACTCGTTGATATACATATTAGAGGTTTTAAAGTAGAAGAAATTCCAGTTGATGATGAGGAAGCATTTAATGAATGGCTGTACAATGTATGGAGGGAAAAAGACGAATTATTAGATAGGTACTATAAGATTGGAACATTCAATCATGACAAGGATTTGCAACACACAATAATTGGTGATTTTAAGATCCACCGTACTGAGGCATGTCTTGCTTTGCTATGTCCAATTGTTACAACTATTTTATTTTTGAAGTATGTTATCTCCTTCTTTCTAGGATAAACTTATATGGATAATGAACAAACCATTTATATTTGGCTAAACCGTCCCTCATCATTATGACCTCTCATGCAGTCATCAAAATAAATAAATAAAAATATCAAATAAAAGTGTGTGCATGCAGTGCTAATTAATTTAAACATATACATTTATATATATATCATTATTTTGATTTTGAATGAATAAAAAAAAAACTTAAAATGTTCTCAGGCTTATAACTTGACAACTTGGTTATTAATATCTGCCCAATCACTATCAGTAAGTAGTGTATATTCTTTGTAATTTTTTAACCAGTATATTTGGTCTTGACCGTCAACACCTGATGGTAATTTTTGGTCTCTATAAAGTTTTTTTGGAATCTTGTGGTTGTCTGTCATTTTAATCTCATTGACAAATTTCACAAACAATGGCATAGCGTATTTTGGTAAAGATTTGTTGAGGTGGTATAACATACTGTTGAGTAAGTTGAGAATTTCATGTTCTTGAATGTTTTCGATTTTGTCATTAAGTTTGATAATAGCGAATCCTGCACGACCTTCATAACCAGGAACTTTAATACCTACCACCACTACTTGCGTGATCATAGATTCGTTACTTGTGCTCACTTGATCTTCTACTTCAGTAGTTGACACATTTTCAGATTTCCATCTGAAAGTATCTCCCATTCTATCTAAGAAATACCACATACCAAATTCATCTGCTTTCAGTAAATCACCACATCTATACCATGCGTCACCGTTTCTAAAGACATTTCTAACAACTTTAGATTTAGTTTCACGTTCATTACCCAAATAACCTTGGAAAGAAGTCTCTGGTTTTCTTGGGAAAAAAATTCTCATCATCATTTCACCTGGTTCATTGATTCCTGGCTCCTCACAATAACCCTTTTTATTTCTATAGACAACAGAATCATCCTCAGGATCCATTTTGACTAGTACTTGTTGGAAGGAAAGAAACCATTGAATCACAGTACCATAGTTTCTGCATGCACCTATACCAAAAGTACCACATTGATAATTTGTAGTTGCAAATGGTGCCTCTGTGGCAGCATAAAATTCTCCAATGACTTCAATATTAAATCTGAGTCTAAATTGTTGCCATATATCTGGTCTTAATCCATTACCGAATGCAACTTTAGCATTGTGCAATTTTTCATATTCGGAGACAGGTGTGTGTAACAGGTAACGACAAATCTCACCCACATATTGAACGTGTGTTGCTTCTGTGATATAAGCTTGTTTCCAAAAATTACTTGCAGAAAATTTTGGACTAATGGCAATACAACCACCTTGAGACAGCACAGCACAGACACCTAACAATGCAGCTGTGGAATGAAACAATGGCATTGCTGTAAACACTATACTATCAGTATTCATATGGAAAACATATCCGAACAGTTGTGTCCCAACAGCACATTTTCTCCACGACATGATTGCTGATTTTGGTAAACCTGTAGTCCCCGAAGTATAAATCAACATTGAAGGTTCATAATCTTTTGCGGTAATTGGAGATCTAATATCTTCTGTCTGTAAAAAGACTGGCGACATGGGATCATTGATGACTTCTAAAAGATAATCTTCGTCTAGATAGTTCAATCTAACGTTAGGCAAAGAATTTTTTATCAATTCCTCTGAATTCAGGACTGGCGTAGAAGCATCTGGATCTATAAACACTTGGGAAATATTAGAGATCCTTAATGAATGAACTAATGGTTCGCCGACACTATTACAATTCAAAAATGCAGGTACTGCACCGATATTCCATGCAGAGTACCATAGAAATAAAAACAAAGGTTTATTCGTGCAATCAATTGCAATATAATCACCAGGTGATACATTATAAGTGTGGCGCATAATATAGGACATTCTTAATACAATTTCATATGTCTGTTTATAAGTATATGATTCTAATTCGAATTCACCACGTTTACCCTTCACTGGACGTGTATAACGAATGGATAAACCATCTGGGTTATTTTCTACTTGTTTGGTAAAGATATACCACGTTTGGAACTTATGTCTTTTAACTGACCATGCATAAAGAAACACAGATTTTAAAAAATATGGGATAATATAGAAATCCTCTTTGATTCTGTGACGTTCATCTAGTTTCTGGAAGAAATCACCTGTGAGCCAAACAGTGAGGTAAACAATTGGAGTAATGATTATTTTGATCAGCCTAAACAGCAATGTGATAATCCTTGCCAGGACAAATACAAGGACATTCAATAGCCACATACCAATTTTGGATAGCGATATTTGGTAGTATTCAGTTTCACCTTTTGGTTCTAAACGACAGTAAGGATTAATTTATAATTATATACATATATATATATACGTACCAAGACCTTTATATTTAAAAATTCAACAGCTGTTTACATATTTCCCTCAAAAATAACTCCTGTAAAACTGTTGATTGTCTATTTAAATCTTTTCACAATGCATAAGAGTCAAAACGCGGATATAGGCAAACACGCGCCGCCAAAAAAGTTTTCAGTATTGTTGAAAAGTGTCAGTAAATGTAAACGTATCTTTTTATTTATTTTAATTTAATATTTCTTATATAAAGCTGTAAAGTTTTGTGGAGGATTCTGTTATGTGGAGTTTGAATATAGATTGTGGGTTTTAGGCCTTGGTGCCATATGATGATGAGTCCGAATAATAATAGTTATGGTATGATGGTTGACTGTTTTTGCTATTATTGCTGTTGTTGGTATTGTAGTCTGGTACCAAAGTATCATCCTCTCCATTACGTAATTCCTTCAGTTTCAATCCATAAAGGATCAAACAGATGGTCATTAAGAATGCAAACCCAAACCACATCATTGAGGCTGCTTTACGACCTGTATAAACACTAACCATGCCCATACTTGCAGCAGGAACTAATTTATGAGCTGCATGGATACCAATATGAGTCCAAATGGCACTCATCCCAGAGATTAAAACTAAAGTTGGGCTTAACAATAATAGAAACAATGATAGATAATTTCTACCTGGTAGACCTGGGATAATGACATATATTAGAGATAAAAACATGATTATTGTGAGTACGATCGTCGCCATTAATAAATATGGATGGATGACATTGACTGAGGTAAGTTCACCTAATTGTAGTACATTAAGAGATGCTGAGGAGCTGTTTGAACTGGTAGTTAATAGATCAATAGAGAGGTCACGGTACAGGTTTGTAGTTGTCAGGTTTTTACGAGGATAGCATATTTGAGTCTCTTGAGTTCCTTGTAAATTGTAAGTTGTAGGGACTTTATCTATACAGATTCCCATAAATCCTGCTCTAATTTTTACTTTTTCTAGACCTACAGTGGAGGATGACTCTTTGAAACTTGATTGAATTGAACCATAGAAAGAAGATTTAGAGTTTATTTGATAACGTACTAAAAACGTTGAATCCTGGGAACTATTATAACAACCTATCAGTAAAAATATTGTCAGAAAGATAGTAATAAAGTTTAATAGTAGTGCGATCCCACGAGGAATTCTCTTAGCGATATACCATACAAGCATTTTATTTTGACGTATTAGTAAAAAAATTTAATTTGTTTAGTATTCAATTAGAGGAAACAAGGTATATAATATATAAATTTGCCTGATACAAGATACTGATATTGATTCAAAATGGTGCTCTTATATATAATATTTATAAATTATTTGTTTGTAGTGAGTATAATTGTTTAACTGACATGAAACATTTTTGAAACAAGGAAGCGACATATATAACCATGAAACATATTGCAAACAAAAAATAAAATAAAGTGTTTAGTAAGAAAAGGGATTATACTGGAATATATATTTATGTAACTATAAAAAAAATGGAGATACAGGAGAGAAGGAGGCGAAGGGTGATGAATATAAGAGAGAATGAATGAATCAAAAAAAAATCAATCCAAAGAGGATGCACCTGTAATGATATCGACCAACTCGTTGGTGATGACAGCTTGTCTGGTTCTGTTGTATAAGATAGAGTATCTGTTAATCATATCACCTGCGTTCTTAGAGGCGTTATCCATTGCATTTCTTCTTGCGGAAATTTCAGCAGCATAACCCTGAGCCATTGCAGATAATACTTGAGATGTCAAACTATATTCAAACAAATCAGTTGGTAATTTTCCTTCTGGATCGATTTCAAAGATGTTATAACCTGGGGATGTTTGAATTGTTTCAGAGTTATAGATTGGTTTTGTAGATGGTTCAAATGATAAAGAAGATATTGGATCATTAAAGAAAATAGTAATCTTTGAATAATTTTTAGCATCTAATTCTTGTAAAATTTTTGCAGTAATCAAAGAACTTTCGTAAAATGTTGGAGCATCTTTACCAATACCATTGAATGCTAATTTAATGTTGTCAGGATGAGATCTTAATAATTGCATTTTAATCTTATCACCAATGGCAACAACATCAGTTTCTGGATAAGATTCTAGATTACGTTTTACAGCTTTAGCTAATTGAGAATGAATTGACCCACAAAGCCCCTTATCAGATGTAATAGCAATTGATAAATGTCTTGGATTTTGTTCAGGTTCTGGAACATCTTTAGTCTTTGCAACATCATAAAAAGTTGCATCTGCAACATCAATCATCTTAGCGGCAGCTTTAGCCTTTTGAGCCTTTGATAATCTTGTTGAAGCCACAATTTTCATAGTCTTCGTAATTTTTTCAATATTTTTAATAGATTTTAGACGTAATTCGACTTCTTTCAAAGTAGCATATCCTCTAGCTTGTGAGACAGCACAACGTGCAGATTGTGACAGTACCGATCTAGCTAGCATAGTTTATGAAATGTATGGGATATATGTAGATGTATCTAGATCTAGATTCGATATTAGACTCTTGATAGTAATCGGTTTCTATATATTTAATGAAACTTCAATTTCTATGTATCTAAAATATCTGGCTATCCTTATTATTATATATTTCTAAAAATTATTTTTTTTTACAAATTATGTATGTTAAGTGAGAAAAAAGTGTATAGAGCGGTGCGCGTGAATTCACAGCTAAACTATGTCGAGGGATGGAAAAGAGGTAATGAATACTGGCATCTGATTGGCCAAAATTACAATATATATATATATAACAAAATAGTATTAACGATAATTTAGATATAAGAGGACAGATATCAAGAGATGGAAACCGGATTGGATCCTGAGTATGTATCGGGAAAACACAATAGGGCGACAGTCCATAAGTTTAATTGAAAAAGTGGAGAGTCACAGAACTTAAGTGCCCGATGGTAATATGGATTGATCTCCCAGTGCTTATGAGACAGAATATATGTTTGTATATATCACGTATTCATAGATACTTGCATAACTGATACAATATAAAACTGTATCTGCCCTTAGTCGAACACGCTGCCTCTGAGACTGGTGAAGTTGTATATTGGAGATCTTTATATCTGACAAGAAAGCGAATTGAACAAGAAGAAGTGAAGACTACACTCAAATATTTAAAAGAAAAAACCGTTTCTTTATCAAAACAAAAACAATTGCGATTTTACAATTGATGGAAAATACGGTGTCGTGTGTAGTGACTGTTCGGGTAACGAGTAGCTATCAGTTAATATGTATTTTGATATGTATATATGGTATATCAGTCAGTTGGTATTGTTGTCTACATGTCAAGCATTTATCCCCGTAACAACAGTTCATAGACCTGTGGACACCTTTGATGATCTGAATCATCATTTCCTTATATTTAATATCAAATCAAATCAATATCTTGAAACAATTTTTGTAATGTTAACGAACGCGTAGAGAGGTGCAGAGAACGAAAATTTTCTTTACTTTTATAGTAACTACTACTACTATATAATGATGATGATATGTGATATTTACGTGATTTTATTTTGATCTATTACTAGAAAGATAGAGACCTGTAAACGAAAAATTAAGAAAGAAAATAAAGATATTTACAACCGACGTGTGTAATAAATATGACATTAGGAGTTCTTTTGAATATTATACTATTGTGTATATATATTAAATAGGGTATTAGAGAGTATTATGTGGAAAGATATTCATGGAAAAAGTAGAAGTAAAAGAGTTAATTGAATGAGAGAGAGTTAGACATGGAATGACAGTCCTATAGGTCGTTACGTTTAAACCTGGGCACTGTTTTTCTGAGTGGTTTTTCACTCTTTCCTTCATTCTTTTTCATCTATTTTTTTTTTCTTTTACATAAGATGCAATCTATTTACTCGATATATTAAATTTTTCTTTTTCATTTTAAAAAGTTGTATTTTATATTCATATATTTCATTTTAGTATGATTTTTGTTTCTTTTGTTCTTCTTATTATATTGTTGTAATTATTACACACACATTATCACACCCATACACTTCCAGTTATATTGAAATAGTATATACACATGTATTCTCTATTATTATTATTTTTCGTATAGATACATACTCGTTAATTATAAAGTTTCTATCCAAAGAGTTTATTTTTTTTTGTTATATCAATTTCATCGAAACGACAATGCAATTTTAACATATTTATACATTCAATCAGTCTATCTTAATTGTTTGTTGTATGCATATGATTATAGTTTTAACATTCTTTTTTTTTGCTTCATTAAAGGGGAAAATAAGTTGGAACTTGTCGGTATATCTCCTAAGCCTTACACAAGGAGGGTGCATATTATTGTTTATTATTGTGTGCGTTCTCATTGGCCTCCTTTTTTGTTGTTGAACGGAAAGGGGACATTTAGCCGCTGAGATATGGTTTACCGCGGGCATTTTTCGTGTTTTATTTGATGGTATGACAACTGTAAACGATTACAAATGGAAAGAGATGGCGAGTGTGTACACTATCTATGTGAATAACTCGCTCTGTTCTTCCTTCTATTTGTTTGATAAACAAGGTTAAGATTATATTTGATGATGTTCTCTTTTCAGTGTGGTTGTTCTCTCTCTCAATTTCATATGTATATCTTGATGTCTGTTGTTCTTTAATGGCAAGAGAAGGAGAGGAGTGAGGATCCCGTTGGTATGTTATTTTATTTTGTTAAACTGCAATACAAATTTGAGAGTAACACACATTCACCGGTTGTTTTTATCTTCTTTGTATTTCAAATGAATTTTTGTTTTCATTTGGTTGTTATATGTTGAAACTTATGTTTTGGTATAATTGTTCTTATTCTTGTAGGAATAATATATTAGAAAATTTAATTAAGTTAATACTGTGTCTGGCATCTGCTTATTTACAAGGGATTGTCCAACCTGTATGTTCGCTTATAACGTCAGTCCTCTTTTTTTATTATTTTGTTTTTTACTATTGTTGTTACAATGGCATACTACAATTTTTGGAAATTTTCACTTATATATATATATATATATTCTTTTTTATTGTGATTTGTTTCATGATATTACATTCCTCCCAGTATATATTCCACTTGTAAAGATCTTGATTTGTGTTTTCTGTATTATATAAACTAATAAAAATATTGTTATTATTACTATTTTGAGACCATCGGTCACGTGCAGCAATGACTTCTGTTTTTTCTGGAAAATGTCCATAGAGAAACTCCAAGGGGAGAAGCCAAACAAAATTGGCTATTTAATTACACGCACAACAACAATAACCCCTGATATTGGATTAGTTAATAAAAAGTATTATATAAAGGGATACTAACAATTTCTGAAAATTGCAAAACTTTTGGTTGTTGCTGTTGTTCAAACTAAAAGAGTATTACCATTTTTCATTAAATACAAATGACTGAAAAACCAATTATTTTTGCACCAGAGACTTATCAATATGATAAAGATACTCTCGATGAATCTAAATTATTAAAGGATCCAATTGATCAATTTACTAAATGGTTTGACGAAGCTAAACTAGATCCAAGAGAACCATTACCTGAAGCAATTACTTTTGCATCTGCAGAATTACCATCAGGTAAAGTTAGTACAAGGATTCTTTTATTTAAAGAATTAGACCATAGAGGTTTCACCATTTATTCTAATTGGAAAACTTCAGGAAAGGCTAAAGATATTTCAACAAATCCAAATGCCGCTGTAAATTTCTTTTGGAGAGATATGCAAAGACAAGTTAGAGTTGAGGGTTTTACAGAATTTGTCTCTCGTGAAATGTCAGAAAGATATTTTAATACTAGACCAAGGGGTTCTAAAATTGGTGCTTGGTCTTCTGAACAATCTCATCCTTTAGCTAACAGAGATGAATTACAAAAATTAGTTGATGACAATACAAAAAGATTCGATGGTGTCCCCGATGACAAAATTCCTTGTCCTGACTATTGGGGTGGTCTAAGAGTCGTTCCTTTGCAAATTGAATTTTGGCAAGGTAGACCAAGTAGATTGCATGATAGGTTTCTTTACTCAAGAAATAATGAAAATGAACCTTGGACGTTAACTAGATTAGCTCCATAATGTAAATAAATATTTTATCTTATTACACTGTATATAGGATACGTTTAACTCCCTCTTTTTTTCTGTTTAAAACATATAAATATCTATGTATATATATAGATATAGATATATCTTGTTCCATTTCCCTCCCCCCAGTTTTGTACTCTCGTTTCTTTTTCCTTCGTCCTTATTTTTTTTCTTTCTTTTTTTCAAGCGATGCCTCGAAATTTTTCAAATTCTGTTTTTTGTTAAATTTTTCGCTTTCTGCTCCCCCCCTTCAATTATTTAAGAAACTTGGTATTGATATATATTTGGAAACTCATCTTCTTACTTCTTGCTTTAACGTTAAGTTTTATTCCTATTTTATTGTCATCACCATTCACATACAGAAATCTAAGAGATCAAATCCGTGTCTGTTTTTTTTAAAAAAAAATATGAGTAAGACTACTAAAGAACAATCTGCTACAGAAAAGGACAAATTGTCCCAATCAGAACAACATTATTTCACTTCCTATGATCATTTTGGGATCCATGAAGAAATGCTGCAAGATACTGTTCGTACATTATCTTATAGAAATGCTATTGTACAAAATAAAGATATGTTCAAGGATAAAATTGTTTTAGATGTTGGTTGTGGTACTGGTATCTTATCCATGTTTGCCGCTAAAAACGGTGCTAAACATGTCATTGGTGTCGATATGTCAAGTATTATCGAAATGGCACAAAAAATCGTTGATATTAATGGGTTTTCTGATAAAATTACACTATTACGTGGTAAATTAGAAGATATTGTTTTACCTTACCAAAAAGTTGATATTATTGTATCAGAATGGATGGGTTACTTCTTATTATACGAATCCATGTTAGACACTGTGCTTTATGCTCGTGATCGTTATTTAGCACCAGGTGGTCTTATCTTCCCAGATAAATGTTCTATTCATTTGGCTGGGTTAGAAGATTCTGAATATAAACATCAAAAATTAGATTATTGGCAAGATGTTTATGGATTCGACTATACTCCATTTATCCCACTTGTCATGAAGGAACCAATTGTTGATACTGTAGAGAGTAGCTTAATTAATACTACAAGAACTAAGATTATTGATTTCGATTTAAATACCGTCACTTTAGAAGATTTAAAATTTAATGTTCCATTCAAGTTACAAGCAAAGAGACAAGATACTATCAATGGTCTTATCGCTTGGTTTGATAATGTTTTCCCAGCTCCAAAGGGTCAAAAACCAATAGAATTCTCTACAGGACCTTATGCAGCTTATACTCATTGGAAACAAACCGTTTTCTATTTAGAAGATGATTTAGAATGTGAAAAGGGTGATATCTTAGAAGGTACTTTATTCTGTGCTCCAAATGGTAAAAACAATAGAGACCTTGATGTTAAGATCAAATATGATTTCAAAGCTGGAGGTGTTGATGGTAAAGAAAGATCGGTTAAGAATGAAAATACTTATTTGATGCATTGAATATGTGTTTAACTCATTTTCACCAACAGTTTTCCTTTCCCACTTTCATTATCCCCACTTACCAATATTCCAAAGAATCATGGACTCCTTATTGTATATTACTATTATTATGAACCTGATTTTTTTTTTATATATATAGATATAAAACGTATACGTGTATTTAGATGCATACCTAATGTATTATTATAGTTAAGAATAGATATATTGAATAATTCAAAGATTTATGGGAGCTCTAAGTAATTGTTTGTTTTTCACAGAAGAAGTTACGAAATTTAGGGATATATCTTTCTTACGATAATTTTGTTTTATGTTAAAACGTGTTTTGGTCTTTTTCTTAATTTTGATATTTTCAGGTATGTTAATAAAGTGAATGACCTTGTGTGATACAACAAAATCAACAAAACATAATTAGTTGTTGGTATCTTGGTGAAGGAACAGAGATTGGTTCGATTGAAATTTTGAGAATGGCCAAAAAAAAATTCAAAAAATGCTTTCACTCGGAGTTGAACCGAGGATCTCCACATTACTAGTGTGGCGCCTTACCAACTTGGCCATAAAAGCTACTTATTTGTACTTTGTTGTTTAAAAATGTTGTATAAACACAGCTTTATTTTTCTATTTTGTTAGTAATATGGCTATTTTCCTATTTATTCCTTGTCAATAATCTTTCACTGGTGGGTTAATTAATTCATGACATGAAAGGTATTTATAATAGATATATTTGACTATGTAACTACTGCGTAAAATGCTTGGTTTCCCGATATTTGGCACATTAAAATATAAAATTAACAAATAAATAGTGAGAAACAGATAATTTTTCTTTAGAAATAAGTGCAATTTGATATATTTTTGGGTTTCTGTTGCACTGCTTATGATATTTGCAATAAGATAAAGTTAATATTAATGTGTTAAATGTGATCTAACTAGCCTATGGTATTTTACGAGTCCCTGCTAGGTACCGGTATACCTGGAAATAATGATAACTTCTTATTAACGTTGGACAATAACTGTATGACAAATACTTTTGGTGTTTATACAGAAGTTCTTTATTATTCTAGAGAAACCCAAAAGAGGGTTTTTGCTCTATCTTAATCTACTTTCTATTAAAAAATATATCCTTGCCACTTCTATCGTATTTCCAATATATCTGTTTAAATATGCCACAATCGAAATTATTTTACTAGTCTGTTTCAGAGTTTAGTCACAATTAACATTTAACCACTACTATATACACCCTTTATGGCGTTTTGTTACTAAATGTCACAATATGTTGCATGAACGATCAAATTAGAATTATCAAAATTTTAATTCTATATGCTTATACATAAATAACTATGTATCTATGTAAGTAATATTTCATTGAAAATAATGTTCAAAGTTGACCGTTTTTAACAAAATTTGTTATTTTCGTAAAATCTTTAACGCCATCGGTCTCTACACCACCACTGACATCAACACCAATGACACCATGTAACGTGATTGCATCATGAACATTATCGGGTGTTAATCCACCAGCCAATATATATTGAACACTTTCTCCATCTTTTATTGGAATCTCCTTGGACCAATTTGATATTGATTTCCAATCAAGAATTTCTCCTGTACCACCAGCTTCTGAATCAAATAAAGGTAAACAAGTTTTTTTTAAATTTTTATCATTTCTTTGACAAATTTTAATAACTTCATCACAATCTCTTGGAAATATGACTCTTTTTATTACTGGTTTATTAATGAAATTTTGATATTCTTCCCAGTCTTCATCTCCATGTAATTGTACAATATCGATATTGTAATCTGTAGCTAATTTAAGGACATCTTCCTTTGATTGATTTCTAAATACACCAACAAGACAACGATCATTATATTGAGGAGTTGAATGAACTAAATTAGAGATATCTTTCGCTATATTAGATTGAATAGTTCTCTTTCTGTTAGGAACACATATTACACCAATTAAATTCGCACCTGAATCTAAAGCACATTTAGCAGCATCAACTGATTGAATTCCACAAATTTTAACAATAGATTTATTAGGTACTCTTGACACTACTGAGTTAAACCTTTCTAAGTTCATTATTAATATGAAACAGTGTATGTCTTTATGATATTACTTCTTTTACTTGAAAGAGTTTTATATATGTATAAGGTTCTCTTTCTTACGTAATAGCTTCTTATATTATTATAATTTTTTTTCCGCTCTCTCTCTCTCTCTCTTTCTTTTTTACTTTTTAAAAAGAGGATACTTAAAAGGAAAAGCGATTAAGCGTTTTCAAATTTGGGAAATAGTATGAGACAAAGATTAATGCTCAATGTCTAGTACATAGAAATTTATATAAATTTTGTTTGAATGATTAATTATTTTTTAATTTTTTTTGAATGTAACTTTATTATATTTATGTACCCGAAAATTATTTAATACAAAACCCCTCCAAAAGATATTGTTATTTTTGCATTACAATATTAAAGAAGCAAACATATTTTTTTAAACAATTCATTACTTGTTAAAAAAAACTGTTTCTTCTTTAGAGTTGTAAGTAAATTCTAATGGAATTGATAGAAGAGAGAGAAAAAAAGAGAAATAGTAATAGTTTCTATATAGAAAGGAAAGAGGAAACAAAAACGTTATGTTTATGATCTTTCACCTCTTAGTCTTCTAGCTAGCTTAATATCCTTCTTTTGAATAGTAACTCTCTTAGCGTGGATAGCAGCCAAGTTAGTATCTTCAAATAGAGAGACTAAGTAAGCTTCAACGGATTCTTGTAGAGCACCGATAGCAGAAGATTGGAATCTTAGATCAGTCTTGAAATCTTGAGCGATTTCTCTGACTAATCTTTGGAAAGGTAGCTTTCTAATCAAAAGTTCAGTAGATTTTTGGAATCTTCTGATTTCTCTTAGAGCAACGGTACCTGGCTTATATCTGTGAGGCTTCTTAACACCACCGGTAGATGGAGCAGACTTTCTAGCAGCCTTGGAAGCTAATTGTTTTCTTGGTGCTTTACCACCAGTGGATTTTCTTGCTGTTTGTTTGGTTCTAGCCATTTTAGTTGGTTAATTCTGGTTTATTGTGAAGTAAATATAAAAGAGAGAAGAAAATATAATATATAAACTAAAGATAAAAAGAACAAGAATAGAAGTAAGACTATATTTAAAAAAAAAAATAGAGGAAAGAAATGGAAAGGAAATAGATAAAGTAAAAGGAAATAACGATCCTTTTATATTATATAAATTCTTATTTATTTATTTATTTTTATTGCTTTCCAAATTCTTCTAAAAAGGACCCACAAATTCTCTCTCTTTCTCAACAAAACAATACCGACCTCATTACTTCTTCTCCTTTCTTCTGTGCGATAAGAATAAGAGAGGAAAAAAATGTAGCACACCGTCCAATCATAGTTGTCCTCCCTTTCCCCCCGTACCACGATCTACTTACCACAAATTTTCACATAGCTAACAAATTTGTTTTTCTTCCATAAAGAACGAAGAATAATAGTACAAAATTGATTAAAACATATATCGTTTTAAAAAATGTTATTAATGGGGCGAAAAAATGGGAATGATTTAATTATGAAGATTGATGAAAATATCAGCACGGGTTCTTCGTCCTAAAAAAAACAATTTTTCTCTCTTCCTGTTCCCTCCCCGCGCGCGCCCCATGCGCTTTTAACCGTTTTCGGACGTATCTCTCTTTGGGATTTAAAGGGTTTTATTTCTTAGTCGCCTTCGTCTGGCGGCGGTGGTGGGTTTGTTCTGATAATTTCACAGTGCAGAGTTCAAATGACAGTACTAAGCGTTCTCAAATTTTCACTTTCAACTAATGTCATATTAAAATGATCATTTGAGCGTACTTTTCACTATTCTTATTATTATTATTATTAGTTTTGTTTATTTTTTACATGCTGGAAAGGAGAAAACAAGGAGAGAAAGAGTGTGTGTTTGTGTTTTGTTTATTGGAAAAGAGTTATGTTCCTTTTCTAATTCCACTAAATTAATAGTACAGACACACATACAATAAATGATGATAATATAGTATTGTTAACAGTGGTAGTTCCTATTGAATCCTCTTTCTTTGGAACCACAGATGTTTATTAACTTATTCACAATAATTTTAATTTTTTTTGATTTCTTCTTCTTTTAAAATTAATATATAAAGGACCTTGTTATTATTTATATTTATCTTTATTAATCTTTTTTTGTTTCTTTCAATGCTATTATCTTATTATAAATTTTAGTCTTTTCTTGTGTTTTTCTTGTTTTTATTTTTATTTCTATTATTCTTTTCTATTTTTAATATTTTTATATATATTAATTAAATCAACAAATCAATAAATAAATAATTAAACAATGTCCGGTAGAGGTAAAGGTGGTAAAGGTCTAGGTAAAGGTGGTGCTAAGCGTCACAGAAAGATCCTTAGAGATAACATTCAAGGTATCACAAAGCCAGCTATTAGAAGATTAGCAAGAAGAGGTGGTGTTAAGCGTATCTCTGGTTTAATCTACGAAGAAGTTAGAGCTGTCCTAAAACAATTCTTAGAATCTGTTATTAGAGATGCTGTTACTTACACTGAACATGCTAAGAGAAAGACTGTTACTTCTCTAGATGTTGTCTACGCTCTAAAGAGACAAGGTAGAACTTTATACGGTTTCGGTGGTTAAAAGAAACAAATAATTTATTATTTAAATTATTTTTATTCTTTTTTTCTTTCAAAATATCAATTTTGTATTATATTTCATTTATTCTCTCTCCTATCATTGATCTTTAAACAAAAAAGAAAGAGTTATTTAGTTATTGGAGTTGAGAATATGGGTAACAATTAATTTTTTTTTCTAAACACACACTATATATCTATATATATTAACATAGATAAAAAATCTCTTTCAATGGGTAATAAACAAATATCATTAACAAAAAAAAAATTATTATTTTTATATATTGTATATATTTTTATAGTTTTGGTAGATATCGCAACATTTACAAGTAACCTCTTCTCGGTAAACAAAAAAACAATAGTGATAATCTTAAAAAAAAAAAATTGGAACTACATAGACTAATTTCTTAATAGAATGATAAGTTTATTAAACAATAAAAGATTACGTATATTGAATTCTTAATTCTTTATAAAGCAATAATGAATATTGTTAGAATTCCTCATTTATATCTTGTTGAGCATTGATTATATTTTTATTTTTATTCATTTTTTATTATACAGATATTCTACAGATAATTCTTCTTAATATATTTCGGAAAGAATTATTTAATATACAGATTATGTATTTCAAACCTCTGTCTTTATATATTACGAATTTGGTGGCGTAGTTGTTAACCTTCACATTCATGAACTTCTTATTCTAGTATAGTCGTATAGGCCTATTCAATTATAATAATTGCCCATAGTATTCTATGTGTCATTTAATTAATGTTCCTAATCATTAATTATTATGCTCATGCGAATATCTTATACCATGTATCCTTAGAATATTCAGCTCAGTAAATATACATAAGATTTAGGACATAGATCTTTTTTACTTCGATAGTCCATGCTCTTTATGTATGTTTGGTATTTGTTCATTTCCTTGTTCGTACTAGAACCACTTTGTCTCAGACCAAGTAGGATAGACCAATTTTATTATCTTTAACTACTAACCTTTCGGCGTATCGTTTATTATTTCTTTGTTCTTAATAAGTTTATGCTATTGCTATATAGAGACTTAAGATTCAGCAGCACAAAAGAGTACGATGACAGTATCGCAGTAGTTATAGGTAATAAGATGAACGTATTCGAACTTGACTATGTTTTTCTTGTACGAAATAAGAATCTCAAATACATTACCAAATATATGTCTATAAAGACCATGTATTGTAAGACAGAAAAAAAACTAATTCCTAAATCTTATGTATAGTAATTATTTTTCAGGATTTGAAAGAAAAATCGTATGGAATAAATTTGTTAATTAAAAACTTTGAATAAATATAAAATCTACAAAATGGAATTTACTCTATAAGATGACAATGCTAGTAATACAAAACGCTTATCAGTGGTAGCGCTGTTTGAAGAATGCTCTACAGGGTCCTTACTCTTATATTGAAAAAGACTATAGGACTAAATTTACTACATTCACTATCCAAGACATTTATGCTCGTATTTCCGCAGAATATGACTATCACCAATTAAAACCTTCCGGTCCGCCAAAGTGTTATTACTGTCACAATACCGGTCACATTACCTCCAAATGTCCGAATAGATCTTTAAAAACTTCTAAGCCACCAGCCAAATCTTCTTCCAGAGGTCCAAAATATTCCAGTCGTTCAAATAATAAGAAAAAAGCCAATGCTGCTGCACCGGAAACAATTAATCATATCACCATGAATGAGCAAACGGCCCAAGATGATTAGTGGCTTAGGCCTCCTCCATTACATGTGAATTCGGATCAATATTTTGTTCTAGCTTCAGGGGCTACAACTTCTGTTGTGAAGGATGGTTCTATAATAATCAAATTATAGAACTATCCGCTTATATCCTTCCCGGATTAGGCAGAAATCTATTGAGCACCGAAGAGCTCGAACACCAGGATGTTTTCATACATGCCAAAATTAGTGCTCTTGAATCACCTTCCGGTGAAATCTTAGCGAAATATGTACATTCCCAATCGTTACCCTGGTTGTCATTTCATCACATAGTACCTCCAAACAACATCTCTATAAACCACTTGATACAAAAGTTTCCTCTCGATGTTATTCATCGATTACTTGGTCATGTCAATGTGAAAAGTCTCCAGACATCAATCAAAAATAAAACGTTTGATCACTTCACCTTAGACGACAATGATTGGACAGGTATCTCTACATTTCAATGTGATACCTGCTTACAGGGTAAAAGCCGGAAACATAAACATACCGTAGGATCACGCTTAAAATATCAAAAGCACTACGAACCTTTTCAATACATTCATTCTGATGTATTTGGCCCAGTTTCTATTTCTGCTCCATATCCGAAATACTTTGTCGCATTCACCGACGAAGCCACACGGTTCAGATGGGTCTTTCCATTAACAGAAAAATCTGCTGATACAATGTTACACATTGTTACATCTCTGGTTAATCTTATTAACAGACAATTTCAGTCCAAGGTCTTGTGTTTTCAGTTCGATCACGGAAGAGAATACGATAATAAACTTACACGTAAATACCTCGAAGCAAATGGTATTCAATTCATATTCAATTCTGTTGCTGATTTGGCGTCCAATGGCATTGCAGAACGCATGAACCTCACTCTCTTAAACGACTGTCGTACTTTACTAAAGTCGTCAAGCCTCCCAAATGACCTATGGTTCTATGCTATTCAATTTTCTACGACCAGTCAAAATTCTGTCTTCAACGAAAGCCTTCAAAATTCGTCACACGCTAAAGCCGGTCTCCCTGACAAGATGTCAAAACAATACTCCAATTTGGTCAACCTGTTATTACGCATCTTACCAAAACGGTCTCCGGGTTACACTATCAAGGTGAACCTGGATTTGCATCCTGTCTCTCCAGTAATCGTTATGGGTATCTGATTTACATTCCAAAAACTCGAAAAATTGTTGACACAGCCAATTACGCAGTGGTCAAGCACCAAGTATCAATAGAAGAAACTGTTGAATATGATGGAACCATCCCTGATAGCCTCCTTAATGAGTTCAATGATCACGACGATGAGCTGGCTACCATAGAACCACTAACCCCTGATCCAAACCTACCGACCCTCCTAACAGATCAGAGTTCAGATCTTGAGGTTATGTTCCTTCATGCAGCAATGTTACTATATCGTGGAACTACAATATATTAGAATAATATTAAGTATTGCCGTATATATCTAATATAAATAAGGACTATATGTCCGTCGTTCACAATAAAGTTACACTTACACGTTCTCTTTCTTCAAGAGAGAGATAGGGAGGGAAAGAGTAAACAATGTTGAGATAGAGTATTTATATAACCTGCCAATTGACTTCGCCTTCTTACACAGTTTCTGTGCACAGCCACATCGCATTGTACAAGAAAAATACTAACTGTGTTAAATCACATTTGTGTTTTCCAACACCTTTATTAAGTAACTTACATACATATTTCTTGACGTTCTTGTCCTCTACAGTGAGAACAATAAATAAATTTCCATACTTTTTACTTTCTAACTATGTTTAAATATATATATGCCATGTTTCTTGTTCCAGTTTTTGAACTTAATATGGCGAACGCGTCAAGAATCGAAAGATTAGTTCATATTGGAACTTAAAAACAGACTTTTTGCGTCCAATCTGACATTATGTACGTGTATAGGTCTACAATTATTACTCAAAAATATGGAAGTTGCCTAAATCTTGAAATCATACATATATAGACTTAACATTTACGTTTAAAATGAAAATACATTCTCAACTATCAAACTTGGTAAAATTCTTCCAAGACACACCCACCCATCCATTTTATTTCATAATAGACACCACTCAATACTCAATTATCCTGGTAAAACACATCTCACCTCAACAACAAATGTCTTTCCATTGAGTGACCATTTCCATTCAAAGAGAACTTAAAACTTGCGCCGTTTGTTGATATTTCATAAATTTTCGCTATTTCTGCGCGCGTTGCGATTCAATTTCGTTTTGTTTTTTATTTTTTAAAAATATCGTCATCAACTTCATCGAGACACGTAATACGATGAAATAAATTGAAGATAAGAATCATACACTTCATATAAGGAATTGCTTAGTAATTCCTGAGATTGGTAGAAGAAGTATATTTAAAATAAGTTCTTGATTTTATTAACTAGGATACTACCGACTTGCTGCTTTTAATCAGAGATATACGGTACCATTATTGATAGGAATGGTTTTGGATGATCCTAATATCTCGTCCATCTCCGAGGAAGTGAATAAATCGAGTCTCGAAGACAGCAATAACAACATCAACAACAGTAATAACAGCAACAATACTAGTGGGTACAACACGACCACTGCTTACTCAGATACAAACTCAATCAGTACATATTCATATTTTAATTCAAATGCAAGTGTTATATCTTATGACTCAATATTAACAAATGACAGATTACTTGATAAATTAGATCTCAGTCAAGATGATAAGATCTTATTACAAAACGTTCTAGAAGAAGAGAAAAGACAAGAGATTGAATCAACAAATCAACAAGAAAATGATTCTAGAGTACTTTGTGTTCCAGCTTCACAATTTCCATCTTTAAAGATTAAACAACTTCCAAACGAGTCCTTAACAAATAATAATTCCCGTGATTCCATTAGACAGTTGTTAGAGAAAGATTTTACCTTCAAGGATAAATGTTTGGCAGCTCAAGTGGAACAACATTATGCTTCGACTTCAAGGTATTCTTATATAGTCGAAGAAGATTATGATGATGATTTTATGAATTTGTTAAGCAATAAAAATTTAAATACAAATGTGAATCAACCCAATAGCACTCCTACCACCGTGGCTAATAATGCCAGGCATATTAAGATGTCTAATAATTATAATTACAATAACGTAGTAGATTCTCAAAATAAGTTTAATAAAATTTATTCACAACAAGGAAGAAACACTATGACACCTCCTACACAATTTAATAAAAATATTAGATCGAAATTACAAGGAAATCAAAAATATCTCAATAATTCTACAAACTTCTCTGCATCCATTAATACTAATTCCACTAATAACAGCTTACCAAATAGAAATCATCAATATACTTCAAATAATAATCCTCATAGCATATCAAATTTTGAAAGATTTAGACTCGATAATTCAAGATTGTCAAAATACAGCGCTCAACTAAATGATACACAAAATACTACTAAATTTAAAAATAGCAATAATATTACTAATACTTCTAATAATCAAAGTTCGTCTAGATATACTTACTCTAAAGAATACTATAAATATTCTGGATGGGATACAGATAATGATAATTCCAATAACAAATCACTACATGATAACTCTCAATTTCGACCATTAAACGAGAAATTTAATAAATTTCAAACACCAAATAGAGACAGTAATATGACGATAACGTCTAATCCACGAAATCCAGTTGATATAAATACTGTATCAAAAATCGCAAGTGTTAAGAGCGACTCAGAACCACCGAGTGCACTGATGTCTAGAAATAGATCTCCCTTTACTACCCCAATGACTTCCATAGTTAACGATAAATCAACCGAGCATGTTAACCTAATAACAACCCCTCAGAAGATACCAAAGACTGATGAAGAACCACAAGTTAATTTGTCTGCAATTCCATTGGAAAGACCAACATCTCATAAGAGCCATAAAAAAAAATCGTCATTAAGTTCATTCAAAAATCTTTTCAAGACCCCTAAATCTAAAAAATCACATAGCAGTAAAGAAGATTTAAATAGTAAATCCAAATCTCGGTCAGAGAATTCAACTAAGGTAAAGGATTTCTCAACAAAGGACAGTACAAGTTCAGTGGATCTAACTTCTTCAAACTCATCAGTTGAAAATTCTCCCTCATTAGGAAAAAGTAATCTTCGTAAATTTATATTCCCTCCAAACCCAAGTTTACATTTAGATTCAAAGGCCAATCATAATAAAAATGGAAATATCATGTACAAGGATAACCATTACCGATCTTTATCTGATATGAATAAACCAAGTATCCCCAAAGCAATGACAGGGTCAACAAGTCTCCAATCATCTCCATCTAGAATACGGAAACATAAACATAGTATATCTACGCAATCAGGGGAAGCAACACTATATCTTGATAATTCCAAAATAATTGATCTAGAAAGTCACAAGATTTCTACTGGCCTGTCTGATGTTTCATCACAAGATAACGATCTGACTGATAAGGACAGTAACATTAGATCGGGATCTCCAATCTCACTTTCGAATTCCTTAAAGGAAAATATCTTAATGACCCCAAGTAATGATTTACCACAGGGAAATCATCATAATTCCAAAAGTTCAAGTCAGAACGCTATCCAAACTACAAATAGTGGTGTTGAACATCAAAATACTAATACTCTTATCACATCGGCAATAAATATGCGGATTGAAGGGAAACTAGAAGCTAGTGCGTTAAAACTAAAGAAAGCGTGTGAATCAGGTAATACGACAGCATTTTTGCTTTATGGTTTAGCGTTGAGACATGGCTGTGGTACTCCCGAAGACCAGAGATTATCTCTTTCTTACATTAAGAGAGCCACGGGAATCAAGTCATTTGAGGATGAAGTATATAGCTGTGATATTGACCCATTAATACTTGAAGAAAATAACAGTATTCCAACTAAGTTGCAGGAACCACTAGTACCTGCTCTTCATGAATGTGGTATATCATACTTGAAGGGTTATGGAGGCGAGGAAGCTGATGAATTCAAGGGTTTAAAGTTTTTAGAAAAAGCTGCTTCATTGAATCATGTGGATTCTATGTGTCTTTGTGGTATTATTTGGTCTCAGAAGTCAGAGAATAGAAAAAAGGATATTGTTAGAGCAGCAGCTTGGTTTAGATTAGCAGATAAGCGTGGAGCCAATCTGATAGGATCTGAATGGATCTACAAGAAGAAATATATGAAGGGGAGGTCGCCATAGTTTGTAATGCTATGCCTATTTTCTTTTTTGTCTTCCCTCTGCATATAAATCTACAAGGAACTTTTTTTAAAAAAAACACATTAACACTAATAATTATAATAATATATTCTCCAAGTTAATAGACATTTTATATGTATATATAATAATTATGAAGGTTGCTGATGCAATACACCTAGTAATCAATCGGACTATATATTAGTAATTAAATTCTCGGAGGTAAACACCCGATATTGATTGTCTTAATCACAGTGTAGTCTTCAATACCATATAAAGAACCCTCTCTACCAAAACCAGATTCTTTAACACCTCCAAATGGAATAGAACAGTCAGAAAATAACCCTGTGTTGGCTGATACTATACCTGACTCTAGAGCCTCAGCAACTGTGTAGACAGTATCGATATTCTTAGAGAAGACATATGATGCAAGACCAAATTCACTGTCATTAGCAAGCTCAACAACTTCTTCTAAGGTATCAAAAGCAAAAATAGGACATAGTGGACCAAATGTTTCTTCTTTTGCAACCAAAGCATCATGTGGAACATGGGATAAAACAACTGGAGCATAAAAGTTTGAACCCAAATCTGGTAGCAACCCTCCTTCTACAACAATTTTTGCACCTTTTTCAATCGCATCCTTCTTGTGGTGTTCAACTTTAGCAACAGCTTTCTCATTAATTAAACAACCATGGGTATTCTTCGGATCCAAACCATAACCAATTGAAAACTTTCTTACCTCTGCTGCCAAGCGGTCAGCAAACTCATCGATAATGGAAGAATGAACATATAATCTGTTACAGCAGACACATGTTTGACCCAAACCTCTAAACTTAGAGGCAATTGCTTGTTCAACAGCTTGATCTAAATCAGCGTCATCAAAAATAATCAAAGGAGCATTACCTCCCAATTCTAACGATAGCTTCTTTAAAGTAGATGCAGATTGCTTCATCAAGATTTTACCTACATTAGTGGACCCAGTAAAAGTAATTTTTTTCACTTTTGGTGATTCACATAGTCTCAATCCAAATTCAGGAGTCCTAGTGTGACTTAGGACAATATTTAAAACACCATTAGGAATACCAGCCTTTTCTGCTAGATAACCTAAAGCTAATGCTGAAAGTGGAGTAGCAGAATCCGGCTTAATTACTACCGTACAACCTGCAGCCAGAGCAGCAGCAGCTTTTCTAGTAATCATAGCGCTAGGGAAATTCCAAGGACATATAATACCACAGACACCAACTGGTTGTCTTAAAGTCATGACCCTGTTAGTTGGGTTACTTGGTTGAATAGTAGCACCATACAATCTTGGTGCCTCTTCAGCATACCATTCAAAATAAGATGCTGCATATTTAATTTCACCAATCGCATCACACATAGCTTTACCATTTTCCCAAGCGATGATCTTTGCTAAATCTTCAACATTTTCAATCATTAAGTTGTACATGTTTCTTAACCATTTAGCCCTATCCCTTGGAGATGTATTCTTGTAGGTCTTAAATGCATCGAAAGCTACGTCAATTGCCCTTTCAACCTCAGAGACTGGTTGCTCTGGTAACTTTGCAATTACATCACCACTTGCAGGATTAGTTACCTCGAAAAATTCTGGTGCAGATTCAATCCATTCACCGTTAATATAGGCTCCCTTTCTAACCAATTCAGGGTCTTGAAATGTTGGTTCTGGGAAACGTTCTGATTGCATTTTTAACTTTAATGTGTATATATAGACTGATAATTAAATTTGCTCACTTTTAGGTGTCCCTTAATATCTGAAGATGTTACAACTATCCAAAAAAAAAATAGGTGAAAGTAGAGTAACAAATCTATTGATGATATATTTAGTGTTTAACTTAATATTATCTCACCTCACTCTTTTTAAAGAAAGCCAAATATTCTTTCAGTCACTATTTTTCATCCTGATTAAACTGTCCCTTATATATATGCATAGGATAGATGACTTTATTGGATGAGAGACACTGAAAAAAAAAGATAAAGGTCCGATGTGTAACTTTATTTTTTTGACGGCTTGAGAGACAGAAAAACTACCGTAGAAACCATATTTCTTATTCGGATGATTTAGTAAGTTGATCTTGATTTGATAAACATTTTTATTGATGGGTTGATTGATCTGATTGCGATAAGCAGTCCAGTGTGTGAGTGAGCTGTAGAGAGATTAGATAAGAGAACCGATGTGACAATCAAATATTTGATATTTGGTATATAGTTCCTGATTTGACTGTTAATGTTGAATAGCTGTTTGCAACCAATGTCATAATCTACCGTATCTGATACATCTGTCCTGCCTTTTTAGGTGATTTATATCCATTAATCTATGATATATTGGTTAGTACAATTATTGTTACTATCTTAATTATAGTTATGTCGTTTCTATGAGTTATGTTTGAGTTGTCGCAGTAGTTTAATCACTCTCCTCTAATAGTAGAATTTTGTCAGAGGAGCATTGGTTATTGTATTTAATTCACAAACAGCACTTGTAATATATGACATTCAGATACAAATGTTACACAGTTATGCATATATATATATATATATATATCATAAGAAAAAATATATGTTTAACATAATTTATTGTTTTTGCAGTTTACAATAAACATGTGAATGAAGTAATATCCTTGAATCTGTAAAGTTATGTTTTGTGATTTATGTCTTTATCAATTACTATATAATGTTTGACACTACCCTGTTAGTAGGAACAAGGAAGAAGAAAATTGTTTAGAATTGCGATCTAACGTAAGGTTTATTTAATCTTGGTTACTGAAATTACAACATTTATTTTAAATATAGTCTCTCCTCTTGTGACTTTTATCCTTTTTAATGTGTTATGGTCCCTAATCGATAAAACTGACCAAAATTGTCAAAACGACCTAAGATATTTTTCACTTCGGTTTAATCAGTTAGCTTTTTTTCGAGGCATCTAAAATAATATCGTAACAATAAAAAATAAAGAAATCATGGAGAAGAGAGGTTATAAAACTTCGAGAACCCATTTATTATATCAGTATATAAATTTTGTTCTACTCTCTTTGTTATTTTGAAGTTTACAGTTTGGGTTGTTACTCTCCTGCTGTTCATAATTATAATGTTTAGTCGTTCACATTCGCAAACTACAACTCAGCCAGAGATCTTAAAAGATGGTAATGACAAAATTGGTAAAAAACAGGACCAATCTCTGCAGAAACCATCAACAATGAAGGAACTGGTACAGATTAGTATACTATTTCTAATTGTCAGGGTCATCCAATATACACTTGTCTTAGTTACACCATTATCCTCATTTGATAATTCAACCAAGTTACTACTCAATGCATATGTGTCTAAAGAAGAACAAAATAAATTCATTAATAGACATTTACTTAATAAGTTATTATCATGGGATTCCGTATTTTTTGCAAAAGGTATGATGTCGAAAACATCGTTACCTCAATACGAACATGAATTCGCATTTTCTATTACCTGGACAACGTTTCTGAAATATATATATAGGAAATTGCATTTAGCGAATGAAGTAGGAACAATCCCATTTTATAGTATCCTGAGGATGGGTATCATCTTAGAAAATATTCTCCATTTCTCTTCAGTAATTGTGCTCTACCATCTAACATATCTCGTCTTCAGTCCAAAATTATCTACTGCTCATAACAGATATGCGACTCAAATGGCTAAGTGGACCGCTATATTACAGGTGTTCACTGGTGCGGGCGGATTTTTATTAGGAATATATTCTGAACCATTATCATGTTTATTATCATTTGTAGGGATGACAGCTAGAGAATATTGTACCAAGGACGTTACATACAAATACACATTTAAAAACCCTTTCAAATCATTTATACTTTACACGATTATATCCACATTATGTTTCAGTATTGCTACATGGAATAGATCAAATTGTATTCTTCTGGGTATCTTTTATGTTTATGACCTGTTGCAATTGATCAAGATCAAATCTTATAGGAGGGCAATCCAATTTCCTTTATTGTCAGGTCTTTTAATGTTGATTTCAATTGTGATCCAACAATATTATATCCCATATAAGAGGTTCTGTCCTGAAAGAGGTGAATGGTGCATGACATCGTTTTTTCCTAATAGCTATTTGTCATTTATCACCAGGCAATCATTGTATTCTTACATTCAATCCCATTATTGGAATGTCGGATTTATGACGTATTGGACTCCAAACAATATTCCAAATTTTCTGTTTGCGCTTCCAAATTTGATTATCGTCGCATATTCATCCTTTTATTATTCGTGGATTTATCCTCTAAATAAGTTGAAACCTTTAATCGTAATATCTATGGCGTTTTGGATCTTAATGTTATTTATTGCGAACACTCAAATTATAAATCGTGTAGTAACATTCATACCTTTACATCTATGGTACATATCTGATCGACTGGTTAAAAACTTTAGTGATCATAAAATAGAATCTGTGACAAAAGATGATGATCTTTTGGTAAAATATTATATATATTGGCTGGTTATGTGGTTACCAGTACAAACAATATTATTTGCCAGTTTCTTACCACCTGCATAAATTACCCAAATATCATTTCTTAAAAACTTTATTCATAATTTTTATAGACAACCTTCTGCATCTCGAATAACATTAGAAACTCCTTCCAGTCTCTATATTTATATTTATCTTTCAAATGAATCACAATTTTTTTTGATACTTTTTATTCTTATGTATGTATGGTTATTTAATTATTTATTTAATAAAACCAATAAAAAGAAAAAAGAAAAAAGAATATCATTAATTAATATTATTTATTCCATTTTTTTTGTCTGTTTAAGTGATTATTATATGCAAAAGATCTTGAAATGAGGGAATAAGATTTGATCCCATAATTAGAATCTTACGATTTTTTTTTATTATTACTTTTTTTTTAATATTCATTTTTTTTTTACAAATATTAATGTGATGTTCTAATCCTTCTTGTTTAGTTCTTGAGCTTTTTCAAATTCTTCCTTAAATTTATCAGCATTTTCTTTGTTACCGAATCTGATGGCAAAGGTGAAAGCTTCAGCATCACCTTCAGCAATATCAGCAGTACAGGTGTAAACCCAGGATCTATCAGAACCAACGTTTGGTTTCAAAGTATATTCTGGAGCAATAATATGGTTAGCACAGACTTTTAAAGTCTTATCTCTTCTCATTAATAATCTGACTTTACCAGTAACTTTGTTCTTTAAGAACTTACAATCACCAGTACCTCTTTCTTTCCATTCCTTGGCGTCGGCATCGAATCTAAATAATTTAGCTCTAACTTTGAATAAGACATCTTCATTTTCTTCATTTGTCTTAACATCTACCTTTTCTAAATGAACAATAGGTTCGAATTGAGGATCATTTTCTTCGGCAGCTTCAGCATCTTCAGCATCTTCTTCCTTCTTTTCTTCTTTAGTTTCTTTGGTTTCAGCCTTTTCAGCTTTCTTACCACCAAACATGGAGAAAACGGAAGCGGTTGGTGGCTTGGTGGCGGTGGAATCTTCAGCGGTAGTTGGCTTAGCGTCAGTAGACATTATGTGTAGTGGATACTAGTTTGATATGTGGTATTATGAATTGAACACAGAAGTAAATCAAAATGGGTTTTTAAAAAAACAAAACAATTTGCATCCAATGCATCCCTTCTTAAGTTATTATAATATATATATATATATTTTTTTTTTTGCTTTTCTTAATTGCGAACGATTTCACGAAAATTCAAAAAAAAAATTTCCATCGCCGTCGCCAAAAAAACAGAAAAAACAGAAAATTTTGGATTGAAAATGATTAATTTCTTAGTCGTAGACTGTGATATCATGTGATAAAAATTGAATTTAGTTATTTCATTGAAAACTTTTACCAAGAAAATATTAATATACATATATATATATATATGAATAACTAAAAGTAGATATTCATTTATTGTTTTAACTCTATAGTTTGTTATTTTCATATTGCTTAAGTAATAAATTTATCCCTTTCCTTCTCTCTCTTAGCTAATGTAACAATAATTATTTTATTAAGAAGACGAAGGAACCTTTCATTTTAGTGTTCGCATCGCTCTTTTCCCTGGAAAAAATAAAAAAGAAAGATCAACATCATAGTCAATATATAAGGGATCCCCTATAAAGATGAATGGATTTCCTTAAAAGACATAACTCTTTCTCTATTTTACGTATTAATTTTCTACTTTTTGAACAGATATTTATATATGTATAACTGAACAAGTAGAGTTCGATTCATATTAAAACTGATAGAAATATATTCACATAGATAAGTGCAATATATATATATTCGTAATTTCCAGTCTTCTATCGCATCAAGAAATAAAAATAGAATACACTATTGTTTTGTTTTTTTCTCTATTGACTGTACATTGAATCTTTTATCCACTAATAACACATATCATATCTTTCTTTTTACATACATTACTCACTATTTCTTCGTCTCCTTCTTTTGAATTTTTGGTGTGGTAAGAAAATATTAATACTAATTACATATATATACCCTTTTTTTTTTTGAGAGTGTGCTTTCCCTATTCTTTACAAAGAAATACTTAACTATTCAACATGGAGAGGTTAGGACATTTGAAAACTTACCATTTCCCAGCGGCAAATAATGATGATGATAACTCTCAGAGTTCAGATTCATCTCCAATAGGTGGATCTACAACACCTAATCTTCTTTCTCAAAATTCAGGTGAACAAGAGAAATTAATGTCTAGACCGCCAAGAAGAGTATCTTCTACTAATGAATATGATGATCCTTTCTCTAATGCTGAAATATACTATGGACCAGAGACTGACCCTAGAAAGGCTACCACTAAATATCAGAAGCAAGGTAAAAAATTAAATAGAACAAGAACAATGAGTGTCTTTGGTAATATATCTACATCAAGACAAACTACAATAGAGGATCATTATTTAAAGAGACGTGGTTCAGAAGACGATACTTATTTAAGTAGTAAAGGAAATCGTAGATTTTTCATTGAAAATGTAGATTCTACTTTAGAAGAATTACTTAGAAATGAAGATACCGATAGAAATTATCAAATTACTATAGAAGATAAAGGTCCAAAAGTTATTAAAGTCGGTACTGCAAATTCTTTCGGGTTTAATCATATTAGTATTAGAGGTACATACATGCTTTCTAACTTATTACAAGAATTGACTATTGCAAAAAGTTTTGGAAGACATCAAATATTTTTAGACGAAGCAAGAATTAATGAGGACCCAGTTAATAGGTTATCCCGGTTGATTACTAACCAATTCTGGAACAGTTTAACAAGAAGAATTGATTTATATAACATTGGTGACATGGCTAGTGATGGTAAGATAGATACTCCGGAGGCAAAGAACCCTAGAGTATACGTTCCACATAATTGTCCGGAACAATATGCATTTTATATTCAAGCAGCCCAAATGAACCCTTCTTTAAAACTAGAAGTCGAATATTTACCAGAAGCTATATCTCCAGAGTATGTCAAATCATTAAACAGAACACCAGGTTTGTTAGCTCTTGCAATGGAAGAACATGTTAACCCTTCAACTGGTGAAGCATCCTTAATAGGTTATCCATATGCTGTACCTGGTGGTAGGTTTAACGAATTATATGGTTGGGATTCCTACATGATTGCTTTAGGTCTATTGGAAGGTAATAAAGTTGATGTTGCAAAAGGTATGGTAGAACATTTCATCTTTGAAATTAAACATTATGGTAAAATTTTAAATGCAAACAGAAGTTACTATCTTTGTAGATCACAACCACCATTCTTAACAGATATGGCAAATATTGTTTTTGACAGGATTGGAGGGCATAATAACCCAAGCGCAATTAATTTCATAAAGAGAGCGTTTGTATCTGCCATTAAAGAATATAAATCAGTTTGGACTTCACAACCAAGATTAGATCCAGAAACTGGTCTCTCTTGTTACCATCCAGATGGTATTGGTATCCCACCAGAAACTGAGCCTGATCACTTTGATACTATCTTATATCCTTATACCAAAAAATATAAATGCACAATGGAAGAATTTAGAAAGATGTACAACGATGGAGATGTGAAAGAACCAGCACTAGATGAATTTTTCCTTCATGACCGTGCAGTGAGAGAATCAGGTCATGATACAACATACAGATTTGAAGGTGTCTGTGCTTATTTAGCTACAATCGATTTGAATTCTCTACTTTACAAATATGAGACTGATATTGCAGATGCAATCGAAAAATATTTTGGTGATAAGTTTGTTGATCCGAATGATTTTTCAGTGACAACATCTGCTGATTGGAGAAAACTAGCCAACGAAAGAAAGGAAAGAGTTAATAAATATATGTGGGATGAAGATTCTGGTTTCTTTTTTGATTACAACGTACACATTAAGAAAAGAACCTCGTATGAATCTGCAACAACTTTCTGGGCTTTGTGGTCTGGATTAGCCACTCCGCATCAAGCTCAAGTTATGATAGAAAAAGCTCTTCCAAAATTAGAAGTCTTGGGTGGCCTTGTGTGTTGCACAGAGAGATCGAGAGGTCCAATTTCAATCAATAGACCTGTAAGACAATGGGATTACCCATTCGGCTGGGCACCTCATCAGATACTGGCATGGAAGGGTCTTGAGGATTATGGTTACAAAGGTATTGCTAGGAGGTTGTCATATCGTTGGTTGTTCATGATGACAAAGGCATTTGTTGATTTTAATGGTATTGTTGTAGAAAAATATAACGTTACAAGTGGTATTGACCCTCATCGTGTAGAGGCTGAGTATGGTAATCAAGGTGCAGATTTTAAGGGGGTTGCAAAGGAAGGTTTTGGTTGGGTTAATTCAAGTTACTTATTGGGACTCAAATATATGGATAGTCATGCGAGAAGAGCTTTAGGTACTTGCATTCCACCTGATCCATTCTTCAAAAACTTAAGACCAGATCAAATGAAAATTTATGATTTGTAGTTACACTATATATATTTAATTTTATATTTACAATAAATTAAAAAAAAAATCATCCAATACAATACTTTTCATTAAGATGTGGCTGTCAGTTATCTGACACACAGGCACACTAAATCGTGTAAGTATTCTTAATTATATAAATAAATTTCATTTTCATATTAATAAATTAAATAATTATTTATTATCATTAGAAATTAATATTATTTTATCAAAAAGAAAACTATCCAATAATTTATTATTATTAGTTGTTATTAAATTTAATCCTAAAATAATTGATAGAACAATCATAATATATAATGAGACGAATAATTACTTAAAATATATAGAATATTAAGTAATTGGTTAAATAAAATATGAAATACTTATTATTATAATCTAATTATTCATATCCAAAGATAAAATAACAATATTATTTATTATAAAATCCATATAAAAGATGAATAAGATTATAAATAAGAAGATATATAATATAATAGATTAAACAATGTATAGTTAAATTGTGTGATTTATATAAAACATATCCTTGGGCAAATAAAAATCATATTAAGCCCAAATCATATGAATTAAACACCTAGTAGCCTAAAAACTAATACTTTATAAGAATTTCAGAAACACAAGTAATCAAGAAAATCTAGTATTCTCATAAAATTAAACGGTGGGTTGAACATTAGAACCATTCTCAAGAATCAAAATAAAATAATTCCCATTCTTCAAAACAACGTTTCCACCGAAAATATAAAACTAACAGTTCAACGAACAATGTATATAATACCAATATTCAGAGGAAAAATCACTAAAAAGAAACAAATGTACCCATCAATCACTTCCTGAAAAGGCTATACTACTACGGAAAGCTCTCATATTTCATTACCACGCTGGTTTTACCTACCAATAACAATATAGAGCTTCGGCACTTCTTTTCAACAAATATTATATACCAAAACTTATTATTCATTTATTTATTTCGGTAAGCGCACCCAATTTATTTTCTTATATATGAATTTATTTTTAATTAAAAACCTAATATATCACGTGCCAACACATACTATCAATATAATATTTTGTGTTTTTTTCCAATATGCGGGTTTGGGGGGAAATACTATATTTTAATAGCTTTGCTGAAAAAATATCTAATTATGCGACATTAGTAGTTAGGACATAATTTTGTCAAAATTCTAAGTCTGCTTAAGAATAGAGGGACAGTTTCATTTATATAAACTTCAAATTAGCCTGTTTTATTTTATATTATATATATCCAGGAGGGTACCTAAAGAGTTGATGTAAAACAACTGGGGTCATATTGGGGTATAACAACTAATAGAAGAGGAATCACTAACAAAATATAACTTCCTTATACTTTCCCCATTTTTATTGGATGTATGTATACTATTTTACATGTAGTTTGAAATTTAGGGAAAAGCATACTTAAGATTATGTCAGATGTTGTTGAAGATGAACTGCAGCACTCATAAGTTTAATAGTAATTTATGTATTCAGTAGATAGAAGTCTTGTATACATACGTAAGTCTTAGATTGTACAGCGGTATATTTATTAATTTAATTTGATAGATATTGAAAAATGAAGTTTCCAAACCTTTTACATTTAGCTAGTTGGAGTACATACTTTGAGGTAATTAAAATAGATATTACGAACTGTTTAATACAAATCGTCCTGTTTGGCATACTTAACATTGACGTAGTTAACAGAGGAAAAAGAACTTTTTTTTTTAAATGGAAATTACTGGAAAATTATATAGGAAATCAGTTACAGAACAATTAAAGAATATTCATTTTTATAATTATTTAATATTACGAAATGGGTTTTTATATATCTATAAATGTAATATTACAAAAAGGGTTTCATAGCTATCAATGAAGAATATCATTGCATAACCAAGCGATAATTGAAACAAGAAACCAAATCTAAAGGACTACTAAAGTGGAAATATTTTATTTTCATTGAAGCATCTTTCGAACTTTTTGATTCTTTTAAAATCAAAAACTGAGAATAATCGTTTGTGGGAATAGTGGCATACTTTCTCCACATAATTGGCTAATTTTCCTTACTCTTCCCCTAAAGTAGCACTTTGACTTTGTAACGCCATTACCTTTGGGTTTTTAGAGGCTTTTTTCCTCTTTTTCTTCCTATCTAGGACAGCTTGTGGTGTTTTTAAGCCTAGCATTTGATGGGAACTCCAGTGATGTAAAGTTTTTAGATGTTTAACAAGGTGGTCTTTCCTCTTAAACCTTTTCTTCAAACAAGCAGGGCAAGCCCATGGTCTTTCTTCTGAATGCACAGTCTCAACATGTCTATCCAAATGCGAATCACTTTGACACATCCTTAAACAATCAATACACTGGTGAGTCTTTTTTTGTTTAGCACCGTCCTTTTCTCCTCTATTGTTCACCATGTTAAGCCTATAGCCAACACTCGTAGTTTCAGTTTGTGACGGAGTCTCCTCACTGTTGTTCATAGCCAGATCTGTTGCAGACGTAAAATGGACCGTATGTTCTACTTTATCTACATTATCAACCAGCTCTTCTGGAGATGATTCTGAGGCTGCTTCTATGTCAGTTGGTTCAATTAAACCTGACAAAGGTAGAATCTGCACGGCCTGGATAGATTTTAGGTTTGCTCTGTGAATATTACTATTATTTGGGGGTATCGTATCGTTAAATAACACATTAACTGGGATATTGTAATGCTCTAATGGGCGAATAATGGGCCTAAAATTGTTAGATTCGATATTCTGATAAAAATATGTGAAGGGACCCAAAGGATCTTCAATAGGTAGGTTAGAAGGCAAAAGAAAGGGATCATCTGCTTCATTTTGCAAAACGAAACTAAATTGCTCGAATTGGAACGTCATTAGTATGACAATCTTGAAATTCTAGGTTATCTCAAAATTTCAACAATATTTGTCATTCAAATGGTTAGTAGTATCCCAAGTTTAGAAAAAGATTACTATTAAAATAAATATTTTTTTAAATTGGGTTTAATTTTTATATAACTTAAGATGCATTGGTTTAATCTTTTATATCCTTTACAATTTTTGAAAAGGTGTTTCTTTTGACGATTCTTTCTCGTCTAATATAAGAATACTGCTCTTTTACTATAGTAATTTGCAACTTTAGAAAGAAAAATAATGCAAATATAAGTAGTTCATTTTACTTACCTATGATATCCTTAAAGTTTCCTTGCTGTTTTCTGGTTAGAAAAACTAATTCTGAGAAATGTTTCCCTCTTTTACCCACAAGAAAATCATGGGTAGTCATTTGTATCTTTTCCCTAAAGTTTTAGAAAACGAAGTTTGTTGACAGGTATACTCAAATAATATGATACTTGGTTGTCGATTAATAGATCTCAAAGAGATATTTGTAAGTATTATTCTATATCAAGTTAATACTATCTCATTTTTTTTTCCAGAAGCATAGAAGGTAAACTAGGTACTTGAAAAAAGTAGTACAAGGTAATATGAGTTATAGTTTTCTTTTCAAAAAGTTAGTTTACTATAATAAAATGTGCTATAATTATATAACCGAAATGTATCTTCTATTTTTACCCACCTGTATGATGTCCTATCAGTAAGAGCTTCTAATTGTATGTATTGTGACACTTTTTTTTCATCGTCGGGTAAGATGTGCCGCCAACTAAAACATTTTAAATGTCCAAATTACCTTAGTGAATTCAGTAACGTGCATAATTCCTGAATAGTTAGTAGCTACATATTGATTTTTATGTGGAAAATATATATTATTTATTATAACAGCATTTTATTTGGTCAGTGTTGACATGTTTCAAGGATATCATTTATATTTTGATTGGTAGAATTGGTGAGAATCAAATAAGTTCACAAATATCGTTAGATTTAATAAGATTATCTAAAATATTTTGTTATTGTTTCATTTTTTCAGTAATTAATACAGTTTTCTTAAACTAATAGTTTGTAAATAATTGTTTATAATTTCAAGTTATTGTTAATAAGAAATTGAATTAATTTTTTATTATGTCTGTTAAGTTCTTCAAAAAGCTAATTTTCCAACTAAACAATAAAACTGTTTAAGAAGACAAGTCGTCTACATTAGAAAAGTAAATTTTATCTGAAGTATATTCATATATAACTAGATATGAATCTTATTTTGACATTAAGGAAATATATATTTTCCCCTATTTATAATTTTAGTTTATTGTGATGGCACTCAGATTACTAAACGACTAAAAGTACGTAAACGGCGTTTTTTAATGTCAGTAAAAGAGAAAAAAAATAAAAAAAATAAAAAAAAAAAAAAATAATAATTATTAAAAAAAAAATTTATTATGAATGATTACCCTATATTACATATAGACCCCAAATAAAAGATGTAATAATGTCTATATGTATGTATGTACCCTAATTTTAATATATATAAAGATAAATATAAATATTTTTCAAATTTAAGCTTGAGTAGAAGAAGAGTACTTAGTGACAGCTCTAGTACCTTCAGAGACAGCATGCTTAGCTAATTCACCTGGTAGAATTAATCTAACAGCAGTTTGAATTTCTCTAGCGGAAATAGTAGATTTCTTGTTGTAAGCAGCTAACTTAGAGGCTTCAGTAGCAATTCTTTCAAAGATATCGTTAACGAAAGAGTTTAAGATAGACATGGATTTTTGAGAAATACCTGTATCTGGGTGAGTTTGTTTTAGAACTTTGTAAATGTAAGAAGAGTAAGTTTCCTTTCTAGCCTTAGTTCTCTTCTTACCTTCAACACCAGAAGAAGTCTTCTTAGCAGCTGGTTTCTTTTCAGCTGGAGCTTTGGAAGCAGGTTTCTTTTCAGCAGGAGCAGACATTGTAATTATAAGTATATATGTGTATGTGTGTATACGTGGTTATATTATTTTACGAAAAAGAAAAAGAGTTATAATTTAAAAATAAGAAAGAAAATAGTAAGAAATTAAGAGAAAACCAATAATCCGTAAAAGAAATTAAACATTACTGAAAGAAATTTAAGAAATGGTGATATGTATTTTACAAATAGATGAACTGTTCTTCTTTTATATACACATACAGACTTACTTGAATTAGCAAACACTTTGTGAAGTATTTTTCAATATTAAAATTACCTTGTTCTACTAAGTTGTACCACCTTTAACTTTACTTTCCTCTTCTCATAACGTTTAATTTGTTAATTGAAATTTTCAAATTATTTTTTTTATTTCACACGCTGATTTAAGTTGTTAATGTTAGTAGAAATGCTTTAAAATAATATCACCTATTTTAATTAAATGGGTTAGATCCGTTCTGAGAATGGGCACGCGTAGAATACAGCACGTTTTCCCGCGTAGTCTGAATATTAATGTATGGGAAGCACGCGTAGTTGTCAGAACGGATCGGGATCGTTGATCTCTATTCTCAGTTATACGCTTGACCACGCGTAACGTTCAGAACTATTTTTACAGCATAAATAATTTTTTTTTTCATTAAAAATCTCCCCTTAATAATAATAGTAGTAAGTTATGTAAACTAAAGCAATTTTTGATATCAATTAAACTTGAATTCTAAACAAATATATACGTATAATTATATTTTTTTGCCATTTGAAGTAATGGACAATTGAACGTATATATATAAAAGAATGAAATAAGACATGTTCTCATTGATTGTTTTTTCAAGAATTATGTATCTATTCTTTGTGTATGTGTTTTTGTTTTTAGTAAGTTTTATGATATTTTTTTAATTCTTTTTCTTGTTTAATTGTATTTTTATTTATTTACTTATTCTTGTTTGTTTTTAGAGACTACCAATACAACACAAAGTAAAAACAAAAATCAAATAATATATATACATAATGTCCGGTGGTAAAGGTGGTAAAGCTGGTTCTGCTGCTAAAGCTTCTCAATCAAGATCTGCTAAAGCTGGTTTAACTTTCCCAGTTGGTAGAGTTCACAGACTTCTAAGAAGAGGTAACTACGCTCAAAGAATTGGTTCTGGTGCTCCAGTTTATTTAACTGCTGTTCTAGAATATTTAGCTGCTGAAATCTTAGAATTAGCTGGTAATGCCGCTAGAGATAACAAGAAGTCTAGAATTATTCCAAGACATTTACAATTAGCTATCAGAAATGATGATGAATTAAACAAATTGTTAGGTAATGTTACTATCGCTCAAGGTGGTGTTTTACCAAACATTCATCAAAACTTATTGCCAAAGAAGTCCTCAAAGCCAAAGGCTTCTCAAGAATTATAAGCTATTTTGAAAAACAAAAAATATAAATTCGTTTTTTCATATAATATTCATTTATTAGCTTATTATCTTCTTTATTTTTCTATCTTTCTATTTGGGGTTTAAAAACAATATTTTTTTTTTCTCTTACAAAGTTTAAAAAAACACATAAACATTAATGTCAATTAATCTTTTCAGGTAACTTTGTTGTATAATTAGTTTATATAAATATACATACATACATATTTTAATATTGTTATAGGTATTATTAGTAACAAACAAATATTCGAAAATCTAAATTTCTATTATATACTGTCGTATTTAAATTCACGGACCAATAATATTAAAGTATTTAATTTTTCGGGTCACATGCTCTTTTTTTCCCTTTTCGCTTCTCTTACAAACCGAGAAAATTAAAAGAACATTTGAATTATAAAGGATTAAGGATCAATTTAATAATAAAAAAAAGAATTGAAATATAACTATATACATATTTGATAGCAAAAAAAGTTAGGACTGATTTAAAAGCAGTATTATAAGTTTTGTTTTTTTGTCCAAGGGAAAATTTTTACAATCGTCTATACATATACAGAGGTAACTCAAGTGTTTTTTTTTTAATTTATAAGCTATATTAAACATGTTGTCCCGTACTATTGCCACTGCAAGAACATTACCAAGATCAATTAATCTAATTTCCAGACGTACATATGTCGAAGCTGTTGAAAATGTACTTAAATTACAATTTTCTTTACCTCATGAAACATTATATTCTGGAGTTAAAGTAAACCAAGTTAATTTACCTGCACAATCTGGTAAGATGGGTATTCTTGCAAACCATGTTCCAACTATTGAACAATTATCTCCAGGGGTTGTTGAAATCCTTGAAGAAAACTCAAATACAGCAAAGAAATATTTTATCTCTGGTGGTTTTGCTACTGTTCAACCAAATTCTGTATTAAGTATAACTGCTGCTGAAGCATTCCCATTAGAATCATTCTCCTCTGAACATATTAGAACCTTATTATCTGAGGCCAAGGGGAAATTAGCTGATTCAGATGCAACAGTAGCTGCTGAAGCTGCTATTACTGTAGAAGTCTTAGAACAACTAGAAGCTGCTACAAAACAATGATTGTTGGTATGGTTTTTTTTTTGTTAAAATAAAAAGATAACTAATTAAATAATATCCTTTAAACTTCATTCATGGGGGGTAAAATATTATTGATATCATTTGACACATACACATACATACACTTTCCACATTCATTACCCTATATATAGATATATATATGTTTATCTAGGTGAATATACCTAGAACAAACGTGCAATTGATGCCTGACATCATTTACCCGTTTTTCTATTTCTATTTTAATATTATTCAATATCTTTACATCTAAAAAGCTAACCTTTTATTATTCTCTCGAATAAATAATATAGGTCATGCATAATTTGTACTGTGGGTCAATCTTGTCCTTATTACTATCTTATATATCAGATTAAAAATATAGAGGTATATACCCTCTCTTCCTTATACTTCTTATATCTTATTAAATTGACATATGGTCAGATCATCATTCATGATATTTCTAACTAAGCAAATTTATTATTAATACATTTTCATATATGTATCTGTGAATCTTCTGCCTATCTATGTTCCTCCCCATAAATTTCACCATACGCGAAAAACCAAACAAAGCGTTCACGGGTTACTCGAAATTTTTCGATGTTTGTTTACATTTAAAATTATTTGTATAATAACAAGTATAATAATCAAAATGAAAAAAATGAATAGTTGTATTATTTAGAAATCATCCAATACAATCGAATAAAAAGAATAGTATTCGTCATAATAACAATCAAAAAATATGTCTACTAAGATTGCACAACCTTATACTGTGCTTAAAATAGCTACAGATGCCGGCCCATTGGCTCAAATATGGCTAGCTGCTAATATGTCTAATATCCCAAGAGGATCTGTATTACAAACAAGTATAGAAGAATCTGCCAAAGAGATTGCCAAAGTCTCTGGGTGTGAACCTGAGATCGAACAAAATAACGAAAGTATTACTTTACATGCTTCGGGTGAATTGTTACAAGGTATCGTCCGTGTTTATTCCAAACAAGCTGGATTCTTATTATCTGATATTAAAGATACTTTAACCAAAATTACTGCTTTATTTAAGGCACATTCAAGGGTTAATGTAACCATCAGTAGAATTAGCACGATTGCTAAGGTCAATCAATTGGTTCTGGAAAATACAGTAACTGAAAAGGAAGTTCTCTCAACACCAAGTTTAGATTTCCTTGATGATGAACCTCAAGGAATGAAACAATTGCTAAACGGGAATAATTCTATGCTAAGAGGTGTATATGGAGCGGCTGCTACAAATGCCATCGGTTTCATATCAGCAGATAATTCATTAGAAGTTGGGAGGAGATTTAATCCTGATGGAGAATTTGAACACAATTCATCGGCTTTAGCCCTAGATTTTGATGTTGATGAGGGCACGAGGACAAATAGTGGGTCTCATATAGAAATTGAAGGTAATGATATGGACTTCCCATTGGATGATCCACTTGATAATAATGATAATTGGGATCTTGGTATTAATGAAGAACATGATGATTCTATCGAAGTTGGTAGAAGAGCTGAGGAACCATTACTAAACGAACATACCGAATTTGGGTTTGATTTAGATTTAGACAAAAATGAACCAGCAATCGAGCCCATTGAAGAAGATATTGAACATATAGCTCCTCCAAAAATATCATCAAGAAGAATAAAAGATCCTTCATTAAAAAATACAATGAACATTATTGTCGATGATAGTTCAGAATTATCTAGAAACAGTTTAACTGAGTACACTACCAATGGGGCGATAAATAATGTTACGAATAGGATTCAAAATAAAAATATGTCTCAGAAAAGACTATCTCACGAAATTTTGACAGATCTGGGTTATCTACACCAATCGGTTATTTCCAATTTACTTCCTTACCATGTCTTAAAGAAACAGAAGATAGACAAACCAGTACAAACTACCGAAAAACCTGAGGCTTTTGAAAATTCTCCTCCACCAGCATTAGACATTTCTTTAGAATTAGACAACACTAACTATATCAATGATATTGACAGTATACAACATGATTTTGAAGACATAGCCATTAACGACAATACGGATATTGGTAATGAACATGATATTAGAAGTTCGAGAATCAACACTCAGGGTACTGTTTTGGATGATTCATTGAATCAAGATTTGGGAGAAATATCTACCAATTCGATCGTTGAAGAAGATAATGTGAAATTGAAAAATGGTGAGGTTGCTTCAAAGGAAACCATTGAAATGGCAGAAAAATTGAGAGAATATTCTGATGGTTCTAATATTGTCTACTCTGATATTCTTTCGCATACCTCGAAAGTTCCTAATCAACCAACTAAGGCAGACGCTAGTAGATGTTTCTTTGATATGCTAACGTTAGCAACATCAGGATGTATTAATTTGGAACAATCGTCTACTTTCGAGGATATCTCAATTTCAACTTTGAATCCTCTTTATGAAAAGTTTATCCCTGTATGATACTTTCAGCTAAACCAATACATATATTAGTCTAAAACTATTGTATCGATGGAGGGGAAAGTATGAAAACCTTGTCAACACTTGTTTTTCAGGTTAGTAATTTATAAAATGTATTTATTTATATTTATGCATATGTACTCAAAAAAGTGAATATAACTTTTTTCTCCAATATAATATTATCTAAAAATATTATTAACGTTTTCATATTAAAAGGAAGAAATCAAGCTAGAGAATTAAAAAATAAAAAAATAACGACAACTGCAGGATTTGAACCTGCGCGGGCAGAGCCCAAAAGATTTCTAATCTTTCGCCTTAACCACTCGGCCAAGTTGCCATAAAAAGTACAAAAATATGTTTAAAAAAGTACAATTTAATGTAATTAAAAATTCATATTTTCGTGCGGTTCTACTATTATTTACCTTTTAATTGATATGAAAAAAAAAAGTTTTCTTAGGATTATTTATATTTCTGAGATTAATGAAGGGATACATTGTGTGTGCACTTAATCTAGAGTATTTTATAAAGAGTAGCACGAATGTGACTATATATACATTTAGTCTCACAAGAAAACCCGCACAACATAATGACAATGTATAGATGCTAATAATTTTGGTGTATATGGTAAATTAAAGTTGATAAACTGTAAACCCAAAGCATTAAAACTTCAAAAATGTATTCCAAGAAATGATAACCCTGAGTTTGACATTGTTTAGTTGATGGTATGATGGATATACCAGCATTGCCATCCGTGGCAACAAGACGCCTTTCCGAGTGGGAAACACACACAGCACATCAAAATTTTAGACTATGAGGGATACTATATTGTAGCATTAGGATATGGAATTCTGTTAAGTTGTACTTTGTCAGGGTTGCGTAATAACCAGAAACCATTACTTCCACTGCAAAACATAAAATTGGCTACCAGTTTGAGCACATTAAAGGGACCGTCTTAGTTACATTGCTCCAAGAAACAACGATGAGGAGTTTACCTACAAATATAGCATGTAAAAGTTTCCAGGATATTTTGCTTCAATATTTAGAAAAACTACATATTTTTGAATATGTGTGAGACTTAATCCAATGAGTTGCCAAAAAGGTGTAACTCTTACAGTACAACATGGGTAATATTAGCATTAATAATAATTGGTATATTATATAACATGGTACTTTATGACTACTGAATTATATTATTTTAGTTCTAAGTTTGCACTGTGTTCTTTTACCAAGGAACTTCCTCACCCCACAAAAAGAAATTCACAAATAAACCTATTCCATAGTACTTTATCGGGGGAGGGGCAATACTTGATCACCTTAAATACATTTAACACAATTTTAAATAAGAAGTTCTTCGTTTATTACGGGAAAACTTTGTGGTTAATGATTATTCTCCTTTAGTAAGTTTTAGTTGTATACCTTTTTTTCTCATAATAACCTTCACTAACCGTAAATCTTACGGCGCAACCAAAAAAAAAAAAATGTCACAAATTATTAAACAAATTTCTACCAACGTCGGTGGGACCCTGAAAAAGGTGACATCATTCCCAATGGGTAATAATAACATAACTTAATTTCCTTTTAAAGAAATTTATAAAACTGGTAGGTTCAACATATTCGGATAATCATACAAGAATGTATGTTATTTTGACATTACCTTTTCTGAGTGTCTTATTTTCCACCTTTTTCAGTCACTATTAAAAAATATTGAGATTTGTGTAAAACTCTGTATAACGATAGACATAAACACCTTTTGTTGATCAAATTAAAAGATTCCTAAATAAAACTTTGAATATTTGCAATCTGTTTTGAAACCGAAATAGGGTTTTATTGTATGCAGGGAACATACATCAAAGACTGTGTAGGATTCCCCTGTGGGTAAAAGATGAATCTATTCCTCAGATCCCGTGCTTGTTAAAATGAGATTATGGGTAAAATTTTAGTCATTAGTAGATGATTAAAAATACCTAGTTTCATATATATTTTGGATTCTTCTATCGATTCTAAGCAAGGTTTTGTTCGAATACCCTTTAGGTCTTGACAAATGTATCATTTCGGTAAACACCTTTTCAATTAAATTAGAAAGGATGGAAAGGACCAACAAGAACTTACTATAATTAATATAAAAGTAAAGATAGGTTCCAATTATATTTATTTCAATTGTTTTCATTCCTTCACACTCTTTATATTTTTATGATATGTCAAAACAAAACAATTCTTTCTGTTAACAAGTTTAATAATAACAAAAATTAATACTCTTAACCAATCAAACTCTAAAATTGGTCGTTTTGCTAATGACATCCCAATTTGATCATTTGAGTTATGTGTTTCCAACTGAACCTGAATATTCAACAGGTTTCATGGAGGAAAATAGTTTAGATGTTTCATTTAGAACTACCCTAGCTTTGCCGTATGATAATGGTGCTATTAATTTCGAACCAGTTAATGACGACTCAGATGGTCTTAATGTACTAGAAAATATTTTCAATACTGATACATTATTCCTACAAACCAATAGTAGTAATAATAGTATCTATAGTAACAATATTGTTCCGGAAGAAAATAATCAATTTGATATTAACAAAGAGATCGAAGAGGCAGCAAGAATCGTTGACCAAGAGTGCAGACTTGAAGAGACTGAAGAAGAGGCTGCTTTATCTTCGACAATTGCTTCATCGTCACTATCTGTACAACAGCAACATAATGTTGCTGAAGAAAATGAAGTTCCAACTCAATATGTTTCTGCTGCAGATTTAATAATAAAATCTGTTGAAGATGCCATACAACAATTTGATGCTAAACAGGCTGCTCAAATTCTGGAGCATGAAGATGAACAGCAACAACCAGAGTGTTCATCAGAGGAGCACCCAACGAGAAGTGTATATATCCTAAATTTGGTAAACAATAGAGGTGAAAAAGCTGATGCCAAACAGGAAAAACCAGTTGAATGTCCTGATTGTAAAAGAACGTGCCAAAGTGAAGCTCATCTTGATAGACATGCCGATACTGTACATTCAGAGGAAAGGCCATGGGCTTGTCCAGATTGTACAAAAAGGTTTAAAAGAAAGGATCATCTTGTTAAACATGGTCTAAGATTACATCATTGGAGTATCACACAAATAAAAGGTTTAAAAACTCCAAAAGAAGTCCTAGAAAAGAAAAGGAGAAGAAAAGAGAAAAGAATGGCTTTAAAAAAAAAACTACTGTCAAAAACCAGATAAAAACCAAAGTAGGTTTAATCTACAAAAATAAAGTGACAAATTCTATGCATAGCAGATTAAAAAAAAACATATGGAGTGTTTTGACATGCATAAAAGAAAATTTTAAAATTCTCTAAATTTGGGTTCACTTTTATTAGTGTATTATATTCATTAAATTTTTTTATCATTAGCGGCTTTCACTTTATAGATTGAAAGGTCGTTTGGTAATAATGTTCTTCAAAAAAACACTCAATCAACAAAAAAAAAAATATGTTAATATTCTTTCACTTTTATAAATATGTTATATTTAGATATTAGAATTAGTATTAAAAAAACAACTTTAGTTCCTCTTAATTCAAAAAATCTTTTTAGATTTAATACATATGCTTTTATTTAAAATTATAAGTAATGACGTTTATACATAATAAAATATAAGGAATAACTACTTAAAAGTTATGTTTTTTCACAAACATTTCCCTTCTCTTTATTGTTTATCCCAGCCTAAAGCAAGAGCTTCTTCATAAGTTGGATAATCTAAATAACCTTCAGAGGTCATTGCGTAGAATAAGTCTCTATTATATTTATTTAGAGGTAAGCCTTTTTCTAATCTTTTCACTAAATCTGGATTAGCAATGAAGAATCTACCATATGCCAATAGGGTACGATCATCTTGGACAAAGCCCTTTGCAACCTCTGGATGTAGAGCCAAATTACCTGCTCTAATAATCAAACCCTTCCAGATAGAGAAAGCAAAATCGTTAGTACCGTCATCATATTCACCTGCACCTTCAGTTAAGAATGGATTAGTGACACGTGGTTCTACTAAATGAATATAAGCTAAACGCTTACCTGCTCTAGCTCTCTTTTCTAATTCACCAATAACATGAGCATATTGGGCAACAATCAATGGTTCAGCACCACCAGACAAACTACCAAAAGTACCATATGGTGAAAACCTAATACCAACTTTATCTTCACCTACAGCCTCAATTAAAGCATCAACAACCTCCAAGACAAATCTAGATCTGTTTTCAATGGATCCACCGTATTCATCAGTTCTGTGGTTAGACTTTGGATCCAAAAATTGATTTAGCAAGTAACCGTTAGCAGAGTGAATTTCAACACCATCTGCACCAGCAGCTAAAGAATTCTTAGCAGCTTGAATGTATTCCTTAATGTACTGTTTAATTTCATCCTTTGTAATACCATGTTGAGGGTTTTTAGACTTTTCAGCTTTTTCCTTTGATTCATCATCCATATAGATACCATCTGAAGCAGAATCATAACGTAAACCATCTCTAGCTAAAGCATCAGCAAAGGAAGCTCTACCTAAAGCCCAAAGTTGAACCCATACAAAAGATTTATTTTCATGAATCTTAGCAAAAATCTTTTTCCATTCTGTAATTTGTTCATCTGACCAAATACCTGGAGCATTATCATAACCACCAGCTTGTGGAGAGATAAAAGTACCTTCAGTTATTAACATGGTACCAGGAGCTTGAGAACGCTGATAATAATATTCAGCAGCCCAATCCTTATTCGGAACGTTACCTGGATGAGAAGCTCTCATTCTAGTCAATGGAGGCATAACAATTCTGTTTTGCAATTCAGTGTTTCCAACCTTAATAGGCTTGAATAAGTTGGTGTCATTTAAAGCAACTGGAGTAAAATCTTTGACGAATGGCATTTTTCTTTTCTTTGTGATGAAGTTTATTTTATTATGTTTTTAACTTTTGTGTTATTAGTTTTATATTACTATATGCTTTATTGTAAAAGAAGGAAATATGAAATGATTAAAGATTACTCTATCAACATCTTAAAACTATGATCTATTTATATTAATATATTTTTCCTTCATTTCTTCAATTATTTCAAGTCATACTAAAGCCCTAGCTATATTGGCTACAAAATATTACTAAAATTGGCCTTCTTATTTCTTAAATTCGATACTATGTTTACTTAGTCATATTTTTTGTATGTCCGATGAACTTATTATGTAAGATCCCCTTCCACTAATTAAATTTTATTTTTTAGAGTGCGGCGTTAAAAATAATTCAAATTTTTAATCAGCTCAGCTCAGCTCAAAATTTTGTTTCTGAGTGGTTCCGTCGGCTAAACGGATATAAAAACAAACTCCGCGGAGAAAATGAGAAAGATTTACTAAGCAACTCGGAAGCAAACAGTGAGAACATTTTACGTAATAACAATTTCTTAAATATGGGGAAGGTTACGGAGTTTCCATAGTAATGAAAGAGAGGCTGGCAAATCTTTTTACCATTTTTTAATCGGTGCTTTAGAAGTCGTGAAAATTAGTAAAGAAGTAATGGCAGTGAGTTTCTTTATAAATATTATTTAGGTTATTCCTCTCCCCCGGAATACCGACCCGGCTAATCAACCAACGTGGTTTACTTTCTATCTCGTAGAGAAGGTTAGAAATGTTATTATTTTGAGAAAAAAAAATGATAGTATCCGAAAATCAGTATGATTCCTGGACTCAAATCGTTTCTTTTTTGTTTTATTTGAAAAGGGTATTTGTAGTTCTTGATGCTATAGCAAGTACCAATAAGACAATTAGGATTAAACAATATTATGTGACAAAGAAAATAAAAAACAGACTATACACAATATTATTTACTGTAAATTATATTCATTAATCGTTTTATTATTTTGTATAAGTTATTAAAAAAGTTAATTATTAGGATATATAGGGCATTAAAAAAGTATATTAGTTACCACGGATTTGATTTTTTAGTTCCGGTACCAAAAAAAGAGATTAAATTAATCTAGGAAGAGAACTTGTAGACAATCTTAGCACCATAAGTTTGACCTGGGTTCAAAGAGACACAGTCCTTCCATTTTGGTTGGTTAATAGCATTGACATATCTACCTGGTTCAACAGCGAAACCTTCTCTTGGAGCGAAACCAGCAGCTAACCAATCACCAGTGTAAATTTGGTAAGATGGTTCTGTAGAGTAAACTTCTAGACCAATCTTAGATTCTGGATGGTATGCTTTGGTAACCAAGTTTAATTTTTGAGATCTGGTATCAGTTTCCTTTGGAGCAGAAGAAGCATCAACTAAGAAATTGTAATCGTATTTTGGTTCATCTTTACCTAGAATAGTACTCTTACCGGAGCTAATGGTAGCGATTTCTCTCTTGATAATCTTACCAGTTGGGATAGTATGTTCATCAACATCAATACAATCATCAGAGATAACAGCAATTTCAGTACCTTCGATAGATGGATTGTTGACCTTGTTCAAATTGAAATAAGAGTGATTGGTCATGTTGATTGGAGTAGCTTTACCTTGAACTTTACCTTCGTAATCCATGTCTAGAGTCTTTTCTTCAACGTTCAAAGTGTAAGTAACACGAACTTCAAAGTCACCTGGTAATTCACCATCAGATTCTTTATCCATTAAGATATATTCAGCGGTGTAGATACCTTGAGATGGGTTTCTAACAATTGGACCTAAGAATCTCTTAGTATGGAAACTAGAGATACTAGAGTGGTTAGCATTAACATCATTGTTAATAGTCAATTGATAATCAGTACCATTCAAATTGAATTTACCATGAGCGATTCTGTTAGCGTATCTACCGACAGTAGCACCTAAGTAACAAGCTTCTGGATCAGCATAACTAGCTTCATCATCGTAACCAATAACAACAGATTGACCATCGACCTTCAAATCGACTAAAGTGGCACCCATGTTAGCAATAGTAGCAGCAAACTTAGTGCCGGCACCAATGGTGATAAATCTAGCATCGAATTCTTTTTCTGGAGTAGCAAATTTGGCTTCAACACCGTTTAATTGATAACCGAATGGATTTTCTGTGTTCCATTTTTGTAAATCTTCACAAGCGTTATCAACGTTTAATTCAGTTTGCCATTTCAATTCTTTCTTAGCTCTATCTGGTTTGGCGGTTAAATTCAAAACATCACCTGCTCTTCTACCAGTAATTTCGTATGGAATATCTTCACCACAGGCTTTACAGAAAGCACGGTAAACTTCAAGAACGGTTGAACCAGTACCAGAACCTAAGTTCCATTCACGACAAATACCAGTCTTCTTAGTAGTTTCAAAAGAATCTAAATATTTCAAAGCAGCAATATGACCCTTAGCCAAATCGACAACATGAATATAATCTCTAATTGGAGTACCATCTCTACTATCATAATCGTTACCGAAGACATACAACTTTTCACGTCTACCAGAGGCGACTTGAGCCATATATGGTAATAGATTGTTTGGAATACCCAATGGATCTTCACCAATCAAACCAGAAGGATGAGCACCAATTGGGTTGAAATAACGTAAGATGGCGAACTTCCAGGTATCAGTTTGAGAGTTGTAAAGATCATTTAAAATCTTTTCAATAGTAAACTTAGTGTTACCATATGGATTAGTTGGACCTAATGGACATTCTTCTGGGATTGGAATCATATCTGGGAATCTAGTAGCATCACCATAAACAGTAGCAGAAGAAGAGAAAACGAATTTAGCAACATCGTATTTCTTCATTAATTCTAATAGAACTAAAGTACCTAAAATATTGTTATGGTAATATTCTAATGGAATTTGAGTAGATTCACCGACAGCTTTCAAACCAGCGAAATGAATAACAGAATCAATCTTATGTTCTTTGAAAACTGGTTCTAAATGTTCACGATCACATAGATCAACATCATAAAATGGAACATGATGCTTAGTTAAAATTTCAATTCTAGAGACGGAATCGTAGGAAGAGTTAGATAAGTTATCAACAACAACTACTTCGTAGCCGTTTTCAATTAATTCGACAACAGTATGGGAACCAATGTAACCGGCACCACCTGTGACTAAAACTTTCTTAACTTGTTGAGTCATTTTTCTTCTTTTATATTGATTGATATTATTCTCGGTTGTTTGAGAATATTTCATTGTAACAATTTCTACTATGAAAAACAAACAAGAAAACACATATACAAGAATATAAACCAATATTCTGATCAAAACATTAATGAACAAACCAAATACATTCCCTTATATATATATATATATATATATATTTGTATATCGAATGCTATTGCTATTACTTAATCCTTATTGCTATTATTATTATTATTATAAGGCAAATATAACTTGGATATTGTTATTATCCTTGGTTGCCTCGGGCAACAGCAATCCGACCGCGCCCTCGTGCAGCCATTTCTGTGTCGCGTTCATCAAATGAGATCAGCTCCACATTGCGGGGCAGTGGCTCCCGAAAGTGCACAAAAATTTTAAAAGAAAAGTTCCAAATCTCTCTCTTTCACTGTGTGTGTGCTTACTAGGTAAAGGACTACGTACACTAACATTATGTTCATTAGAGTAAGAAATGCTTGCCCCACATTTTCGTAACGTTTCCTTGCTTTGAAAGCGGAAGGGCAAATACATATATCTTCCCCTCCCCTCGCTTGCCGGCCATGTTGACACCGATTCAGCTGAGTTTTCAGTCAAGATACATAACATAATATAATCTTCCCATACAATCTTTTTTTACCAAGAATATTGGACATGTGCTGGTCGGGTGGCTCCGATGTCAATATAGAAGTCGGACTTTCGTGCTCCTTTTTACCAACTTATCTTGCAATAACATTCAAACCTGAAAAAGATCGCTTATTTTGTAACGTAACTTATCCATCCTTTATTGGCAGAATCTCTAGTAATACAAGCACTCTAGCGTAAGAAGACGAATATACATAAGATTAATTTCATGATATTGATAGTCACTAAAAACAGTGGTTGACTATTGTTTTAACCCAGTTTTCTTCTAAACGGTTATTACTCTCTCTCTTCTTTGAAATGTGTTCATCAGTAAACACTTTAGCAAAATCCCTTTGGGCACGTGACAGGCTGAACCTTTTCTTTGCCTGCGGACATTCTGTGGTTGGAGGGCAGGGGGGAGACCACGGCGGCGACAGAAATTGAAAAATTTTAAAACAAATTTGCCCTCGCTTTCTCCCCCTTCAAAGAATGAAAGAATTGTAATAAACAAAACAAGAAGACGAAGAGCGGGAAGTTAAGGTACACATACACACACTATTAAATAAAATAGTGGTATTCACGGTAAAGTACAACAAGAAGCGTGTGTGAGAGTTGGTGAAGTGATATTATTTCAATACCTATCCTCGTTCTCCATATTGTAGTTCGAGAGCTGATAGACTGAAAAGGAAAGAATTCTACAGAGAAAGAGATACCCCACTGCGTTGGATTCCAATAAAAGATACATAAACCCAACAACAACAACAACAAAAGAATGACTAGCAATCTGACGAACAATATGTTTGTTCCACAATATAACATCTTAGATGATAGTGCTGTTCAAGAGAAGAATGCACCTGCATCATTAGTAGATAAGTGTCCTAAAGTTATTGCGTCATTTATTGATACATATGGTTATAAACCCGATTTTATAGCACATTCACCTGGTAGAGTCAATTTAATTGGTGAACATATAGATTATGCAGATTTCTCGGTATTACCATTATCGCTTGAAAGAGATATGTTATGTGCAATAAAAGTTCACAATTTACAAGAAAATAATAATCCATCAATTACTTTAGCAAATAAAGATAAACAACGTTTTGCCGGTAGAAAATTTGATTTACCCTTAGATGGATCACAAATAAATATTGATCCATCAATTTCAGATTGGTCGAATTATTTTAAATGTGGTCTTTATGTAGCACAATTATATCTAAAAGAAATATGCCCTGAAAAATATAATATTCAACCACTAAATGGTATGGATGTATTTTGTCAAGGTGATGTACCAGTTGGTAGTGGTTTAGGATCATCATCAGCTATTATATGTGCTGTAACATTAGGAATAATTCGTGCTAATATGGGTCACGGTTATAGAATACCAAAAGCAGATTTATTAAGAATTACATCTGTTGCAGAACATTACCTAGGTGTTAACAATGGTGGTATGGATCAAGCTGCATCAATATATGGCCAAAGAGGTCATGCATTATGTGTATCATTTAAACCTGAATTAAAAGCCACACCAATCCAATTTCCAACAATGAGTTCGGATTGGGATATTGAATTTATTGTAGCAGATACATTAGTCGAAGTAAATAAATATGATACAGCATCAACAAATTATAATTTAAGAGTAGTTGAAGTAATTATTGCAGCAAATATATTAGCAATGCATTATGGAGTTGTTATGAATTATGATTTAAGTTCAAATATTAGAAAAGGTAATTTAAGAGATTTTATGAATGCTTATTTAGGTTTACATCGATCACAGGTTAAATTTGAAATTAATGATAGTATAGAATCTAGAATTAATCAATTGGAATTAATGTTAACTTTAACAGAAAATTGTCTTGGTGATAAAAAAGATGGCCATACAGCTGATGAAGTTTCAAAAGCATTGGAATGTTCAAAAGAAGAATTTACAAGAGAATATTTAATGTTATTCCCAATTAGATTCCAAACTTTAAAAATTTATAAACGTGCAAAACATGTTTATTCTGAAGCATTAAGAGTAACAAAAGCATTAAAATTATTTCAAGAGACAAATAATGAAACAAATAATTATACATTTTATCATAATTTTGGTGAATTAATGAATGGTTCTCAACGATCCTGTGATAAATTGTATGATTGTTCAAGTAAAGAAATTGATAAAATTTGTGAAATTGCATTAAACAATGGATCATATGGTTCAAGATTAACAGGTGCAGGTTGGGGTGGTTCAACAGTTCATTTAGTACCAAATGGACCAAATGGCTGTAATGTTGAACATGTGAAGAAAGCATTGATTGAGCAATATTATAAAATTCAATATCCAAACATAACACAAGATGTATTAGATAATGCAATAATTGTTTCAAAAGCTGCACCCGGTAGTTGCATATTTGAATGTTAAATAAATATAAATATGTATATATATATTTAGAAAAAGACATAATGACGTTAACACATATGATTAATCCGCGGAATTACTTCCTTCAGACTTTAATAGGCTGAGATTATTAAAATCCTTTTTCACACTCTTTCGTTGAACTTTGACAGTTTACCCATTCCTCACCATGGCAACGTGCACGGCAAGCGGACATTTCGCTGGTTTCTTCTACCCAATAAGAGATTATAGAAAGGGAAACCCGCGGATATTACCAATATACACCCACACACAACAGCAAGCAGCATCAACGTGAGACATTCACGAACCATTGTCTCGTTTTGCTGGGTGCCACGAAACCCACAACTTTTTCTTTTGAGTGTTTGCACTCAGCCACTACCAGAGAAACAGCTGCAGGACACCCATCAAATTAGTCAGAAAACCAAGCAACTCGGCCGAATTTCTTTATCCTTCTTAATCCACGGCCGAAGTTGAAAGCACACGCAACAGCAATATCCGCGCACGAAAAACCAAAAAACAGAATGCAAATTTTCCGGAGAAACTTATGTAATATTAATAATGGTAGTGAGAATCGGTTATTTCCGTGGATATAACTGCGAAGTCAACCAAAAAGCAAAAAAACAATTTTTTTTTGCTTTTCAGAGTTTTCCTTTCTTTTTTAGGTGCAGAGCCTAAGTAATGTGTGCAGAGGACACTTTAAAGTGCTTTACGCACAGTCATAAGAACAACAACAACAAGGGACAAAATAGTGTATCTTTTTTTTTTTTTTTGGTTAGCCCATCCCATCACTTTGCTCATATCTAAGTATTAATTACTAAGGGACCTACATACAATTATCCTAATTTTTTGCTGATCTTATCTGAATCTAACCATAATTTAAAGGTCATAATCATATTAGTGAATATATATATAAATAAAGTAAAGATATAATTTTGTGAAAAGGGTTTTTCTTTCAAGACTTCTCTCACTTTTTTGTTAACTGTTTTATTTTTTTGCTTAACTCACACACTTACTATTACGTATCGATCCCTTCGTTTGCTCACTATATTTTTTTTCTTAATTTAATTAAATATTAAATAAACTGAGACAATTGAATTCAATCTATACAGAAAAAAAAAAGTAATGTCTGGTAACGAGAATTACCAGTCAGATAGTGGATCGCCATCCATTCCAGAATCTGAAATTGCATTCGATGGTACTGCTATTCACAATAACAAAGGATATGAAAATTCTGATGTAGTATCACAAGCTCCAACTTTTCAATCATTTAGAAATGATGATACTCAAGCAGATAGATTAACTAGAATGTTAACTAATCCAAATGAAGACATTAATTCATTACATCAAAAAAAATTTACTATATCTGATGATGTTGCATCAAAAGTCGAATCCTTAGCTGATAAATTATCAAAACATACTACAAGAAATGGTTCATTGGATCTAAGTTCTGTTGAGACTAATGGATTTGATGCTCATGAAATTTTTGCATCTTTTGTTAGAGATGCTAACGAACAAAATATTCATATTCGTAAAGCGGGTGTTATCTTAGAAGATGTTGGTTGTCAAGGTTTAGATTCTTCTGCCTTAGAAGGGGCTACTTTTGGTAATATTTTATGTTTACCTTATACCATTTATAAAGGAATTAAAGCCAAAAAATCTACTAAGATGAAACAAATTTTACAAAATGTTAACGTTTTAGCTAAACCAGGTGAAATGGTTCTTGTTCTTGGTAGACCAGGTGCAGGTTGTTCTTCTTTTTTAAAAGTTACAGCAGGTGAAATTGATCAATTTGCTGGTGGTACAGAAGGTGAAGTCTCTTATGATGGTATTCCACAAAAAGAAATGATGAAACATTTTAAAGCTGATGTTATATATAATGGTGAATTAGATGTTCATTTCCCTCATTTAACAGTTCAACAAACTTTGGATTTTGCTATCGCTTGTAAGACTCCAGCTAAAAGAGTTAACAATATCTCTAGAAGTGAATTTATTGCTTCAACAAGAGAACTTTATGCTACAATCTTTGGTTTAAGACATACATATAATACAAAAGTTGGTAACGATTTTGTTAGAGGTGTCTCTGGTGGTGAACGTAAGCGTGTCTCCATTGCTGAAGCTCTAGCTGCTCATGGTTCTGTCTATTGTTGGGATAATGCTACTAGAGGTTTAGATGCTTCAACAGCTTTAGAATATGCTAAAGCTATCCGTATTATGACTAATTTATTAGGGTCAACTGCATTTGTTACTATTTATCAAGCAAGTGAAAATATTTATGAGTGTTTTGATAAAGTTTCAGTGATTCACTCTGGTAAACAAATTTATTTTGGTTTAATTCATGATGCAAAGAAATATTTTGATAAAATGGGTTATGAATGTCCACCAAGACAAGTTACCGCTGAATTTTTAACTGCTATTACTGATCCAAATGGGTTCCATCAAATTAAATCTGGATTTGAAAATAAAGTTCCACGTACCGCTGAAGAATTTGAACAATACTGGTTAAATTCTCCAGAATTCAAACAATTAAAACAAGATATTCAAGATTATAAAGACCAAGTTAATGTTGATGATGTTCAATCATTATATAGAAAATCTATGGCTGATGAAAAATCTAAATATGCTAGAACTAAATCATACTATACCGTATCATATTGGGAACAAGTTAGATTATGTACGCAACGTGGATTTCAAAGAATTTATGGTGATAAGAGTGCTACAGTAACTAATATTGTTGCAGCTATTGTTCAATCATTTGTTTCTGGTTCCTTATATTATAATTCTCCTTCATCTACTTCTGGTGCTTTTTCAAGAGGTGGTGTGTTATATTTCTGTCTATTGTATTACTCTTTGATGGGTTTGGCTAATATTAGTTTTGAACATAGACCAATCCTTCAAAAACATAAAGGTTACTCGTTATATCATCCATCCGCTGAAGCATTGGCTAGTACTATCTCAGGTTTCCCATTTAGAATGTTAGGTCTTACATGTTTCTTAATCATTATCTATTTCTTATCTGGTTTAAACAGAACTGCCCATTCGTTCTTCATTGTTTATTTATTCTTAACTATGTGTTCTGAGGCAATTAATGGTCTATTCGAAATGGTTTCTGCTGGTTGTGATAATATTTCTCAAGCTAATTCCATCTCTGGTATTCTGATGTTATCTATTTCCATGTATTCTACTTATATGATTCAATTGCCTTCCATGCATCCTTGGTTTAAATGGATTTCCTATATTTTACCAATTAGATACGCTTTCGAATCTATGCTTAACGCTGAATTCCATGGTAGACACATGAGTTGTGGTGGTACATTAGTTCCATCTGGTCCAGGTTATCAAAATATTACTGATGCCAACCGTGTCTGTGCTTTCGTTGGTTCCAAACAAGGTCAATCCTGGGTCCTTGGTGATGATTACTTGAATTTAACTTTCCAATATAAATATAAGGATACTTGGAGAAATTTCGGTATTATGTGGTGTTTCTTATTAGGTTATGGTATTATTAAAGCCGTGGTCACTGAATATAAGAGACCAGTTAAAGGTGGTGGTGATGCTTTAATTTTCAAGAAAGGTGCTAAAAGATTCACTACTATTAATGATGAAGAATCTGCTAACGATAGTATTGATGCAAAGGAAAAATACTTAAGTAGTGCAAGTAGCGAAGATGACTCTAAACCAATGTTTGAAGATCTTAAGGCTGCCGGTGCTTTTATTTGGAGAAATGTTTGTTATACTATTCCATACGATGGTGGTCAACGTCAATTATTAGATAATGTCTCTGGTTACTGTATCCCTGGTACTATGACTGCATTGATGGGTGAATCTGGTGCTGGTAAGACTACTTTATTGAATACTTTGGCTCAAAGAAATGTTGGTATTATCACAGGTGATATGTTAGTTAATGGTCGCCCAATCGATACCAGTTTTGAAAGACGTACCGGTTATGTGCAACAACAAGATATTCATATTGCTGAATTGACCGTTAGAGAATCTTTAGTCTTTTCTGCTAGAATGCGTCGTCCACAATCTGTTAGTGATGAAGAGAAACGTGCTTACGTTGAAAAAATCATTGAATTACTTGAAATGGAAGAATACGCTGAAGCTTTAGTTGGTGCTGTTGGTAATGGTTTAAACGTCGAACAAAGAAAGAAATTATCTATTGGTGTTGAATTAGTCGCCAAACCTGATGTCTTACTGTTTTTGGATGAACCTACTTCTGGTTTAGATTCTCAATCTTCATGGTCTATTATTCAATTATTAAGAAAATTGGCCGAAGCTGGTCAAAGTATCTTATGTACCATCCATCAACCTTCTGCTACTTTATTTGAACAATTCGATAGATTATTACTATTAAAGAAAGGTGGTCAAACTGTTTATTTTGGTGATATTGGTGAAAATTCCAAGACTCTATTGGGCTATTTTGAAAATCATGGTGCTAGAAAATGTTCCAAAGAAGAAAATCCGGCCGAATATATCCTAGAGGCTATCGGTGCCGGTGCTACTGCTTCTGTTCAAGAGGATTGGCATGATATCTGGGTTAAATCTACTAATTTCAGTGATTCTAACCAAAAAGTCGACGAATTAATTTCCGAATTATCTCAAAAGAAGGATGAATCCGAAGTTGGGGAGAAACCATCGAAATATGCCACTTCATACTTATACCAATTTAGATATGTCTATTTGAGAACCGCTACTACTTTCTGGAGAAACTTAGATTATATTATGGCTAAGATGATGCTGATGACTGTCGGTGGTCTATACATTGGTTTTACTTTCTACGATCCTGGTGATAGTCATATTGGTCTACAAAATGCTATGTTTGCAGCTTTCATTTCCATTATTATTTCTGCTCCAGCAATGAATCAAATTCAAGCTAGAGCTATTGCTGCTAGAGAGTTATTTGAAGTTAGAGAATCCAAATCTAATATGTTCCATTGGTCATTCGTTTTAGTTTCTCAATATTTGAGTGAAATTCCTTACCATTTCTTATTTTCCACCATCTTCTTCGTTTCTTCTTATTTCCCACTAAGAATCCATTTCGAAGCTTCTTCTTCTGCTGTTTACTATTTGAATTACTCCGTTATGTTCCAATTGTACTACGTTGGTCTAGGTCTAATGGTCTTGTACATGGCTCCAAACTTACAATCTGCTAATATTATTCTGGGTCTATGTCTATCCTTCTTAATTGCATTCTGTGGTGTTGTGCAACCAAAATCCTTAATGCCTGGTTTCTGGACGTTTATGTGGAAGGCTTCCCCATACACCTACTTCGTTCAAAATTTGATTGGTATTTTGTTACATAAAAAACCTGTTAAATGTTCCAAGAAGGAATACAGTTACTTCAACCCACCAGATGGTCAAACATGTGGTCAATACATGACTACTTTCTTTGAGTCTAATACCGGTTACATTAAAAATCCTGAAGCTACTACTGATTGTGCTTACTGTATTTACTCCGTTGGTGACGAATATTTATCCTATGTTAATGCTGAATACAGCCATTTATGGAGAAACTTTGGTATTTACTGGGCTTACATTGTCTTTAACATTTTTGCCATGATCGGTGCCTACTACGTGATTCATGTTAGACAGGCTAAATTCTTAGATCCTTCAAAGATTACTAAACTAATTGGTAAAATGACCAACAAGAAGAAATAATCTACTTTTTCTTTTACTTGATTTTTTCAACCAATGCTTTACAAAATACCCTGTAAATTAATTTCTGCATTTTTCTATTTTAGAACTTTTTAATATTTAATAATAAACATTGATATATAATTTACAAATATATTAAATTTAAATAAAAACAAGAACAATAACAATTCATTTATATTATTTATAATCGTTACACAACGCTAGCTTTTTATTTTAAGCTACTTCTTCTATTGTTGGAAGACTCTGTATTGTCATCTCCTTTTCAAATTGCTCCCATGTTTTCATTCTAATCATAGAATGTTCAAATTCGCTATTTGATTCATCATGCCCATTATTTGCATTCTCTCCAGCAACCTTTCTTGTGTCACCCCATGAGAAATCATCAAATTTCCAATATGCATATGTTGGTAATATGAAATTCCAAATAGGTAAAGCGAGGATATATATCAGCATCCAGAGAACATATGAAAAACTAGAAACTGTAACAACAACCAATGCACCAGGGAGTCCTAAAATGAGTGCTAGCAGACATAATGTCATTGTCGGAGTTGGCGATGAGAATATTGAAATCCCAATGACATACATCGTGAAACATATTGCCAGTGGCAATACCAGAGTCCCAATTAATTCTATAATGATAATGAATTGCATCGAAAAACAAAAAGTCCCACACAGGTCCTTTACCAAGACTAATTCAAACAAATTATGAACCGTTGAGTTAATCCAACGTCTCCTCTGAGAAAGTAACACCGAAAATTTCGAAGGTACAACTGTCTTACAGGCTGCCTTTGGAACAAATATCTGCTTACGTTTAGGAAATGTCTTCAACATCAGCGATGTTAAATACCTATCTTCACCCAACAACAGTAAATTCTTTTTATGTAAAGTGGTGACGTCGTTCTCTGAATATTTCTCAACAATGTCAGGATTTACCAGGATTGGGATCCATAAGCCATCAGAACCTTTGGGTGACTTAATTCTATACATCGAAAAACATCCTGGCAAACATGTTACAGAACAAAAGACCGATTCAAATGCCTTTATCTGATGGTGTGATATATAATATTCAAAGACTTGAATAGCAGTCACCCAGGATTCTTTCTTGTTTGCAATTTTCGTTTCACCACATAGACCCATAATCTCAGGATCCTTCACTAATTCTGCAACCATATGGGTCAAGGAATCTGGAAAAACCTTTGTATCAGCATCCACCATCAAGATAGCCTCATAAACATCTGCCATTAACCCTGTGATTCTCCATATATTGACAAGAATTTCAAAATCTAATCTTGTCATCCTTTCATTAAATATCAATTTTTGCAAGAAAGACATTAAAATAATCTGTGAATCCCTCTTACCTCTATTTCCTGGTTTTGCACAAAGTTGTTCTTCTGAAGTACCACATTTTACTACAACCACCATCGGAACTCTTTGTTGATTTTCTAACGGTATTGAATCATTATCGTACTTATAGAATCCAGAGTATACTTTAGCCATATTATGCCTCTTTAGACCAGAGGTAACGGCTATGTAAGAATGAGGGTAAACTTCATGACGTGGTATGATATAATCTTCGACCATATCCAAAACTATATCCGGTGTGGTCTGTGCGTTACCAGATCCCTTAATCAAACCATCACAGATAACAAAAATCAATTTATGTGAGTTTGGGTAGTCTGTTATGGCAAGTGAATCTAATGTAGTTCTTAACCCTGTTTTATCTTCAGAATAACATGTCACCAGACATAGTGTATGAATTAATGGGAAATTGAAAGGCATGAATGAATTACCTGGTTGTTGTATAACATTTTCACTGAGCAGAGATGAATGTAGAGTGTGGCCATTATGCCCTCCACGGTTATAAGTTTTAGTGATAACCGGATCATCATTAAGGGAGGCTGAAACAGATTTATTTTGTGACTCTATTTTATTAGCACTTTCAGTTGCCTCATTAACTAGAACCTCCAGCGATGTGAGTTGGGAAAACCCATCCCTTATCAAAGAATCACGCTTGCCCATATTTGTCAATGCAGTTTCAAGTGAAATAATTTTCGATAATCTACTGGCCGTTGAAACTGATTTGGTACTTGATTCCAAGGGACCTCGAATGTTTATATTTTCAGACCATTCTTCTACAGCTTTATTATGTTTTTGCATAGATTTTGAATCCAATTTGGTCGCACCTTGTACTTTAGCAATAACCCAATGGAAATAGCAAGCAATAATAAATTTAGTGAAAACTGCCCCTAAAATCAATGTCAACGCAACGTAAAGAACCACGTCTGCTGCAATACATCCAATAGTTTGTGATTCAATTTCTCCAACTTTAATAATCTCAGAAAGACACCTTCCGATCTGTTTTTCATAATTTGTATTAATTATTAAAGATATGTCATAACCTTGTAAATTCGAGCCTCTTAATTCATCAAAATATTGTGGATAATCTAGGTCTTTAGTTAGAATCCAATCTAACAATTCAAGATCCAAAACGTCACCATTATACACTACTAAATTTCTTGTATCGTTTTTCACTTCTTGCCAAGTGTAATAAACATCAGCTTCACTTTCTAACTCATAAAAAGTTGATCTAGTGATATTTGAAAGATGACAATCTCGAGGATTTATCTTAGTATTCTTATCAGTCACATTAGATAATGGATCGGTTGGTAAAACTAAACAGGGAAAATACCAAGCAATGTTCTTTTCTTCATCAATTGGTATTGTACAATTATTTCTAGGTGTAATTAAACCCTGACAATTACCATTAACATTTTGAAACAAAAAACTGGCATCTTTCCCTCCATACTTCGATGGACCATATAGGGAATCTTCGGTTACCATAATATAGTCAGGATTATCCTCATTACTATAATTATGCATATATTCATAAGCTGCACCATTAATTACAATATAAGTTGGAGCTACCTCCGAATGTAGCAGACGTTGCCTTGAATAATTACAAAGTGTGCTACTCAAACCAAATGTCAGATAAGTTACAAATACTCCAATATAGAAAATGATTGACAACAAACCGATCTTTTCTCTCCAAGCCACTCTTCGTTCCTTTGTTTTCATACCACATAAGGATAATAAAGACCTGGGTACCCACCATGTAATCAAATAACAGTAGAATCTCCACGCTGATAATGAACGCTCCCTAGTAGAGCCGATATACCGTTTTGCTGGGATATCACTAGCATTTGAATTTGACCTGAAAGTGACGTGTCTGCTAAGTAGTTTACTGCGACCTCCTGATCCTTGTGATTCAACATCCTCTCGAATGCTATCAGAATCTTCCCTTGACATAGTGCGATTAATTGAACAGAACCAATGTCTTATACTTTGAAGAAATGACCCTCAAATTAAAAGGAAATAGGTTAACTTGTGGAATTACCAAATTTCCTCATTTTGTAGTTACCTATTGTCTCTTACGACTGTGACGCAAATTGTAAACTGTACAACAACATCTTTTTTGAAAACGAACAGAGAATGAAACTTCCTCAGCACTTTAGATAACACAAGGATTAACATACATGATGAAGTTAACCAAGAGAACAGTGCCAGTAGGTTGGATGTTTCTTGTTTTTCCCTTTTTTTAACCTTTCTGTTTCTTAGTAAATGTGTCAAAGGGAAAAAGACAAACAAAAGGTGCTTTGAAAAATATAAATATAAAGGGCAAACGAGGGAAGTAGATTTATGAAGTGAGCAAATTTAAAGAAAACACAAAAGGCCTTTGTTAATAATAAAGTGAAAGAAAATAGAAAGTGAACCAATTCATATAGGATATATATTATTTAATGATGCTTAAATTTTCTAAATCGCAAAGTACTGTAGCACACAATGTGCTGGTTGCTACAAGATTCAATTCAACCAAATTATTGATGAGATCCCGGATAGTAGCCCCTTCTTTCCAACATCTGAGAACTTTACATAATACATCGGCAATTTATCAAAAATCACATCTAAGTCGTCAACCAATTGGTGGTAGCGAATCTCAACGTCATGGTAGTAAAACTAGTAGACGATTTGAGAATGTTGAATTCAATGCACCATTATCCATTGCATTTTTCCTTATTGTAGGTGGGTTATCCTATTATATCTTCGAGAATCAAAAGAAGAAAATGGATGCAGAACAACAAAAGGAATCTAGAAAAGGTTATGGTACACCTCAAATTGGTGGACAACCATTTGAATTGATCGATCAAGATGGTCGTGCATTCACTGATAAGGACATGTTAGGTAAATTTTCAATAGTTTATTTTGGATTCTCTCATTGTCCCGATATTTGTCCTGATGAATTAGATAAATTAGGATGTTGGTTAGATGAGCTTCAAAAGGATAGAATTGAATTACAACCTGTTTTTGTTACATGTGATCCAGCTAGAGATAGTCCCGAAGTATTAAAAGAATATTTGAAAGATTTCCATAATAGTATTATCGGTATTACAGGTACATATGCTCAAATTAAACAAATGTGTAAACAATATCGTGTCTATTTTTCTACACCTGAAAATGTTAAACCTGGACAAGAATATTTGGTAGACCATTCGATTTTTTTCTATTTAATGGATCCAGAAGGTAAATTCATTACAATCCTAGGTAGAAATCTTGATGAAGTTTCAGGTGCTGAGAAAATTAGAGAATCGATATGGGAATATAAGAGAACTCATTGAAGCTAAAACAAAAATAGAATAAAATATGTATTTACTTGTAAATAACAATAAATAATAATAATAATAATAATAAAAACAACTTTATTTTGATAAATTAATAAATAATTATATATTTAAGGAAAAAAAACAAATATAAAAGAACACCCAAAATAGTAAAAATGATGTACTAATTTGCCATATTACCACGCAAACTGAAATAAAGGGTGATAGTGCATAAAGTTAAAAAGATATAAGAGATAACTTCCCATCTAACAATGACAGTTTGACCAGATTCACATATCCATTCAAATAAACCTGTTATTATAATAACACCTAGATTACATGTAGTGATAAATTCATTTGGATAATGTGCATTTAATTTAATAATTGAAATCATATTTGGTAATACACCGAATACTATACCAACAAATAAATTTAACCAAAATTTAGGTTGTGATAAATATTCTTCAACAATTAAACCTAAATTACCTAAATTTAAGAAAGGTAATAATAAAATAATTGAAAAAGTTGGTAAATAGAATAAATTTTTTTTATTAATTTTAATTTTTTCAACTCTTGGTGATTCTTCAAACCATTGATTACACCAAACAGCGAATGGGCCAATTGCTAAAGAACCTAAACCTGTAATTAAACCAGCTTTTAATCTATCAAATAACCACGGATCATTCACTTCTTTAGTCTCTTTATTAACAGACATCTTACCTGCTAATAAATTACAAGTAGCATTAGTATAAGAAACAATTAATATACTAATTACAGCTAACATCATAATTAAAAAATTTCTAAAGACATTCTTATTTCTTGAAACGCTACAGACACCATATAATAAAGTAGTCATTTCAAAAAAAGCACAATTTTGAATCAAAGTAATGTCAAATGATGGAGATAAACCTAACCCTAAAGTATAAGTTACCACTGTAATGGCTAAAAAGCAGGACATTGTAAGAATTTTGACAAAATACCTTATATTTGAAGAGAGACTCTTGTCTGTCGATGCAGGCTGTGGTAATTCTATAGGTTCCGAAAGATCCACATCAGCATCATCCATATCAGAATTTACACCATTAATTTTATTGTTATTATTATTAATAGTATCTTCAGTTTCATTATGAGACCAAATTAATTTACTAAATGGAATCAATAGATACCATGATAATAAATATAAGATTGCTAAATGTACTGTAAAGCCTTGTCTTGGAACACTCTGAGACTTTTGTACTTGTTGTGTTTTTTGATCAACTAATTGTTCTCTACCAACAATATTTTCAAATGATCTTGTTTGTATCATGTAAGTGACCACCGCGGTCAACCATAACACGTTAATATTTCTATAGAATGGCATTTCCTATTGTGTGTGTATGGTACAGTTTGTGTAAGTATTATCGTTGATATCTCAAATAAATCTCAATAATAGGAAAAGAAGTTTACCATTGGTGATTGTTTATGTAGAATTAATATATGTTTAAAGTATCTATGAATATCATCAAAAAATCTTGAAATATATCTCCTAATTAAACTTGAGGGGCTTAGTTTACTACGAAATTTCCGAATAGAAAATCGGATACGGCTGGCCGTGTTCAGTGATAATACAGCGGCGGCTGAACGCGAAAAATGCATAAGATTTCGGGGGGCGGGGCGGAGAGAGGGAAAACCGGTGTTCCCCCAAGAAATTGAAAAATTTGGGGGACAAAAATTTGAGTAACCCTAATACCCATGCGTTTAAGATATTCCATGCACTATATATTTTGCTACAAGGGATCCCTAACTAGGGTTAAAGTTCGGAAGAGAAAGGTGTCACAATTTAGAATATTTTACTATCCTTGTTGTAATTATCAGAGTAATGAAACAGGAAAATTCTAAATGTTTTTTTTGGGAATGTAGTGTCACATTATCGATATAGCAATATATACGATATCTAAAGCATACTGTTCTTAATCTTTTAAAGTTACGTCAAAATCAGGACCTTCAGCCAAAAAAAAATAATACAAGAAAAATAACGATAAAGTACACCCATTATGCTGATCGAAGCTGAAATTGTAGAAGATTCAACTTGCGAGAGTAAATTTGTATGAACATAATGAATCCTGAGCTATTTCGGAATATGCTAAAATTTCCTTAACCGTTGATATATATTAATTCTAAAAGGAATTCTTAATTTAGAAATATTGTCATTTACGTGCAGAATAGTTTGGATTCATATATGTTTAAGGAACAACAAGTATTTCAAATACGGTACCGTTTCTACATAACGCATAACAAGAACGAACAAGACGTCACTATTCCATATCCAAATGGAATGGCAAGTACAGTTCTTACACGTTGAATCTGCCCTTGTAAACATGGAGAGAGTTGAAGTTTCAATTTCCAATCTTAAGTACCCCCATTAACTTCTCAATCATTCGTCTGACGCTCAGCCAATTCCAAGCTTTCTTAGTAAAGAATGAAGCAATTTAACGTGACACGAAATTGACGCGCGCTGTATTATTTTGTGCCGTGTGGATATTTTCTTATGCGGTGGGTGGGTGATAGTGGCCAGGTGGACTGTCTGGCCCACGTGACATTGTCACCTATTTGGTCGAAGTCCTCTACGACACTTAACATATATATCAATACTCATCTTGATCACCACAGTCAGGCAAGTAATTACCACTTTACATTCACAATTGGCTCGTCAGAGATTGTGTATGACCTCATTCGTTTTTTCAACTTACAAGTAATAAGTACCAACGTATATAAGAGACCAGTCATGTAGAACAGTTAGGTAACAGCAGTCTCCCCTTCTTACTGTCATGTTAGAATCATATTAAGTACATATATATACACACCCTCACATATACACATACCCTACACTATGCCTGCACCACACGGAGGAAAATTACAAGATTTAGTCGCTAGAGACTTACCTCGTCACGACGCCTTATTGGAAGAATCAACCAAGTTGACTCATCAATGGGTTTTAACAGAACGTCAAATCTGTGATATTGAACTGATCTTAAATGGTGGGTTCTCCCCGCTTAATGGGTTTTTAAACCAAGCAGATTACGATTCCGTAGTCTCTACCAGTCGTCTTGTAGACGGTACCCTATGGCCAATGCCAATCACTTTGGATATTAATGATGAATCCTTCATCAAAAGTGGTATTCAAACTGGAGAACGTATTGTTCTATCTCAAGATGGTGAAATTCCAATCGCTATCCTAACAATTGGAGACATTTGGCAACCAAACAAATCTCTAGAAGCTGCTAATGTATTTCGTGGTGATCCTGAACATCCAGCAATTCGTTATTTGAATGAGCAAGCTGGTGATTGGTACATTGGTGGTTCCTTAGAATGTATCCAACTACCTGTCCATTATGACTACCCTGGCGCTCGTAGAACCCCAGCTCAATTGAGAGCAGAATTTGATTCTCGTCACTGGGATCGTGTTGTTGCCTTTCAAACTAGAAACCCAATGCATAGAGCCCATAGAGAATTGACTGTTAGAGCTGCTAGAGAGACTAATGCTAAGATCTTGATTCATCCAGTGGTTGGGTTGACCAAACCTGGTGATATTGACCATCATACAAGAGTGCGTGCCTATAATGAAATTGTTAAAAGATACCCTGCCGGGATGGCTCTGGTATCCTTATTACCATTGGCAATGAGAATGGCCGGTGATCGTGAGGCTCTATGGCATGCAATCATTAGAAAAAATTATGGTGCTACCCATTTCATTGTTGGTAGAGATCATGCAGGTCCAGGTAAAAACTCAAAGGGTGTCGATTTCTATGGTCCTTATGATGCTCAAGAATTAGTTGAATCACATCGTGATGAATTACAAATTACTGTAGTACCATTTAGAATGGTTACTTACTTACCAGATGAAGATAGATATGCTCCAATTGATACTGTGGATACATCAGTTACACGTACTTTGAATATTAGTGGTACTGAATTAAGACGTCGTTTAAAGGTCGGTGCTTCCATCCCAGAATGGTTCTCTTACCCAGAAGTCGTTAAAATTCTAAGAGAATCTAACCCACCAAGACCAAAACAAGGGTTTGCTCTATCTTTATTACCTGAGAATTTAAATGTCTCTACAAGACAATTATCAACTGCATTATTATCTATCTTCCTTCAATTTGGTGGTGAAAGGTATTATAAAGTCTTAGATCGTCAATTTGGAAACAATGACATTTTACGTGAATTGATAAATGATTTTGTCCAAGCTGGTTCAGGTCTAATTATTCCATCTGATGTCACCGAAGTTAAGGGTGGATTGACAAACGTTTACACTGTCGGTAATTCTGATGACGCTGATATCAAAGTTAGTGGAACCGACAGTTCTGTATTTGATATCGTTCAAAGAGTAGTCTTATTCTTGGAAGATAATGGTTATATCAACTTTTGATTGTTATAGATATATACTGCATTTGCACAATACTTATTTAAATATTATAAAAAAAGAAAAGAAATATTTTTAAAAATTTATGCTATTGAAACTCCAAATTACACAGAAGAGTTAAATAGTTTTTGCTGTCTTAATATTATCACTTACACATTTACTTATTTACAAAATACATTATTAACCTTGAACATCTTGTAGATCTCTCACATATTCTAAAAAGGTATTGGCTTTAGCCTCAGAATCAGAAAAGTGATTGTTCACTGTGATGTCCAAACTCAACATATAATTTGAAGATTGTGGATCATTTTCCTCTTGGATCGATGAGATTTTGTTATTTTTCGTGCTTGCAAGAATATCAAATATATCATTTGTCTGAGAACCGATATCGAGAGTATTGTTATCTAGAGGTACTAGACTAAACTTATATTCAAATCTACTAGCACGGGGTTCCGCAGTAACCAATTCTTCAAAGATAGGATCATAATGCTCGGATTGGTTTCCAACAAGACCTCCGAGGTGTGCATATTGATAAGCCTCTTGTAAGAAAACCTTCACTGAGCTATACAGATGTTCGTAACTAACGCTTAATGGTACTTCCATCACTAGATCTTCTTCCATAACAATATCTGGCGCATATGCTGGTTTCTTTACAACCTGAGGTTTATCTTCTACAACAGAGGCGACGGTATCATTAACCTGTGAAGACGTTAGAATCGTCTTCTCAATACCTGTTAAGTCCAAATGTCTCGATTTATTAATATATTCTTCAATAGCGACAGACGACTCCTTAGGAATCTTACCAAGATGAGATAGAATATCACCTTTTAAGAGTGTACCATGTAACCCTGTGGCTGGAATATTTTCCAATGCATCTTCCTTAGATATACCATTTTCTGCTAATAACATACTCACTGATGGAAGTAATGTTTGGCTCTTGTTTGCTACATACATGGTTGTATCTCCTTTGGTACTAGTAGCTTTCTTATCCTCTGTTACTACCGGTTCCTTTGCTACTACTGGTTTCTCTTGTTTCTTTATTGTTTTCTTCTCTTTAGTACCGGCTATCAATGAATCCACATCAATTGCACTGACATCATCGTCTACATCAGCTGTAATTGCAATGCTGGTACCTACAGCAATATCCTTTTCACCATCTTGTTTCAGAATTCTCACTATCTTACCATCATCTAAAGCTTCAACATCGATTTGTGCTTTGTCCGTCTCGATCTCGAGCAGGACATCCCCTGCTGCATATTCTTCTCCTGCTTTCACTTTCCAATGAACTATGCCACCCATCTCCATAGTAGGTGACATAGCAGGCATCAGATATGGTTGAATTGCCAATTGAGACCCTTGCCAATGGAATCCTTTGCGTGGGATACATCTCCATAAGTTGGAATTTCTTGCAAGCCTGCTGACATTAGCTCTCAACATGATCAACAGATAAAGATAATTATAATTTTTTTTAAATCCTATCAATAGAAAATTAAATATATTGTAATAATGCGCTTTAATCGTTCTATTTCATCTATAATTGATAGTTTAACGAAGTAACCTCTCTTTTGTATTGTTCCTTAAAATTTCAACTCTCAAAGATTTTTTTGTATTGCAACAACAAAAAAAGGGCTGAAATTGTTTTTTTTTCTTTCTGTAATACAAAACCAAAGACACTACAAGTTGTTAATTTCATAAAGATTGTTCTTACATAAAGGGATATATATCTATATATCTATATACTTTTTGTTATTGTTTTTTAACGTTGTAAAGCTTGTTCTAAACGACTTAGAGGAACTATCTTATGATTGTACTTGTCCCATGCATTGTCGTCCCCCTTGAGAACCAATTGCAGGTCAGTTGGTTGGAGACGTTCTTTCAGGAACAAACCAAAATTGGTAGGTTGACTTTCTGATTGCTGTAGATACGACCACATTGCTTTATAACAACCACCAACTGCGCATGAGTTTGGATTCTCCGATCTGAAGTTACCGCTTGTGGCACCTAGAACTTGAGAAAATCGTTTTACAATTGCCAAGTTTTTAGATGCTCCACCAACAAAGTACACATGTTCAGGTCTACAGTCAAAGTACGTGGTTAATGGTAATTCATCGTAGTCAAATTTTACCATTGTATTGATCTGAATCGATGTATAGAAAGCTCCGGGACGTGGAGTCAATAATGGAGAAACACGGACTCTACAACTTAACGCTTGAGACTCGACAATATTCTTGGCATCATGTCTTAAATCATTGAATTGGTCTACTTTTTGCAAAATTTCGCCTGTATCCTTGTCAAATAGAACTCTCTGGCAAACAGCTGGAACACTAGGAACGATTTCACCTAATGGGAAATATATGGCCAATTCATTATCGTTCGAGATGTTATCATCACTTACAGCTTCGTTAAATGTTATCCAGTTCCCAGGTTTCTTGTCATGACACACTATATTCAATTTATCACGAATTTGTTCTCTGGCTAGAGATCCATTACAATAACATATCATACCCATATAGTGATTAGGGATCGTTGGATGAATAAATAAGTGGTAGTTAGGTGATGGATGATATTGATCTGTAACCAGTAATACTGTGGTACTTGTCCCTAAAGAAACAAGGACATCGTTATTACGAAGGGGCAATGAACAAATGGTGGCTAAATTATCACCTGTGAAAGGGAATATTGAGCAATTACCGTTAAAACCATATTTATCAACGAAATATTGAGATACGGTACCTGCACGAAGTGGAGATCCAGCACGCATAGGTTCACCGAGTAATTTCGATAGTAAACTGTTACCAATCTTGTAAGGTCTATTACATTCTAATAATTGAACCAAGGGCTCACTAAATTTCCTTTCTTGGATATCGTAAAGGTTCATCCCACATGCGTCTGCTTCTTCCAACGGAACAAATTTACCACAGAGCAAAGACGTTGCAAAATTAGAAACTAAAGTTATAACATGCGATCTTTCATATACATCTGGCTCTTCTTGAATAATTTTAAGTATCTGAGGACCTGTGAATCTAAAATGTGCCCTTGAGCCAGTAATCCTAGCCATCTCCTGAGGACCCCCAATCGTGTGTTCCATTTCCTGACATTGTTTTCCAGTACTATGATCTTGCCAGTTTGGAGCTGTAGGTCTAGCAAATGCATTGGGTACCAATTGATCCTTTAAATAACCATGGTCAGCTTGTAAACTTTCTAACAAGTCACAGGCTTCCTCAGTCCAATATACAGAACCATGCTGTTGGCAAGAACCTGATACAGCTACTACTTTGCTCAAATCAAATCCAGCATTGACAAATCGTTGTAATACAAGATCAAAAGCCTCTACCCACTGTGCTACTGGACTATCAACAATATCGCCTTTGTGATATACCCCCTTTTCTGTGTTATAATGGGGCAGATCTTTATCGAATTCCACAGTTTGTTCACCAACGATACATTGGTGTTCATCTACAGCTAAACACTTTAATTGTTGTGTCGAAAGATCAAACCCTAGATAATAAGTACCTCCCATTATTATTAAGCCTGATGTATTTCTAATTTTATCTTTCAGAATATTTTATCCTCTTTCTTTTGTCTAATTTTAGAAAATTGTTATAAAGTGAAGTATTCCTCGTTCCTTTAATATTTCATATCCCTTAATTTAAATAAAACCGAATAAAATAATAAGCGAAACATTAATAATGAACTAGAAATAGAACAGCATACAATCTTGGAATTAGATGGACATATGGCTAAAAACTGAGAATATTTATTACTAGTCTATATATGTATGTGTTTATATCTAACTATAAGGTCTCTATAACTTTTTCTTCCCAATGGAAGAAAACAACATCTTGGGTTTCATGCTGTTCATCGTGTGAGAAAATACTTTCTTCTTTAGGTGGCTCACATTCTGGTTGACTGTGTTGACTGTATTTATCACCGTGTTCTTCTTTGTTAGGTCTTCTGCGTTTGCATACGCCTCCCTAACATGTCTGTTGTCCTTGTACTCCTGGAACAAAAATTCTTTCTCCTTAGAAGAAGCCTTCAATGAGTAACTGATCCATGTCTGGATTCCCGTATCGTAATTTCCTAACTCTTCATAATAACTCGTAAGTTGGTCATATTTTGACGCATTAGACAGATTGCTAATTATGAGTTTGTTTAGATCCAATTGTGGGATAGAATGGATTTGATTTATTCTAGCTATCTCTTGTGAATTTGGTTGATGGATCCCCGGGCCTTCTACTTTCCTCTCTGAGGAGTATGTAGCGTTGGATATAGATCTGAGTCTAGATGTATCCTGTTGTTCGTTACCATTATTATTGATATCAGTTTTCATATTAGTGTCTATATTATTTGGTAATGGTGGTAAGTTATTAGCACGACCGATGAGTCCAGGTACATTATATATTGTACTGTTATCATATATTGTCTTTGTATCTCTAATGGTCTCTAACTCACCAGAGTTATCGTTATCTTCAGAAGGGAACGCATTCCAACCACTTTCAATACCAGAATAAGTCGAGACTGCACGTCCCTTCATGCTAGATGGTGTTAAATCTATTAAATTACCATTCTCATCATAGACAAACCCTGGAGGTGCCTTTTTGGAGGTTTCTTGGACGAATCCGGATCTCAAAGAATCTGTGTCTGGTTTCCATTTACCAAGGTTTACAGATTGTCTCGATTTATCAAGGTCTGTTGCATTTTTGTCTTCTATTATTTTATCATCATCACCTTCCTCCTCTGTATCATCAGGATTCAAAACTTTGTCTCCTGTAAGGTCTGTCATTGCAGAAGAAGAATCATCTCGATCTGTATCTTCATGAGTAGTATCGAGCAGAGAACTATCCTCACCTTGTATCGAATCTTTTTGTTCAATATCATTAGCTTCGGAAGATGTATCATCCCCATCTGGTTTTATACCCTTTTCGCCATCATGAGCCTTTTCAATTGTATCTTTACTTTCAACCGATGATGGGATAGAGAGTATATCTCCATTTTTATCATCATCTTTTTCTAAGTTATTGATAGATTCCTTCGTTACTGGTGTGTCCGGTATGCTGTCGTTATCTTGCATCATCTTTGAGAAATAGCCAGACTCTGAAATATTCATCGTCGGATTATCGTCTGATGAATTATCATCTTTTTCTTTATCATTGTTACTCTCAGATGAACTACTGTGAATTATAGATTCCCGTATCTTCTTATTTGTAAACTTGAACGGCGATTCATCTTCACGTGGCTCTTCAGTATCATATGTGATTGAATTTGTATAAGAAAGAGCATCATCTTCGTCGTTATCATCTTTGTATTGATTTGTGGCATCGGGCTCAAACTCATCAGAGCTGTCTCTATAAGATAAATCAGGTATTGGAACACCAGCAGATACTAATGTAGACACATTCTCATTTTCGTGTTCCTCTGATAGTCTTGATAATTCTTCAGCATCATCGGTATCACTCTTTGTAGCATACTCAGCCAGAATCGGAAATTCATCATTTTCACTTCCATTGTTAGGTTTTGTTGACTCTGGTTCTTCCATATTCTCATGCGCTGCTTGTGGTGTAGTCTCATGTTCTATATGGATTGTTGAATTACTTTGCGTTTCAGATATCTTCGCTGAAATATTATCCTTTTGTTCTTCTTGATCTTGAAAACTCTCTTGTTCCACAGGTTCTTGATGCTCCTTATCATCTGTATCATCGTCATTATCAATCATACTAGCGAAATACCCACCTTTTGACACTTGCATGTCGTCATCCTCCGTATCTTGTTCCGATGAGACAGTTTCATCTACAATGTTAGTGTGTGGGCTATCAATATCATCATCATCTTGATTAATATCACCAAAAGTACCCTGTTGTGGTTCCTTTGGTGTCATTTCTTTTGATATCTGTACCATTAGATTATCTAGATCATCGCTGAATTGGTTATTTTTAGATTGACGAGAGAATTTCTGAGGTAATTGAACCTCTGGAGATGGAACCTCCGTAATTTGTTCTTCTTGTTGAGGCATCTGTGGTAATTCTATCTCTGGATCGCCAGATGCATTTACTTCGTCGCCATAATCAAGTTTAGGAAGTGTGGGTAGTTTCATCTTCTGCGATGCATCACCATGTTCTTCTTCGTCACTAGAGTCCCAGTCAGCCCCATCGTAATTCGTTTGGGACGCACTCGTCCATCTATATGATTTTCTTCTGTTCACTTGCTCACTCATACCAGGTTGATAATATCTGTTATATACGAATTCTACCAGCAGTCTCTCTTGGCCAAAGTTGTTGTTGTTTTTGTAGGTCCTTTTCATATTAATTCAGTTCATTTTTGTCTTTTTTTAATTTATTTTCAAAATTTTGGTGAAGCAAAAAATAAATATTAGATGGCCAAGATAAAACTAATAATAACAAAGAATAAATGTAAACCTAGGATTACAACTGTTTATATATATTTGCTAAATGCGGTTTATTGGTCTACTTATTTATTTATATTAATGAAGGAGAGAAGTGAGAGAGTATATGACTATTTAGTGAACAAAGTGATGACGTCCTCATCATCTATCCTATGAGTAAGACCACATTTTTGAGGTGAATGTTTAGCTGAAGAACCCCAAACTAAAGCATACTTGAACTTATCCTTGAAATCTCTGTGGATAGAATGACATAGATCCCCAACTGAAGAATTGGACCTTACCACTAGTGGATCCTCAAAACTTGGTTTAAACCCACGTTTCTTGGTGTACACACGACTTAAATTCAATTGGTACCATATCTGTTCAACAACGTCATCCATTCCTAAATCCATCTCACATGAGATAACCACAGTGTTTGGTTCACGAGCCAATTTGTCAACTTCTTCCAAAGATACGGCGTCGATCTTATTGTAAACGTATAAACATTTGATATAGTTACGATGTTGATCATTAATAATATCAATGAAGTCATCAATTGTACACTGATCATCACGTACCAATACATCTGCATTATGTACACGATAATCCTTCAATATCATCTTGATGGCGTCTTCAGTCAGGTTTGCTTGAGGTGGAGCAGTAAACGTTACTTTAACACCACCTGTTTCCTTTTTCTTGTAATAAATATTTGGACGTTCTTTGTTTAAACGGATCCCAACTGCTTCTAATTCTGCCTCTAGAGATTCACGTTGGTGTTGACTCTTTGTTGCATCAAGAACCATCACTACAAGGTCTGCAGTTCTAGCTGTAGAGACAACTTGACGACCACGACCTTTACCTTGAGAAGCACCATAAATAATACCTGGTAAATCCACAATTTGAATCTCAGCACCTTCATATTTAAGAACACCTGGAACAGAAGTCAATGTTGTAAATGAATAATGGGCAACTTCACTCTTGGTAGATGTAATTTTCCCCAACAAAGAAGATTTTCCTACAGATGGGTACCCAATTAACACGGCTCTAGCATCACCGGATTTGGCAACTTCAAATCCAGTACCACCAGCACCACCAGTACTAGCGGCATTCTCTTCAAGCAGTTGTTGTCTATATCTCGCCAGTTTACCCTTTAAAAGCCCCAAATGATGTTCTGTGGCTTTATTCTTCTGCGTTCTGGCCATCTCTTCCTCGATGGCCTTGATCTTTTCTATGACACCCATGATTATTCGATTACTATTATTATTGGCTAGAAATTGTCTCCAAAAGCGTTAATCCGTGCACTCTGTTCAAATAAACAATTTAGAGTCTTCTACACACTAGCTAAATCACTTGAATTATAGTTCTAAGAGACTATTTCTTCCCAAAGTATCTCAACTTTTAAACGTTTTAGTCCTCTTTGCTCCCTCAAAAGAACTGAAAAATTTCTTCGCCAAAAATTTCAATTTCACAACGCAAAAATTTTGGCAAATTTCCATATAAAAGAAGGCAGAAAGAGAGAGAGAAAGACATGGAATCAACAACGGTTTCTAGACATAGAAGGGGAGCAGTGTGCTAGGTAATTATTGAGATCAGTATTGTGAGGTGTTTTAATGAACGGATATAATAATAATAATAACAACAACATGAACGGTAACACCCAAGGGTTTTACCAACCATCACAGCAGTTCGCGTTCCCCCAGGGGTCGATGTCTTCCACAATGCCCACGATGGGGAAAAGTCCCGATTCTATGGGACTAGGTGTTGCTCCAGATCCTTTACCTATGGGAATATTGAATGCATTATCCACAAAGGGTTATGCTCACGAACCTCCTTTACTTGAGGAACTAGGGATCCATTTTGACCATATTCTAGCTAAGACAAAAATTGTTTTATTACCTGTACGCCGTACGTCTCAAAGTTCTATGTCTCAAGAATTGTTATTAGACGCAGATTTGTCTGGTCCATTATTATTCTTTATGTTATTTGGGTTATTTTTACTCTTAGCTGGTAAAGTTCATTTTGGTTATATCTATGGTGTGGCTTTATTCGGTACTGTATCATTACATAATTTATCCAAGTTAATGTTCAATCAATCTAATTCTGCACAACAAGTGTCTTTACATTTCTTTAACACAGCATCTATCCTTGGATATTGTTTCTTACCATTGTGTCTATTGACAGCAATAGGGATAGTCATGAATCTTGATAATACACCAGGTTATGCCATGGGAGCTCTAGCAGTTCTATGGGCTACTTGGTCCGCTTCTGGATTTTTAAACTCTTTACTACAATTACAGAATGCAAGAGCACTTATTGCATATCCTCTATTAATCTTTTACAGCGTGTTTGCTCTAATGGCTATATTTGTTTAGATTAGTTTTATAAATAAATAGATAAAATTAAATAAAAAATCTAATAGAAAAGGTACGTTTTTCCACAACAAACCGTCAAGAACAACAATAAGAGAGAATAAAATCTTAAAAGAAACTTAAATAAACAAGGTTAGAAAGTGAACCATTGTTCAAATAATAGGATATACATTATATGAGGAGAAGTGCTAAGTTGGTTAGTCACATAACCACCCCGATTTTTTACCCAAACGCAAGGCCCCATTTAGGTCATTTATACTCTAGTTTACTTTGTGATGTTCAGCATCGATGGAAATTGCTTAAAGGGGTGGATTCATTATTGACTACAGGGACAGACGAACATGGATTGAAGATACAATTGGCTAGTGAAAAGAATCATTATAAGAATCCTCGAAAGTTCGTAGATAAACTGTTTCCTGAATTCATAGGGTTGGATAAATTTTATAATGTGAAATTTACAAAATTTATTCGTACAACAGACCCATTTCACATTGAAAATGTGTTGAAACTTTGGGAATTGTGTAATAAGAATGGTTATATATATAAGGGAGAACATCATGGCTGGTACTCTATCAGTGACGAAACCTTCTACCCTGAATCAAAAGTCATTGTTGACCCGAAGGACTCAACCCGTCATATTAATACAGAATCATTTAATGAGGTGATATATCAATCAGAAACAAACTATTACTTCAAATTATCAGCATTTCAAGATAAAATGTTAGACTATATAGAGAATCAAAATCCAGAATTTGTTTACCCTTCATCAAAACGTGATCAATTGGTGAAGGATTTGAAGACAAATCCGTTGCAGGATCTTTCAATCTCGAGACCTGCCTCTCGTCTTCAATGGGGTATTACTGTACCAAATGATCCTGAACAAAAAATATATGTATGGTTCGATGCTTTATGTAACTATGTGTCTGCCATAGGTGGTATAGACACTTCAACAAAACCAGCAACTATCCCATCACTTCATTGGACCCAGACTACCCATTTAATAGGTAAAGATATAACAAAATTTCATTGTTTATATTGGCCCAGTTTCTTGATGGCTGCAGATTTACCTTTACCAAAACGTGTGGTAATACATAATCATTGGATTTCTAATGGGATGAAGATGTCTAAGAGTCTAGGAAATGTTATTGATCCAATTGTGGTTGGGAAGAAATACGGTCCGGATATTGTAAGATGGTACCTATTAGAAAATTCCAAGATTGATGCAGATGGGGATTTTATTGAATCTAACGTATCTTCTTTGAGACAATTGTTCGTGTCCAAATGGGGTAATTTAATCAATAGATGTTGTGGTCAGAAATTTAATATATCAAGAGCAATTGGTACATTTTCGATGGATCGTTCCGACCGTATATTGAATCTATGGAAGGATAACAGTGAGGTAACAACACATATTAATAATATTTTTGAACAATTGAATAAGCTTCCTCGGCAGATGGATGAAAAGATAGACAAGTTTGATCATTCGAACATGTTAAAAGAAATTTGGAATATGGTTAATGATGCCAATCTCTTAATCCAGGTTAGTAAACCTTGGGAAAAACCACAATTGCAACAAGATTCAATAATATTCCTGTGTATTGAAACAGCACGTATATTGTCCATTCTAACCCAGCCTATCATTCCTATGGTCTCCAGTAACTTTTTGGATCGTATGGATATTAAACCAGAAAGAAGAACATTGGATTTTGTGACACTTGGATCAGATAATAACTATGGGGAGAATGCCAATTCTTCTAAAAGGAATCTACCTCTTGAGTTATCTCCATCGGAGAATGAATTCACACACACCATGTAAATAAACATATACAATTATGAAATCTGTAAAAAAAAAAAAATTATGCTCTTAGTATGTATATATGTGCTTATATATAATGCAATTTATGCTATAATTATAAGTGATTGTGATTTAAATGCTTTCTTTTTCGTTATTAATAAGGAGAATCTGTATCAATTATTTTTGATTCTACATCTTCCTCACCGTAATCTTGGTTCATGAATTTCTCAATCTCTTTGAATTCCCACGAAACGTTGTGATACTTGTTTACATGTTCCTCATCTACACTGATAGTTCTTTTAATTCTCTCAAGTTGTGATGGATTAACAATACGAACTGCTTTTCTTTTGTGCTCCTTGATACCAGGCACATGGCCAACACTCATGCCAACTTTCACTAAAGTTTCAATACCTTCCTTGGAGTTCTTAGCAATATCAGAGTCGAATTGTATCGCACCCTTTGGAATAATTAATATGATGGTGGATCCTCCAAATTTGAAATAACCTAGTTCGTTACCTCTCTTAACAGAGTCACCTTCTTTACATGTTAATATAACGGAACCAACCATCATCGCCCCTACTGGGATAAATAAGAAGGTGCCGAATTCTTTTGAATGTATTGGTATAACCACCCGAATATTTTCACCAAAGACATCTAACCCACTTCGAATAGCCATTGGGTTTACTGTATAATACTCACCATCAATATATACGGGTTTCCCCATTATACCATCGCACGGACTATGGAAACGGTGATAATCTTGTGGTGCAAGTCTGAAGATAGCAATACTAGTATTTTTCTCGTTACATTTGTCCAACTTATAATCTCCGGTTAATTTATCAATACTGAATTTACTACCTTTAATCCAAATTTCTTTCGATTTCGCAATCGTATCAAAGACAGTACAACGCGAATCTGCACATGATACCATTACTTGGGAATCTTCTCCCTCAATAGTTCTACTTCCAGGTTTTAGTTTTCTAAAGAAAAATTCGTTAAAAGTTTTGTAGTCTGTATCCAAACATTGTGATACGTCTAAGGAATGAAATTTGATAAATGGTTCTATTTGTTTAACTGACGCCGGATCATCAAATTTTTTACCTTGTCTTATTGACATGTTCTTCAATAAATTTTTGAATTTCTTTGTCTCTGTACCTCTACCATTGTATATGATTCTCATACCAAATTTAACATGTGCACTAATCTTTTCTTCGATGATAATACCTGTATCTCTATCCTGTACAAGAATATTTGCATTATTTGAACCAAGTGCATATTTACCATATGTTAATTTAATTAGTACCTTCGAAAACCATCTCTTAGAGGCAAATTCGGAAGATACATATGATGGTTTTAATGTCTTATTTGAATGAGAGAAACTACAAATAGCAAAATGAGTAATCAGGTCATTTTCAATCATCAATTTGGATTTCAAAACATTGTTACTCTTTTTTCTTGATTTGAAACATTTAGGACATCTCCAAACATTCTTAAATTCTGCAGACTTCTTCCAATTTTGTAGACCTTCGATTAGTTGAATTTTCGAGATATAATCACCAGACCACGGATTCTTAGAAAACCGTGCAAAAAATTCTAGTACATCTTTATCTGTGAACGACCCTAATTTGTCCAAGAATAACATAAGGTCACACATATCGAAATTTTGTTTTATGGTGCTTCTCAGCACAGCGTATTTCCAAAAAGTATTCTTTAACGTCATGTACGGCATAAATCTCATCCTTAGGTGAAGTATTGGTTGTGTGTATCTTGTAGAATCCTTTTTCACTAATAGTTTCATTGGAAGATCGAAATCAGTCCACTTTGATGGATCTTTATTTTGTAATTTTTCAATCATATCAGTCCAAGGTAAATCATATTCGGCCACTTCATCATTAAATGTGAATGAATCTTTATCTAATACTCTGAAGTGGAAGCTGAAGTTTTTTTCGTTTGGAAACACTTCAAACGCAGCAGACTCGCCAAATGTCGGATTTAATGTGTGTTTCCTCCAAGATGTTTTGAATACCTTTCTTCCAAATGATGCTACAATAAATGGGTCCATATCAAAAGTTCTTGACAGTTTACTCTTTAATGGTGGTAGGTCTGTAATGGAGACAAATTCTGTAAACATAACACCCAATGAATGTTGCTTCTTTGAGACTTGAAATGTAGTTTCGACTTTCCTTGTAATTCGTTCTTTATAACTTTTTGTGTTACGTCTCATACGTATCAGTTTTTTTACGGTAGGTCTAAATATTAGCCCATTCTGATCATTTGCTTGATCGTCATTTTCGCTGGAATCATCACCGGACATAGACCTTTCATCATCATCCTCGTACCCTTTATCGATATTCTCGGAATTAAAACTTATTGAAGAATTTGCTTTGTCCTTAATTTTGTACATACGATTCTCGTCTCCATCATTTTCGCCAAGTAAATTTTCTTCATCCACATCAATAGCACTTTCTACTTCCGGTATCATATCTCCATTTAACAACAAATCGATATTCGGTATCTTAGAACTGTTAATATCTTCAGGCAATACAACATCATATTCATCAAGAACTGATGCTATCGATGCCAAATCGATATTATTTATGTTATGTGCACCATTTATTGGTTGTTCTTCACTATCAGGGGATGCTATTACATCTGAGAGTAATTCGAAGTTTTCAATAAGTCCTTCCATGCTTACATCATTAATATTCGAAGTACTACTTGTTATGTATGGCTTTGTTTCAAAACTATCATAACTGGACACTGAAGAACAAGACGAGGATCCCGACGAGGATGATAAGGACGTCTGTGAACGTAAATGTGGATCCGATAAGGATGGTCCTAATTCTGAATCTGTAACTGCACTAGGTGGAACTTCGCACATTTTCAACACATTTAGAGACTCTAATCTAGGGTCACTAATTGTCCTGGATCGATTACGTATTTGTTCTCTCTCTTGTGATTTGTCATTAGATTTCCCTTTGGGAGATATTAACGGTATTGACATTGTATTAAATAGCTTGCTTTTCCATGAATTATATGCTTCGATGGTGCTGTAATTCTTATCATTTGTAGTTAAACTAAATCCTAAAAATATTTCACCAACTGGATATTTCATATTGACTCCACTATCATGTTGTTCCTTTTCCCTTTTCTTATCGTACAGAGTATACCATTCTGGCGCTAATGAGAAATTATAACTGTTCTTCGAACCTTTCTTTTTAAATAAATCTAATAGAGATAATTGTACTTCACCAATATATAGATAATTACTTGTGACATGTCTCTTATAATGATCTGGATTAGAATGGTCCAAACTTTGGTTAGAATACGTGTGTTGTATGTTTAAATGGTCAACACCGGTGTTATGATGATGGACAGGATCAGAACTATCATGATAATCGGGAATTGAGGCATTCGATACCATCATAGAGTTCGGTATCGTAGTTGACGACCTACCATATAATTGTTGTGATCCACCTCCAAAGGATGAAGTCATTGATGCCATAGAGGTTACGCTAGATGTATTTGACAATGGTGGTGTAGAAGCTGTTGTCGTTGGGGCCATTGTCGGCAGTGCATCGAAGACGATAACTCTTAATAAATCTGATTGTGGAGTTCTTGGTAATTTCAATTTAAGGATCTGATTCCAATGAGTATTAGAATTTTTTAATTTTGCTGTCCTTTTTGTATAAAATGTATTTGTCGTAACAAAACATATTGGATTACATTGAAAATTATCTATCAAATCTACATGTTTTGCATAAGATATCCTTACAGCCAGATTTAAATTCGGCTGTTTGGTATTCTTCTTCTTCTTCTGCCTCTTACCTGGGATAATTCTCATTATTTTTAAATCTTAGTAATGCCCAAGTATGGAAAGGAATAAATATAGAGCAGTTAGCACCTAACTCACACTGACAACAATTGGGATCAATGTCTAGTTAAATATATGTGTGTGTTCGTGCTTGATTCTATCAAATCTCGAGAAATTTCAAATTATATAAATGCTCATTTCACAAAGGGATATATCCCTGGATGAGTTCTAGCCATCGAAGTGAAATGGCTTACTTTGTTCTCTGTTCTCCCCCATTGATGGGCAAAAAATGAAGTTATTCCGAGAATTATTTCGGGCGTCAAACGCATTTTCGCTTTGCACACCCCCAGCCTCCAAAGCGCCGCCCTGAAATATTTTGGGGGAAAGCCGCTCGCCAGCCCTCCCTCTCATCGCCCTAAAATTATCAAAATTATCAAATTATTTTTGGGGCGCGCAGCTATCCTTATTTTCTGTGTTTTTTCTGAAATTTTTCAGCTTGATGAGGTAAATGCACTGTTAACTCATATATTGCCTATTCTGAATACCTTTTTCCAATACAAGGAGAAATTTGGGTGAAAAAATAGGTGATTAGTAGAGATATTATCCTTGCATTGACAAATACATATAATATATAAATGAATTTGTAATTGCTTGAATTTTTAAGTTTATTCAATTGTTTAAGTATATAGATAATATCAAACAAATAAGTGTATATTCTTAAGGATATATAAGTACAAAGGATATATCCTACATAATACAATTAGAAAAATGGGTAAAAGATTTAGTGAGTCTATGGATAAGAAAATTGCTGGTCAAGCAAGAAAGAGAGAGCAAGCTAAGGAGAAATTAAGAGCTGAAGAACAAATGCTGGAGTCTATGGAGGCAGAGAAATGGGAACAGGGTTCTAAGAAGGCCTCTAAGAAGCAATTGGAAGAAGAAGAGAAGAAAAAGGAGAAATTAAGATTGAAATTAGCTCGTGAGACTCAAATGCAAGAAGAATCAGAAGCTTTAGGTAAAGGTGGTAAAGGACCGGGTTCTACCAAAGCAGGTAAACAGAAGAAGAGAGCCAGTCATCATTGAATACATTGATAATTGTCTTTTGTTTCATCTATTGATTGTTTTTTTATTTTATTTTATCATGAACTGTTCTTTTTATTTTTAAAAAAAACCTTGGTTCATTCAGCATATTGTAACTGGTAGTGAGTTAATCTTTCCTCCAATTTAACAAAATTCGAAAAACGCATTTTTATTTTATTTCATCATTTTTACAACTTCACTACTTGTCCTTATATGTGACTTAGATTATATTTTTAGAGATATCAGTCTCTATCATACACATTGTAACAGTGTTCTCCTTCTAATCTTTTTTCTTTTAATATTTTTGGGGCCAGTACCACCAGGTTTAACAATGAACGTGAAATTTTCAACATTATTCTTTTGTGGTACTGTTCCTATGAGGAGAACCCATCATTATTCTTAATATTATACAATTTAAAATTATTTATAACATAATATAATACAACTTTTTTAATTTAGTATAATTGAATCTTTAAAAAAAAAACAATAGGTTTTATCACTTTGTAAAAAAAAAAAAAGAATATTAACTTGATGTAATTAGGTAAAACTGTACCAATAATCAAAGTAGAGTAAACTTTAGTACAATACAATAAGAATATATGAGTGCTGAAACATATGTCGCAAACGGATTGAGGCACATTAAGCCATATTATACTACACGTTCTAATTATGTTAAGGGAAGATGGATAGGGCGATCACTTATCGATGTTCTAACAACTGAGTTTAAGAGTTTTTCAAGAGAACATTATCTTAAACAGATTACTCAAGGTAGATACTTATTGAAACGAAATGATGTATTATTGGACGCATTGAATTCACCGATCAGAAGTGGAGATGTTGTGACGATGAAGCAACATAAGCATGAACCTCCTGTGAAACAATGGTGTAACGTAGAGCTGGAAAATTGTGATACAGCAACGAGAATTGCTGGCTTTAACGTAGTTCATAATGACAGCCGTTTATTAGTGATAGATAAACCTGTTGGAATACCTGTTCATCCAACGGGACAATTCTACCGTAACACAATAACAGAGATACTAAAGGAACATGAACATTTCGTATCTCCGTGTTATAGATTAGATAAAGTTACATCAGGTTTACTTATTTTAGCAAAGAATACCATGGTTGCTAGAGAAATACAAATGAAGATTGGAGCTAGAGATATGAATAAAATATATTTGGCAAGAGTACGAGGTAAGTTTCCCCATGTGACCACTACAAAATTCCCAACGAGTAATCAATTGGACAGTTTATTTCAACATAATAGTATTACTACCATTGAAAATTCACCAATATATTCAATTGAACCAAAGAAAGGTTTCCCAGCAGGTCTTTCTGATTCAAAAGAAGCTACAACTTTGTTTTACCCCATACGATATTTTCCAGAAACAAATGAAAGTATTCTCGCATGCAAACCATTGACAGGTAGAACACATCAGATAAGAATACATTTGGCAAGACTAGAGTTTCCTATTGTGAATGATTCGATTTACTCCTCTGAATATACTATGTATCCGAACAGATTACAATTCATTAAAGATTATCGCCATTGGGAGCTTTCTCCAGTAACAAAAGATCAATTGCGTGAACAGTTTCAACAAATTATCTATGAGGCTAAAAGTGTAAGTGATTTAAAAGTGAATGAGGATAATCGAACTTGTGAAGAATGTGGTGTTGCTCTTATGGCAGATCCGCAGATGTTACAATTAGAATTATATTTACACGCATGGCAATATTGTGACAACGACAAAACTTTCAATTTCCAAACAGAGTTACCAACCTGGGCAGAAAACTGATAGATACGTTATATGCATCTCTCATATCAACAAATTGTATATATTTAGAACTCTATATTAGGTAATAATTAGTTCTTAATTGTAAATATTCGCTGCAAGAAAAAAATTATTCATTGATAAATATTAAAAAAATTTCAAAACAGAAATGAATTTAAGGGTTCTTTAAAAGAGATAGACTATTGACTAAAAAGAGGAGAGGAAGGTTGCACTAATGAGAAATGGTAGTTCTCATACATTTCGTCCATTTAGTCGTTTCATTGGGATTTTGAAATGGATCCTTCGTGTTATTTTATCCAAGCGTTCATCCAGCCATCAAACAGCTTCTAGATTAAGGTATTTCATACGTTTATTAAGGAAATCCATACCGTTATTGGTGGTTAGGATTGGTTATTTACTAGTTAAAATATGTAAAGAATACCAATACGCAAATAAAATCGATATTCAGAACTTGATTAAACAGGTAAGGAACCTGGTTGCTATTGTGAGTCTCGGATTATCATGTAGTACCACAACAAAATACGGGCTGCGCAATAATTTATTGTCCTGGTATATCTCAATCGGGTTCAGTATAAGTTTAGCATCCTTTGAAATGCCAATGTGGTTGATAGTATATTTTGCTACTGAATGGTTTGAAGAATGTATGAAGCATTGGAAGGATAGGATCTTGCCGTTGTGGAAGAGGATTTGTCCTTGTAGTGTCGACACATTAAAACAAGTACTGTTAAATACAGTGGTAATCGTCTCGTACTATAAACGAGTTAGATCTACAGAAATGAAAACGATATCAAGATCTCTATACGGCGATCCGTCATCGTTCATTGCCGATTTCCTTGGAGTTTACACAATAATGAATATACATTCGATGTTCAAAACTGTGAAACGTTTAATAATGAACAAAAGAACAAATGCTAAACGAATTAGGCAGTATTATAAGGAGACCATTGCAGCATTCCATGATCCTGCCGATCTACCTAAACCTGTTATGAGCAAATTCATGGAGATATATGAATTATCGTTAGAGAAGCGTAGCTCTATTAAGGAAAAACTGTTAGGATCCTTTGTCATTGGCAATATTCAACCTTGCTTCAAATGGGCTATCTGGAGACAAATGTTCAAACTGTTGACCCATAATAAATCCAGCATAGGCAAGAATATGCACCTTTCAGACTATATTATTCAAATTATAGTAATGACTTTAGGGTTTAACATGTTGAATAGTAATAAGGATATGAAAATTAATACGAATGTCTTGAAAATACTGTATCAGCAGTTAATAGTTTCCACCTTCAATAATAATTTTAAACTCTCGAACAGAAGTAAGAAATTGATAGCTTTATTACTATCTGCCATAGAATATTCGAAATATCAAAGTATCATTGATATTTAATTATACATTTATTAAAATTTAGAAATTTAGAATAAAATAAAATCGTATATACTCATAAATCAATAATGAAATTAGTTACATTTGGATAATAGAACTATTGATAAGAAAAATAATGGGCAGAGAGATAGATAGATTCCTTTTATTTTTTATTTTTGAATTTTAATTGAGTGTTTCTTTCTTTTGTTTATTTGTATTTTTATTCATAATGCTTAGGCACCTGGTGCGTCAGTTTTGCCCTTCAATCTTTGTAAAATTTCCTTGAACTTAGTTCTATCTCTACCACCAACGATATTAGCATCATCTTGATTGATCAATTGTACTACACGATCCCAAGTGGTATTATCTTGTGCAAAAAATTCGTCTCTCTTCTTCAAGAAATCTTCTTCATCCTTTCTCGTACTATCAATTTGTTGTTGTTTCTTTGTATTGTAAGTCTCATAAAAGTCATCAATATGTTTTACAGCATCTTCTTGTAATTGAGCTTTGTCCTTTTCTAAGGTAGTGTCTCTCTCGGCGATATCTTTCCTAGTACGGTCTCTCCATTCGTTGATAGTCTTTTCAGCATCTGGGTTGGAAAGTACTTTTTCAGATGACTCTATAGCATTTCCTTGCTCATTTGCAGAACTTTGCATTGTAGAGAATTCATCGTCGTCTCCAGCCACATTTTCTGTTGCTACATTGCTTGTCTCTGTACCGAATTCATCAGCGTCATTTTCGGCTAACAGATTAACATCTTGATCGGTCTTAAACTCGTCACCTAGTATCTCAGCTTCTCTCTTTAAGAAATCAGTCTCGTCAATATTTTCATTGGAGGCATCTATTTGTTCATCATCTAAGGCTGGAAACTTCTCGGACATTCTTCTAATTTCTCCAGTTTGTTTTTTGGTGTTTATATATAACCTTCTTTCTTAATGCAATCTATCGGGTGTAGCACTACTCAATTGAGATAAATTAATAACTTTTCTTCCTTTACCCTTATTATAATTGGACTGAACCTGTGATTAGGTTTCTCAAATAGTATGATAAACTGTTCTGTTTTTTACTTTTCTTGTCACTCTCTGATTTTTGGCCCCTTTCTGGCCGAATTTTGGTGATTTTGGTATATTTCTATTACGCGGCCTTCGTATAGAGTGATGTCTTTTGTGTGTGTGTTTATAAATATATATATAGATTATTAATGATCATTCTAAGTAAAATTTTACTGCCTATATGGTTATATGGGGAAGTAAATACCGTTTTACCTCTCGTTTTTGTCCTTATTTAACCAGTATTGATGCTCCCAAACCTACCTCTATTAGCTCGTTGGTTTGCAAGTCTAATACTTTCAAAGCGGAAAGAGTGGAATAGTAACCGGACATAATAGCAATGAAGCTTAGATCGACAAAATAAGTCTGTTTAGGTTTGATAACAGGCACTTTATAGTCATTTGACAGTAATATAATTCCTTCGGTGACTTTGCTGAACTTTCTGTATATCTGATATTGTTTTGTCGGAGGTAATGTAGCGAATGTATTGTTACCACTCGTACCGTTATTATTATTGTTATTACCACCAGCTGACCCTAAAGCCAAACTAGAATTCTTGTTGTTGTTATAGTATACCACTAGATCTAATGGTACATTTGATGAATTGACAATTTGTAAGCGCATGTGGAATTTCTCACCTTTTGACACTTGTAAATTATTATTGAGGAATTTAAATTTAACATTATCCATCTTGTTATTAACTAACGAAGTCATTGAATTTTGTTGTAAGTTATTACTAGAGTTATATAGTAGATTTCCACTGCTCATAGTTGAAAAATTACTATTGCTATAATTGAGATGAGTCGCGAGACTTGGGAATTTTTTGTTATTCGAAACCAAATTTGGTGTTGATAACACCGATGAAGAGGTAGCTCTGGAGAGAACATTGTTGTCGATAGGTTTCTTTATAGTAACATCAGTCTCCCATGAAGTTAGTACTGGTAGGCATACTTCCAACACTTTATCTGTTTGGGATGTTTGGTTTGTTGATATGATGACTTTGTAGATAAGCTTGACACGAACACGATGTGGTGTGTTGTTAGAAGAGTTTTTCAATAATGGTAATTTGTAACAGATACTAAAACTATCATGAGTGTGAGCCGTAAAAGGTATTTCTAATGGGACGATTGGATCCAATCGTATATGAGAATTCCTATCAAGTAACTCATAAAGAACTTCATCGAATTTAAATTCCATCGCTCTATAATTATTGTTCTTCTGCGTTGTAGTATATTTGTTATTTAATTGAGTAGCAGCTTTAGAAGTTTGGAAATCTAATGATGAAATAATATGTTGTTTACTGTCTAATGATGTGTTTCTTAATCTCATATTTAATAAAGAGTATATTGGGAATTCCAAGATTAATTCGACAGGCTCTGTACCCGAAGATGATTGTGTAATTTCTTGGTTTTCGTTGGTTACCTCTTGTTCTTCTTCTTGTTCTTCTTCTTCCTCTGTTACTTGATTTCTTGTCTCATTATCTTTTTCATTAATTTGGGACCAAATATGTATTGGTTCAAAACTGGGTAAATAATCATCATCATCATCAACAGCATTTTCCCTTTCAACCTTGTTATTATTACTAGTATTTACATAGACATTATTTTTATCATCTACAGTACTGTATTGGAATTTGAATTTAATATGGTTATCATAGGCATTATTCATTACGACTGTTGATCTAAACAATTGTTCAGCACAAACTGTTGATTTCATGACCCAATTGTTTTGTGTGGTATCAACATCAAACAAAGAGTTATCTGTCGATTCCAACATCATCGAATCATTAATCCATACACTGAACGATTTTAAGGCAATAGCTTTATCAGTTTCTAAATCATTTTTTGAGTGTAATACTAGTTTCAATTGTTCGTCAAAGATAACAAATTGTCTTTTGCTATGTGATTCCTTCAATGCCACATAGTCATTATTCGGTATGGTTGAATCCAACGGTATATAACAATCCATTATAGAATTTTCCTCGATGACTTTCTATGTTTTGTATCCTATATATATTTCACTTGTTAAAGTGCTTAGTTTTTTTGTTCTTGTTCTGTATTTTTCAGGTTTTAAAGTAATATAAAGAAATTTGAAAGCAAAACCCAAAAAAAAAAATTCAAGATCTACATAAAGGGAAAGATCAATTATAGAGAAAGAACATGATTTAAATTCATCAAATATATTTTGTTATTTACAAGTTTATATATAATAGAATGTTTACTTACTTGTGTGAATATTATATGATAGGAGGATGTGTGGAATAATTGGGCTTCACATGTATACCATATGTCCTAATTCATTAAACCCAATGACTCTATCCTTTTTATTATCACGTAATACTGAACCATAACGATAGGCGACATTTTCTGCTCTGACATCCTTAAATTTCAATCTGGATCTATCACCTTTTCTTAATTCGGCCAATACAATTTTAGTCTTTATCTTATGTTGTTGTTCATTTTTCAAATTATTAGAATGACCAGCAGAATGTTCACCTTCGGTAGATAGTCTCTCCAAAGTTTTCATTGCAGGTTCTAATTCTAATACATTAGCTGCATCAACTGGACCAAATGGTTCAGATTCAGCAATTGTAACAAACCTTGATTTCAAAGTCTTTGGTGGAACAGGAATTTCCGATAAATTTTCTCTAGTGGTAACAATATCAGGTTGAAACAATGGTAACATATTATAAAGAGTAGAAGACATCTTTTGTAAAGCGGGACTAATCATATTTTTATTTTCCCATTTATTTTCAACTTTTAATAATCTAACAATTGCTTCCACTCTAGGAATTTTTAAACCATATTTTTGAGATACTTGTTGTGATGATAAACCTTTATTTTCAATATCATCAAAAATTTGTAATTTTGTTTCATTTGAAATCATATAATTTGTTTTACAATATGGATTTAATGGGAATGGTTGTAATTTAATAGTCTCTGTATTAAATTGATTTATCTTGCTATTATCATTATTACGACGATCAAAACTTGAAACTTCTTCTAATTGTCCTCTCATATTTTCTTGTAAACGTTTACCATTCAAAGGGTTTCTTAAGGAGACCCCTCTCTCACCACGAGGATTTAAATAATTCGGCTCATGGTTATTAGGCATATCATTATATTTATTCAAAGCATATTCACCTTTATAATTCTTTGGGCCTAAAAATTGTCTCATTGCATATTTTAAGTTGGAGTCATGTTTCTTAGGATTTTGTCTTGTCAGTCTCTTAAAGGGATAAGGTGGATATGCTATCCTTCTCTTCGAGATATTTCTCGTCTGTTGTAGCACCGTCACAGCTCCTGTGACTTTGCCTCTAGTAGTAGTTCCTAACATCCCCGTTGCAAAAGCTAGCTTGTTTGATTCCTTCTTCGAACAGAACACCCAGCTCAATATATGGTTCACCTCTTCTTTATCTGCAAATAGAAGATTCTTTTCTTTGCTTTCAAAATTAAAATTTCGTTTTTCGTTTCGTTTTTCGTTTCCCCTTCAGCAGCGAACCAAAAACTGGGAAAGAGACAAGAAAACTATTTGTTTTGCATAGAAGTTGCAGGCTGTGAGACATATATTGGTCCTTGTTGTGGATGTTGTGGGTCTTGATGATCTGGGAATTGCAACCTATGTATCCTTTACTTGTGTTTGTAAGTAGCTCCTGGGGTACAGTCATTTGACTAGGTGCATCGCCCGTACTATGTTATTAGAATTAAAGAAGAACAAATTTTCTAGTTTGCTTGACCCCATGCAATCGGTGACCTAGGAAACACTGGTCCATTAACAGTGGCAGTTATCGTGAGTCTCTCTTGTATACAATAAGTCTAGTTTAGTTTAGTGTAGTTCTGTCTTGCTGTATGTTACCCTCCTCTCTCACTAGGAAAATAAATGAAAAATTTCTTCGCTGAAAGCAAAAAATGAAAAATTGAAATTTCACGAAAATATTTAACACACACCTACAATAGGTAGGTTAGTAACAGTTGTATTGACACATTGGCAACGGTCAAGAAGCTATTCAGAACACTCAGAGTCGTATATTTACCTAGGGTAATCGATTGGATTTAAAGTAGTGTGAATTCCCGTCAACTGATAGAATAGAGAAGAATTTTACTATTGTGAAAGATGCAAGCTCCAGTGGTGTTTATGAACACTAGTCAAGAGAGAACTACGGGTCGTCAAGCTCAAGTTTCTAACATTACAGCAGCTAAGGCTGTCTCTGATGTGATCCGCACATGTCTAGGTCCAAAGGCTATGTTAAAGATGTTATTAGACCCAATGGGTGGTCTTGTATTGACTAATGATGGTCATGCTATTTTAAGAGAAATTGATGTAGCTCATCCTGCAGCTAAATCGATGTTAGAATTATCTAGAACTCAAGATGAAGAAGTTGGTGATGGTACTACCACCGTTATTATTCTTGCAGGTGAAATTTTAACTCAATGTGCACCATATTTGATTGAAAAGAATATTCATCCTGTAATTATTATTCAAGCTTTGAAAAAAGCACTTGTTGATGCTTTAAAAGTTATTAAAGAGGTCTCTAAGCCTGTTGATGTTGAAAATGATGAAGCAATGAAAAAATTAATTAAAGCTTCAATTGGTACTAAATATATTAACTTATGGTCGGAAAAAATGTGTGAATTAGCTTTAAAAGCTGTTAAGACAGTTAGAATAGACATTTCACAGAATATGAACTTAAATGAAGATGATCCAAAATTTGATATTGATACAAAGAGATATGTTCGTGTTGAGAAGATTCCAGGTGGTGAAGTATTAGATTCTCGTGTCTTAGATGGTGTAATGTTAAACAAAGATGTTGTTCATCCAAAGATGTTACGTTCTCGTAAGAATCCACGTGTTGTATTATTAGATTGTCCATTAGAATATAAGAAAGGTGAATCTCAAACAAATATTGAAATTACAAAAGAAGAAGATTGGAACAGAATTTTACAAATTGAAGAAGAACAAGTTCAATTAATGTGTGAACAAATTTTAAGTGTTAAACCAGATGTTGTTATTACAGAAAAGGGTGTTTCAGACTTGGCTCAACATTTCTTATTAAAAGGTGGTTGTTCAGTACTAAGAAGAGTTAAGAAATCTGATAACAATAGAATTGCTCGTGTTACTGGTGCTACTATTGTTAATCGTGTTGAAGATTTAAAGGAATCAGATGTCGGTACTCAATGTGGTAGATTTCAAGTCGAATTAATTGGTGATGAATATTTTACATTTATTGATGAATGTCAAGCTCCAAAAGCTTGTACTATCTTATTACGTGGTGCCTCAAAGGATATATTAAATGAAATTGAACGTAATTTACAAGATGCAATGGCTGTAGCGCGTAATGTTATGTTATCGCCATCTTTATCACCAGGTGGTGGTGCTACAGAAATGGCAGTTTCTGTTCAATTAGCAGAAAAGGCAAAACAATTGGAAGGTATTCAACAATGGCCATATCAAGCAGTTGCAGATGCAATGGAATGTATTCCACGTACTTTAATTCAAAATTCTGGTGCAAACCCAATTAGAGTATTGTCTCAATTAAGAGCAAAACATGCACAAGGTAATTTTACAACAGGTATTGATGGTAATACAGGTAAGATTGTTGATATGGTTGAATATGGTATTTGGGAACCTGAAGTCATTAAACAACAAAGTTGTAAGACTGCTATTGAAAGTGCTTGTTTATTATTAAGAGTTGATGATATTGTTAGTGGTATCAGAAAACAAGAAGAATAAACTCATATATTCAATTGAATTTTATTAATTCTTTGCATTTCCATCATCATAAATATAAAATATATA